ACTGCCACTATATTCAGCCTGAGTTTTCTGGTCATCATACTACCTGTACACTCGTCATGTTCGAACAGCTTCAAATACGTCATGTCCCTGCACTGTTCGTGGCGACAACCATGACCTTTGGCGGTATCTGGTCGTTTTTCGACGCACGCAGAGCCATGCTTGAATTTGGTCTTCCGGACCGCATCGCCAGCACACCCGGCGCGGCCTCGGTCATGCTCATCAACAATGCCCGTACGACGGCGTTTGGTTTGTGCATGTACGCTTTTTACATCCGCGGACAGCTGGCCGCCTGCGACACCATCCTCGCCATCCTCGGCGCCTATGCTGGGCTGGTGGACAGCTATGTAGTTTGGACAGAAGGAAATCCTCGCAAGGCCGTCTTTCGCCTTGTTAGCTCCGGTCTGCTTTCTGCTGCAGGCTTTGCCGGGCTGACTGCCGGTCGCTAAGAGAGAGTGTGTGTCTATAGCGTCAAGAGCAATGTCTTCATGACTTGGCCACGATTCCAACACTTCTGGTGGTATGTATTCCATGTGATACCATGTGTTGATGAATGCTTATATGACATGCCCAGTGCTAACATGAACCAGATCAGAAGAAGAGGACCTATAAACGTGAAGCTAGTCAAGACGCTCGAACTAGAATAATCAATCCATAAGTTGCTTATACTCTATATCATGAGGGTTGCGAGATCATAGTCAGATGCCATATCTCCATTTCTAGTAAGGACGTAGTGCGCAATGACCTTTCAGTCGTCCAAAGCTTGTCAAAGCCTCGAGGCAACGGGCACAGGCAAGATGTCCAAAGTCTTGATCAATGGCAGCCTTAACAAACATTACTGTGTACCTAGGTAGGTACCCATCTAATCTAGCACTCCGGTGAATCCACCTTAGCTGTCAATGTTACCCTTTAGGCAGAGATTTTGGGGCATTCTGCAGGGGCTAGGGGCCGGAATGGTTACCTGGAATCGCCTAAAGGCCCCATCCGGGAACACGCGCAGGGGCCTAGCAGGTGGACTAGCGGGCCAAGCAAGCCTAGTTGCCTCTGGAGACGCTGTGCAGGTGCCTCTGTCGCATGACCATTACTTGTTGGCCGCTGCTTCCGTCATGATCAACAAGACTCTGTACCTGACTTGCGCAAGTCAGAGAACTTCCCATTGATCCCATTCCTGTACCATCGTGACCATTCCCGTCTATCCGTTCCATTTCCATTTCGTATCGATATTTTCCTTCTTCACTGTACATCAGCTCGCCTTCTCATTGTTTTGCGTCTCGCTGCACCCAGCACAAACCCTCTTTGCACAACATTCCTGGTCCTGGCAAACTACAGCCATGGCGCCGCCCGCCGAAATCTCGATTCCATCGACGTCACTGCACACGCCGACTGACGGCTCGAAACCATACACACTCTACAACATCACACTGCGGCTGCCGTTGCGCACTTTTGTAGTGCAAAAGCGCTACTCCGAGTTTGCCAACCTTCACCAAAACCTCACGTCCCTAGCAGGCGCACCACCGCCGGCGCCGCTGCCTGGAAAGTCCTGGTTCAAATCCACCGTCAAATCCGCCGAGCTTACCGAGGACCGGAGGCGAGGTCTCGAGTCGTACCTGCGAGCCATAGCCGAGTCACTCGACCGCAGATGGAGGGATACCCCAGCATGGCGCCAATTTCTGCAGCTTCCTGGCATCAACAGCGCTGGTAACAGCGCCGCTTCGGTACGGGCTGGTGCTGGCTTTGGTATTCCCAACAAAGATGCTGCCAACGCAGCGGCCGCCCAAGACCCAGGCACCTGGCTTGACCTGCACAAAGAGATGAAGGGCGAATTACAAGAGGCCAGACGGTGCTTGGCGAGAAGGGATGGTGCGACTGACAACTCAGCGTCCCTTGAGGCGGGCGCCGCGGCAAAGCGTGCCATTGTCAAAGCTGGCGGCCTGTTGGTGGCACTGGGTGATGGCCTAAGAGCTATTCAAGATACCAAGAAACTGGGCGACGGCGAGATCAGGAGGCGGAAGGACCTTCTCTCGGCTGCTAAGGTTGACCGCGAGGACCTGGACAAGCTTGCCAATACGATTGCTGCATCAGCCAAAGCCGGCGCTGGTAAAGGAATGCCCTCGGCCGCCGACAAAGCTGCGCTCCTGGGGCATGCACCCAGGCATGGAGGTCGCGTGCTCGGAGCGCCGCTGCCCGAGACGGAACGGACCAGGGAGCTGGATAATCAAGGGGTAGTGCAGCTACAACAACAAATGATGAAAGAGCAAGATGAGGACGTCGAAAGCCTAGCCAAAATCATACGAAGACAAAAAGAAATGGCACTCGAGATTAATCGCGAGGTTGAAGAGCAGACCTCGATGCTTGACAATCTCAATAGCGATGCCGACCGGCTACAGACCAAGGCAGATATCGCAAAGAAACGCATCAAGAGCATTCGATGACTGCACTTCACCCTTTTTCTTTTGGTCAAATCCATTCTGCTTGCTGCAGAGATGGTTGTCTGGTTAGTTGGGGTAAGTGGCGCAATATTGGGATGGTCTGCGTGGTGTTTGGAGGTTCTTCTAGCTCCGTTGCGCCTGGGGCAGAGTTTACTGTCCGGAGAACATGAATTTAGCACGATTGGCGACTGAAGCATATAATTTCGGACCTTGTTTTCAATAATGGCATATTTTGATTAGGCAGATGATACCAATAGACGAGTCAATCAAGCCTTTGGGTTCGGCAACACTGTGTTACTGCCTTGAAAAGTGCATTGTGCGCACTTATATCTCTCCAATTATTATCGCCGCAGCTCGGTCGGCAAGCGCATATAGAGTCGCGGTGAGATGCCCACTGATTTGCAATGGTACTACTGACGCGTCAACGACTCGCACATTGCGTGTGCCATAGACTCTGAGTTCGGAATCAACAACGCCCCCAAGCTCGCGCGACATCATGGCTGCCGAGGCCAGGGCGTGATGGTTCGGTGTCACTTGGCAATCATGAGTAATCTAGGATCATGTGTTTCGGGGATAGGGGATTCGTACCTTGGTCGACGAGTACATTGCGCCATTGTTCGTCCGTGGCGTTCCGAGGCAAGAGGGCGTCCCCGGGTAATAGAGCGGTGGTGATATTATTGCTCATAGGTTCTTGGAAGAAGAATGACTGTGCCACTCTACCTACACCCGTCATGACAGTGACATCAAAATCGGCAAGGAGATATTGGGGGTCGATGGCCGGGTCGTCAATGGCGTTTGCCGACTTAAGATGCACACTGCCACGTGAGAATGGTAGCAATGGCCACCAGACATTGGCGACGTAGCGATAGCCGTCCTGCTCGGCAAAGTTGGACAAGATTTCGCCTATAGTAACGTTGTGGTTAAATATGAGATCGTGTTGGATCTCGAAAACCTCGAGTAATGCTTCTGCACTAATGATCCCGCCGTTCGCTGCAGAGATATCCGCTGCCCAGCTCGAGAGGTTGGCTTTAGTAGAAGCTGCTACGGCAGCTGTCTGCTCGCCAAAGGTGTCACGGGCGTTGATGAATAGTCCAAAGGGCACAATTGTACCCGTCGCATTTGGCACGTTTCCAGCATAGGCCACGACGCCCAAGGGCTGCTCAATCATGTTCTCGCCAACGCCTGGCAGATCAATCTTTGTTTCGATGCCGAGTTTCTGCAAACGTCTAAAATATAGATTAGTCGTGTGTGCTACCAATACAGTGCCATCTCAATGAGCTCTCAAACTTACTCAGGTTGGCCAATACCGGATGATTCCAGTATCAGGGGTGAGCGTAGAGCTCCTGCAGACAAGATGACTTCTTTATGAGCCTGTATTGTTATCGTTTCGCCGGCCGCAGTGAGATATTCGACGCCGGTCGCTTCGCAAACGTCCCCATCCTCGTTCCAAGTCAATCGCTTGACGGTTCCTTGTATAATCTTGAGGTTTGGACGTGACTCTACTGGTTGGATAAATGCTCGAGAAGCATCTTCTCTAGTGTCGGCATCCCTATCCAGTGTCGACGGCCAGATGCTAATCCCCCGGATATCACCGCCATTGGCATCCTCATTCCAGGGAAAGCCGAGACCTTCCCAGGTCTGCCGCCAAGTCTCGTGCAAACTTCCGTTTATGAGCTCATACGCATAGCCCGTCGCCAGCTCGCCGTCGAGACCATGAAAGTCGGGGTTCCAGCTTGCGCCAGCGTCGGTCTGCGCGGGCGTCGGCACTTCGAACCGTTCCACACCCTTGTAATGCGGCCACAGCGAGTCCCAGTTCCAGCCCTTGTTCCCTAGACTCTCCCACGCGTCAATCTCAGCTCGATCACCGCGAAGAAACGTCATTCCATTAATGGTGCTGGTGCCTCCCCACGCCTTGCCGGCGTGGTATTGCATGCCACGACCGCCCAGACTGGCCTGCGGGGTGATGTTGTATGCCCAGTCAATGGGCGTGTTGAAAGCGCTCAAGAAGCCCAGGACCGAGGTGACGTTCGGGTTGGCCCGCTCGTCGAGGCCCGGCTCAATCACCAAAACGGACAGGTTCGGATCCGATGAGAGGCGGTTGGCCACCACCGAGCCACATGTCCCGGCTCCGGCGATGATGAAATCATATGTTTCTTGGCAATTGGCTGCCCAAACGAGGGCAGCCAGAAAGCCGCAATGAGTGTGTAGTCGCAGCATGTCGTCGCTCGAATCTAGATTGCAGTACACATGTGGTTATGACGCCGTGTGCACAGTTGGTCGTTTTATAGCGCTACAAGTCAGCGACTGCACGGTAGAACCCTAATGCAGTCTGTTCGCCAACCAGCCAGACATGATGCCCACGGGCTGTAAGTCATATATACGCACTGCGGTGAGTGGCTGCTTATCGTCAAAGATGGCCATGGTTCACACTGACGCTGGCTGTAAGCCGTCGACGGGACCGAGAAGAATCAATAACCGTCCTCGACTCTGCAGCATAGGGCCGATTGACATAGTCTTGTCGAATCCTTCAGAGCACTATTCCACCAATTATATACCTGCCCACCAAATACCCCAAATACTATTCCGTATTCCCACTGCCCTGTACATCAGCAGCCTCTCTCGCCAGCTTGCTTACCTACATACAGCACTGCATGGGACACCAGGGGGGCTCATTTGGGCCAATTCTAGTAGCGAGACCCAACTGGGACAGGGGAACCGGGAAGATATGCGGGGGATTGCGATCGCCCGGCTGACTAGGCCCAAGACAGGAGAGCCGGTTGCTAGCTGCTGGGGGCCATCGGGATGACGAGGGTCTGCATTGTGCGTGCGGCTCGATCGTGTCCACATTTCTCGCATCGAATGCTGCATTGGAAGCCCTTTAGTGTAGACTCTAACAAGAAAAAAACTGCCTTGAAACCATTCATGATGATCAACGTTGCATCGCCATTGCCTGTCTGTAACGGTCAAACATCCTACTGATTCAGTTCATTCTTTCTCTCCCAGCCAACCAAACGCCTTGGCCCCAATCGTACGTTGTTGCACAACAGGCTTGTCGTTTGCTACATAACACGAGAAGCAGCCTCTTACCAAGACACTTTATTAGCACACACATCTCGTCATTAAGGGGGGTCTATCCACTGGGTCCAAATAAGCTCATCCGGCTCATGATTGGGCCGGCACCAAAGAACCGGGAGAAGGTCCCGCTTATCAATCACAGCCGGGTCTGGAAGAGAGAAAAATTATATATTAGTTGTCCACGAATACGTAACCAAACGAAACGCGATTCCCCTTTCCTCCCCCTCGACTTCTCTTCTTTCTTCTACCTCTGGAAGAAGGATGCTCACGTGTCCCGAACTCGTCCGTCATGGTCCGTGAGAAGCGCAGCTACGACATCACGGAACTGAGGGCGCAGATATACTGGGATCTGCCGTCAGATATTGGACCGATTCGCCAGCTGCTCGAGGATTATAGCGGCATACAGCCTAATGAGGTGGATGGACATATCCTTGCAATCGTAAGCAAGCCACAGACGCAACTCCAACCAGGGCAGCGCTACGCATCGATCACTTCATCCCCAGGTCACGTGCCTGGTATGCGCAAGTCGTCGCATTTGCCGCCTCAACGCCTCTCCGCTATTGGCGGCGTTTCAATCACTTGTCTCGACAAAGTCGTGTGCTAACTGAAGTTTTACAGCGCGAGAAATTGTGGAGGATCAAGCCCTATGGCTGTATCGGGCGGTTCCGGTTCCTCCAGCTAGACTTTGCCCTGGACCCCCGGTACCAGCACGCGGTCAGCCTGCTCAAGAAGAGGTTCTCGAGCACAACATTCCTGGACCTGGGCTGCTGCGTCGGACAGGTCCTGCGACAGCTTGCACATGATGGCGTAGGGACGAACCGGTTGTTTGGCACCGATGTCGAACCACGGTTCATGGAGGTGGGCTACGAACTCTTCAACGACCGCAAGAAGCTGCGGTCCATGTTCGTCGCGGGCGACATATTTGCCGAGGGCGAGAGCCCGGCGGCCGACCCGCTCCGCCTGCTCGACGGCAAGATGACGATTGTCCATGCCGCCAGTTTCTTTCACCTCTTTGGCTGGGAGGAGCAGGTCCGGGCGGCCAAGCGCGTGGTTCGACTTATGAAGCCACGGGATCAAAACGCCTTCATATTCGGGCGTCAAGTCGGCTGCGATGATCCTAGCACTCAGCTAGAAGGGACAAGATTCCTTCACAATGCCGAATCGTGGCAGCGGCTATGGGACGTCGTGGGCGTAGAGACGGGAACTCGGTGGAGGACCGAGTTTGATATTATTCCCGACGATCCCAGTTCGGCTACCAAGGTGACCGACGACTCGAGCGAGATGGAGGGCATAAATAGGGTTCGTTTTGGTGTTTACAGGGTATAGGCATAGACATTTCAGTGGCGCAACAGCAACAGCAGCATCATCAGCAATCAGCATGGCATGGCCGGGATTTGGGTTATCATGGGAAATTGTTTTCTCTTTCTTCTCTTCCTTTTTGAGTTTGTTGAAAGGAGGATAGTACCAAGTGCATACATGCTTGGTAACAATAACTATGGTGATTTTGACCTGCTTCAGTGACTTGCTGGCTGCCAACCATTGCGTGTAGCATCGTGATCTGTCCAACATCAAGTGACATCCATGATTCTCTTAGATAATAGCCGCTCGTTGGCGCGACGAGAACAATTTAGGCTTTTCATTTCGGGGTTTTGTGCGGTCATACCTCGGCTTTCCCCCGATTCGTGCTAGATGGTTTGACTTTTTCTTCCCGCAGCTCGTTTTTTTTTTTTTTACCCCTAGCTTGATAGACTTGTGTCTGGGATCTGCGGGAAGAATTTTAGCACTACCTCGATAGGAAAGAGTAGGTATAGACCATCGGCACTTCAGGGTTGGTTCTTGCTAGTTTCAGCGAACCAGACTTGTCTCAATGAAAGTCGAAGGGTACAGCTAGTCGGACGGGAGACGACCGTTAACAACCTGTATCGTAGGTGGTAGGTATCTTGGCGACTTTTCACAGGAATTTGTGGTGTCGTCTTGTGTAGGCCTTCGGAATAGTTCGCTTGATATATGCGGAAGCGTCCTATTTCCAGTTGCTGCATCCTTTCAACCTCTGATCACGCGATCGTCTATCCTTGCTCAAAGCATTTCTCCTTTCGGGATTCTAGCCTTCTGACGATGTCATTTGTGTACCCTCTAAATATCGCAATACCATGTTATTAGTCGATCCCAAAATGTAATATACACTGTTCTAGGAAAATGATGGTATCCAACTACAAATATATGCTCTGTCTATATGCACCCGCATAAGCCTCAAGCTAATGGTATTTCCAAATATACAATGGTCTATTCCCCACGCTCAATACAAATCAAACAATTCAAATATCACTTCTCTTTACTGGCCAATCTTTTGCAGTTGGCTCTGGTAATGGGCCTATCATAAACAAGGTTAGCAAATCTTTTCAGATCATAGCCACAAGGAAAGCCTTACGCTGTCACCTGCAGCTCCGATAATCTTGATACCGAGCTTGGTCGCGATCCACGGTGGCTGGATCCTCTTGACGTGGAACACGGCGTCTTCGTCCTTGACTTCCTTGTTCAAAATCACCTCCTTGGGCAGCAGAGGCTTGACACAGGCCGGTCTGCCGAGGCCGACGAGGTCGCAACCGCCGTCGCGCAGGGCCGCCTCCAGACCCTGTCTCGTACGGAAGCCGCCAGTCACCATCAGCGGCACGTCGGGCACGTCCTTGCGGATGGCCTGTGCAAACTCGAGGAAGAAGGCCTCGCGGGCCTTGGTCCGCGCCGACTTGGTGTTTTCCTCGCTGTCCGGGCCAGTGTTCATCTAAATGCGTGTCTGTCAGCAAGCCATGATCGCGCAAAGAGTCAATTGAAGCCTTTTGAATCTTACCGTCGGGCTCTCGTATGAGCCACCGCTGATCTCGATAAAGTCGACGCCAGCCGCAGTAATGGCCTTTAGCTGCTCAAGGCAGGCTGCGAGCTCCTCGGACGACTGGTGGTCAGCCGAGTTGAGCTTGATGCCGACAGTGAATCCCTTGGGGGTGGCTTCCCGCATAGCCTTGATCACCTCAACCACGATCTTGGCACGGGCGACGGGGGAGCCGCCGTACGCGTCAGTACGCTTGTTGGACTTTTCCGACAGAAATTGGGCGAGCAGATAGCCGTGAGCGGCGTGGATCTCGGCACCAGCAAAACCGGCCTCGGCGGAGAGCTTGGCCGTCGCGGCAAAGCGCCGGACGACGTCGTCGATATCAGCCTGCGTCATCTCCTTGGGCGTGCCAAACATGAGCGACGAGATGAGCTTGGGTAGAATTCCGCTGCCAAAGTTGAGCGGTACGGCGCTGGGGGCCAGGTTCTTGGCAAACATGCCACGGCTGCCGGCGCCCATGGGCGACTGACGGCCCGGGTGGTTGATCTGGACCAAGGTCGGCGTGCCCTCGGCGTTGCAGGCCTCGGCCCAGGTTCGCCAGGCGGCCAGCATCTCTTCATATGGAATCTCATCATTGAAAGCGATATCCCCAGGGGAACCAAGATACCTTTTGTCGACCTCCACGTTGCCTAGATGAGTCGCGTTAATGGTAACCTCGTAGTACGGCGCACACGGCAGGAATACAAACCTGTCAAAACCATTCCCCAGCCCCCCTTGGCCCATACTTTGTAAGGAGCCCGGAACTTTTGATTGGGAAGACTGTTCTTATCGGCAAGGTTCTCAGCCATGGCCGCGTTCACCAGGCGATTCGGCAGCGTGAGGCCGCTCGCCAGCGTAATAGGCTTTTCAATATGTTCCGTCATTGTGTCGTTGTGTTATACGTGATCCCGTTGTACCAGACTATAGTTTCTTGACAACCAGATGAAATTGCCCCTTTCGGCCACAAGTCTTTTATAGGGACTCAATGTGTAAGAGGTTTCGGTTTTCGGATACCATTATTAAGCGAAGTTTTTTCACCTACCAAGGTCCGTGCAGCCTCGGTCCGCTGGAGAGAAACATACCACGGCGTCGAATTACGCCGATTTGGGTGCTAGAATCAACTGGAATTTGTAACTAGCTGATCGACAGGGTGTCTGATACTGCAAAGCACTACGGAAAGTGTCCGAACTTGATGAATCGTTCAGCAATCAATGGCGTGGCATTTTGCCTGTCTGCTTTGAATGTTGATTCATCAGCAGTGCCCCGTGGTATTCCGCGGACTTGGATACTATGCACAGTCTCAGCAGCAAAGTGAAAATACAAGAAAGAGGTTGTTTCTCAAATCGTAATTGACACTCGATTGCTGTAGGATGTGATTAAACTCAATGGCCGTTGCCCAAATGGATCAACCCGTAGAATCGCATTCTATTTCGATGTGCTTCTCTGAAAGGAATGTTTCCGATCTCCAACATTTCAAAGCTCGGCGAGCTCGGAAACCTTCCTGAACGCACGGGATTTGCATTACTCCGCCGAGTCCGCCACTTGAACGCGTACCTATGGCTAAGCCTTGGCTGGCAATCAATTGTTCTCTCATTTTGCTGCTACTATACGCAGTCTCACCTTGAGCATTGACAGCCAGAATTCCCAAGTGCATAGCTTTGTAAGCCGAAGAAAGCTTGGCGACGAATAAAATGACTAATCGAGGGCCATTTTGCTTCAATCTTTGAGGTTTCCTGGGCCATTGCTAAAAGAGCTTGTCTTCTACTAGCGCCGGAGATAGTCCATTTCACCTTGGATGCCGGTGATGTCGGAGACAACTATTGTCACCAGATGTGTGCAATGTGTTCGTGAAGGAGCACATTGAATGTGACTTGATCCCAAAGTCTCTTCCGTGGTGGCGGAGATCTGTGACAGTCGTCCAAGTTCTATCACGTCTGCATACGAATGCCTCTCCAGCTACGAATTCCTTACGATGTTGGATTGGGTCCTGCGCGAGTGAATTGGATTGAGAAATGAATACCTACCCAATGCCAGCATCGGAAAGTAGACAGACCAGATATGTACTGAGGATAAATCAAGTCTCTCGAACCTCGCAGTGGGATCATGGGCTCAGTAACGAACCTGATACTCACTTCTTTGTCCTTTGTCGTACAGCCGTGCGATCTAGCATGATGTTCCGCAACAGCAGAACACGTCGCCTACAGACAAGATAGAGCGACTTTTGAAGCGTAAACGGGGACACTTGCGGATCAACCACAAGCTTTTCACGAAACTTCACGAGAGAGTCAAGACATTGACAATTTCATCCCTGGAACTCGGCTGCGAGTGCCTCAGAATACCAGCCGAGAGAAGATTGTCAATATCGTTCAACACGAAACACAGCCTGTTCAACATCAATATCGGTCATTTCGTCAATAAACCCCGTCGGCTCTGGTAGGTATGGTGACCCCGAAATCTGTCAATCCTGCACACTATTGCTGCGAATCACTGCGGCTGTCGGGCTTGGTGCTGGACCAAAGTATAATTGAATGGCGGCGGTCCAGACTCACTGAGGACCCCCAACGGTCCCAGGGCTGAGTGAGCTTTGCGGAATACTGTCTACTGCGTACGTATGCTCACTATTGTCCAGCCGGCTCTCGAGTACGAGATTGCTAGAGCAGAGCACGTGGTCAAGATTGCGCCATGAATTCTAAATGATTTCCTGGCCTCTCTGTAACAACTGCCGTTTGTGCCCAGAGGAAAAAGAGAGCTTTGGAGAGTTCCAGAAGGACGCAGCCTGAAACTCAATTGATTGCTTGGGACGAGAAAAGAGTTGCGTTGGTGTTGGGGGAGGCGCATTCCCGCACCCGACCGCCCGCATCGGCATATCCTAGACTTTTGCCAGTCTCTTTTTCGGGTTTTTTTCTTTCCTTTTTTTTTTCCCCTGCAGAAAACGGTCCACATTTGACAGACACCATTTGCTCACCTGCTCTTGCATCTGCCGGGGAACACGTGGGTTGGGCGTGGTTTTCAAGCCTTGATTTGGGAAATGCTGTGCAGATCAACGAGCAATTGGGCCGAATGTGTACATAGTAGGGCGAGGGATTAACCAAGATCACCGTCCTGAGTCCTGCAAATATTGATGACATCGGGCACTAGCCTCAACTGTGTCGCGGGGTTGGTCGATCTGGCGGCTTCTTCCATGACAATTTTTGTTATGGTTTTTCTCTTCTCTCTATCTCTTCTATCTTGACCGTCTATTTGCAATTTTCGGTGCCTGGTGCCTTGCTTGCCTTGTGGTTAAAATTACGGAAGCAGACATGCGCCTCGTCAATCAATTGACTTGTTTGGATATGCAGAGTGGCTTATACAATTGATAGCACGAGACTAGGATTCAGATTGGCAGCGATTGGCAATTGCCAATGGGGTGAATTATTCGTTAGTTGCCCAGTAGACTTCTTGCTCGGTGCCGTCATGGCCCAAAATGTTTTTCTTTACTATCGCCAAGAGTGGACTCTGCAGTGGAGGCCGTCTGATCAATTCTGTTCCTTCTGGAGAAGACCCCAGTTACACCTGAATTGGTAACTGGGGTTGCGGTCTCAGGAGCCACATTTTCCCTCCGGCAGCTGATATGCCAATCAACAACTGATACGATTTATTCACACGATTACATGGTTGCAGTGTGCGGCTGAGGCCCGAGGGGAGGGGTTGTTGCTCCAGGGATTGGATAGGTGACTTCGTATCAGGAAAGGGGTATTTGAATTTCGCGAAAGTTGCCGTAGGCAAGTAAGAGATGGGGGAGTCCACCCCGTTCCTTGAGAAATTTGGTCAATGGACGCCGCGCCGTAAGGACGAACTTGCACCATCACCAGCACTAATCGTGCTGCTACTCTACTCCTACTCTTAATGGGATGGGGATCGGGTAAGTATTCCGGCTGCTGGCTGTAGGTATTACACCCCGATTTGCGGCTTGCGAGGCGCCGCAAAACTGCAAGACGGCCTCAACTGTCGCCATGCTAGTGTATCTTAGCAAGAAAGACGGCGGCCGGAGGGAGCAACATTTACGGAAAGTGGGTGACCTATGTCATATGCAAGGGCCCAGTTCCCCATCAAGGTTAAGAATTTCAACAATGTCAACGCGTAATCGTGCAAAGAACGGCGCCTGGGCAGTCACTAACGGCCCAGCCGGTCCACGTCTTTAGCGTATCATCATGCGATCTTGCCGCCCTAGAGGAGGGCTTTTTTTTTTCCTTACTTGTGGGGGTTCATGGCGTGACAGTCGGAACAGTCAGACCTGAGTAAACAAATGGAACTCGCTGCAAGGGCATTGGCAGGAGGCGATCGAACTGATTTGTTGCGCAAAGAATACCAAGGAGGGTCTAGGCGAGTGATTAGATATTGCGCATGCATCGGACATGTAACTGTGCTGTGCACACAGGACATACTACCCTAGGTTACCGAGGATCGGTTGCAGCGCTCGGTTCTTTTCCTCCCCGAATATGCATCTCGCGCGTTGCATTGCAGGTGGGGGATTTGGGACGAGCTCTAACCATTGCGCTGGGTGAAGTTTCGCTTGATTCGGAAACTCCTTCTCGATTCATACAAAGTGGCACATTCATCGTAGATGTTCCGTCGTGGTTCTAGCTCAATGGAATAAAGTTGAAGTTGGCATTGGTGAGGCTGAGCCAGAATCATAGGACCGAATTCATATCCGAGCACTATAGTTTTGGGCGCCACGAACCACTTCATGGTGCATCCTTGGCTCTTTGTTTTCTCCTACCGAGGCGGCAATACCACGGGTTGCCGCTGTCGTGACTGACAAATTTTCATGTGTCAATGGGCATTCCCAGTCTCCATTAGCAAAAAGCCCCTGCTTTTACAACTTCAGCCTTGCCCACAATCCTTGTGTGTGTGAGAAGACCCTTTTATTGTCTTTTCGTCCGGGGTTTCCGATAAGATTGTCCCTTGCGTTACCTCATCCAGGATTCCAGGAAAGTCGTCGCCCTTCATTTATGCGAGGCGAGCAAGCCTGGGTTTGAAAGGCCCAACAACAGTTTTGCAAACCTCCTTTTCATAGACTTGTTGATGATAGTTGCAGAGATTTGGTAGACAAGAAAATCATTCGATTAAGCATCTCGCATCGCATCAGATTGCTCGATTCAGATCCTCTCCACGCGCCATATAATTCCGAATCGTGCGAGCCGAAGTGTGCAGTTGCCGTTGGATCTGGTCTTCATCTTGTTTCAATGGCTTCTGTGCTGGTTGGGCACTTGCAGTTAGTGGCCATGACCTAGAATATCTCTAGGGAAAGCCCCGAATGCGCCCGTCACGTCCCGGATGGCCGCGGTAGGCTACAGGATGTTAGTGGAAAACCTAACGGATATGCCAACCAAAGTCAGTGCACTTAATACACATGTGGCGTTGAAACTAGATTATATCTTGAAGCTCTAACGATCCTGAAGCGCTCATGACACAAGGAGACCATGGCAATAATCCGATGAATTAAAATGCTGCAATATTGGACGGCGTGGACGACAGACGGGTATACTCGCGCTGCCTGCCGGTCCAGGCACGCGGGCTTTTCTGGCTTGGCCGGGGTGGCTGACTCGCACCACTGCGGTATACCACAGTAGCTCGCTTAGAGTTCACGGCTATCCTACACATTTTTATCTCAGTGGGGGTGCAATTGGGGAGTCCCTTGCATAACGAGCGAGCTTGGCTAGCCAGCCTACCACTCACACAGACAGATCGGGAAGCTGCAGATATCCACCCACATTGATGCTGTCGTGATTCGACTTGACATGTCTAGAACCCCTGGCTGGTCTCATTACATAGCTCCGCTTCGTCTCCCGGATCTGCATCCAACATGGACGGTTCTCTCTTGACCCTGGACCACGTCACCTTACTGGGCCACGGGGATCAGCACTGCGCACTCTTTATATCTATGTACACGGCGCTCCCAGGCACGCAAGTTTAAGGTTGTTTCTCCTCTTCTCCCTTCTGGGGTCCAGCTTGCAGCTAGAGCTCATACACTCATTCCTATGCACAAACACACTTGAGATACTCACCTCTGGGCCTCACCTTCCCACCCGAAGCAGCCATGTCGGCCCTCGAGGCGGAATTATGGGCGTGGTACGCCGTCACAGCCCTCGTGGTAGCGGCCCGAATGTGAGTGAAAACATCTCCACCACGGATCGAAACATGTTGTTCGAGGCTCACACAAACTCCACTCAGTATATCCCGACGGATGCTCCACGGTTCCTTCTTCAAGTTACAAATCGACGACTTTATTATGATTCTGTCCTTTGTACGGTGGTCCGGCCTTGAAGAAGATGGAAACAAAACAAATAAGCTAATCGATTCACCAGATCTCCCTCACTGTCGTCACTGTCGGTGTTAGGATTTTGACTTATACCCCAACCAACTTGATCAAGGATGTGAGCAAGGTCGACCTTACCGAGGAGAATATTGCACTCAGAGTGTATGGCTCGAAGATCGTTATAGTCGTGGAGCAAATGCAGATATTCCTAATCTGGAGTGTCAAAGTGTGCTTGCTCATCATGTACAGCCGCTTGACGTAAGAGGACCGCCTTCCAGAACATCTAGAGTATCGTCCAAGCTGACACCGAGGAATAGGACGAGTTTAAAGCAACACTTGTTCGTCAAGATCACGGCGGGGTATACGGCCCTGAGTTTCGTAGTGATGGAGATCCTCTTCTTCGCTGCGTGGTGCCGACCATTCTGGCATTATTGGCAGGTGCCTACAGATAATAGTGAGTTGACTTGCCAGAGGGACGAAGGCGGCATGAAACTGACCTGTCGGAACCTAGTCAACTGTTCAATGGAGAGAGACCATCTCATTACCAATACAGTATTCAACATTTCTTCTGATCTCATGATCCTGGCACTGCCGATGCCTGTTTTCCTAAAAGCCCAATTACCACCAAAGCGAAAAGCCATCCTAGTCGGCGTCTTCCTTCTAGGACTATTCACGGTAAGCTTTGTCCTGGCTCATGGACCGAACATCTCTAACTCGTCTTGACTAGATCCTGTCCGCACTCCTTAGCAAAGCATACAGTTTCGGAGATCCATTCGGCACAGACTGGATCGTATGGTATATTCGCGAAGCCAATACGGCAATCATCGTGGCAAACCTGCCGTTTACGTGGACCCTTCTCCAGCGCATGTTCAAGCTCAGATCGTTCCACGCAAAATCAACGGCAGAGACGCCCGCAATCACCTCGAGATTCCGATCCGCATACGGAAATCTGGCCAGTATGGCAAGCCGACCACGGACACAAAAGGGAATGGGGGATTTGGACCTCAGTGCCACGGAGAGTCAGGAGGGAATCAACAGCATACCACTCAAGATCTACCAGCAAAACGAGGTCCACGTCACGACGGAGGAGTTGAACACAAAGAGTGGGCAGAGCACACCTCCAGAAGGTCTGCCTCCTGCAACTCATGTCAACCATGTGAATTTCAACATTGGTGCAAACCAGGAACGTCTCTCGGACGACAAGTCATCGACGGGAGAGGTAGACATGGGTACTGTAACAACTGTGGGCCGTGGAATATAGAGGTTTTATCCCAAATGCCGGCTAGTTTAACATATAATGAGATCACATGCACCCCAACCGACCCCGACTCTCGAGATGGGTTGCGTCTTGTCGGCTTCAAGCGATTGACTCTGTTATGTCTTCCAAAAGTGCTATTCTGTAAACGACAGGCAAGATGTCAGGTAAGTTGCAAGGATCAGGACAAATGCTAATTTGCGTATAGAAGAGACTATTCGCCATAAGTCGACTTGATTTGCTTACATTATCCCTGCTTCCATCCTTCCTCTACTCTACCTGAGACGAGTACTGTCAGCATAATGGCCAGTGTGTGAGCCCATACAACTGCGCCGTCGGCGCGCACCATGGCGCTATGCTAAACTCCGGCAAACCCCGCAGCGAGCTAAATGTCAACCCCATATACGAAACTCGGCATCATCACTTCAACTTTCATCTCATACCTCAGTGAGCTCAACAGCTTGAGGTCCCCCGTTGAAATCTCACCATTCAGAGAGTCCGAATACACATCATCCAACATGACTCCTCACTCCTCGTCACGCATCATCACCAGAAAACGCGAAAGGTTGGCATGCAAGGAATGTCGGCGCCGGAAGCTAAAGTGCGATCGGACAAGCCCGTCATGTAGTAGCTGTACCAGGAGAGGCGACGGGGAGTCCTGCACCTATCAGCGGCTGGCACAGACTCCCGAAGACAGGCAAGAGCAGCGTGCCGCAACACAAGCACGGCTGGAGCATTTAGAACAGCTTGTTCATCAGCTCGCCAGCCAACCCAGCACTGCTTCAGGCACTTCCTTGACGCCTCCACTCCAGGCCGATAGCGATACCTTTGAATCTGAGATATCAAGTGGGACGGTTGTGAATGGAGAGAGTCTCACCTACAATGGGGCCACACACTGGTCCGCTATGCTTGAAGACATCAACGAGCTGCGACTCGTTTTGCCCATCGATGACGCAGCTGCCCTTGACGACCATCCAGACGTATTACCCGAGGATAAAGGCGTGGAACTTCTCTTTGGAGGCGGCGTGTGCTTACCTCTTGATGTTGTCATTGCCACTTACCTGCCTCCGCGACAGGAGGTCGACCGCATCATATCAGCCTACTTTCGCGCCGAGGCCATTGCCGCTCCCTTTATTCACGGGCCTCAGTTTCGCAGATTTTATCAGGAGTTCTGGAAGGATCAGACATCGTCGTCACCACTATGGTTATCAATATTATTCTCAATTCTTCACATCTCCTCTCACACGCTTCGACGCAACATAGACCCAGTTGCAACTAATCAATTCTCGGTCGCAGCAGCGCATTGCTTGACCAGTGGGCACTACTTTCGTCCCAAACGATTTGCTGTGGAGGCTTTAACCATCTTTACTCAAGCCCAGTGCCTTACCAGCAAAGAGTTGCCACCTGACATTGGCGCCCTCATTGGGCTTACCGTCCGTGCTGCCACAAACATGGGCTACCACAGGGAAATCGAAGGCCCACGAATCTCGCCTTTTGAGAGAGAAATGAGGAGGCGGACTTGGTCCTTTTGTATGCAGCTCGACGTCTTGATTGCATTTCATCTGGGCCTCCCTACAAACATCCAATTCCCAACCTGGAACACGCACCCGCCAACAATCCTCCCAGATTCAGCATTCGATGAGGACACTGTACTGTTGCCACCATCCCGCCCTGAGTCAGAGCTTAATCATAGGCTGTTTTACCTAGCAAAGCATCGATTCATGGTATTTCTGGAGAGAATCTTGCGACACACCTTATCTGCGCAACCCGATCCCAGTGAGGTCGACAGTCTAGATGCCGAGGTCCGCGCTGTATTCGAAAACTTGCCCGAATACATGAAACCACGGTCTGTGGCTGATTCCGTGATTGACTCGGCCAGTCTCATGGTCACTCGACTGTGTGTTTCCTTCATTTATTGCAAGTGTCTCTGTGTGCTACATCGTCCATATGTAACACAAGGACGACCAGAAAGTATCGTCATCTGCCACGATGTTTCTTTGCGTCTCGTCAGGGAATACGTTGATGCGTACGCCGAATTCGCACCCGGAGGGCAGGCGGAGACGGAAAGCTGGTTCACCAGCGCCCTGAGCTGGCATGACTTTCTCTTTGGCAACATGGCCTTGTGCTTGGTGATTTGTGCCATGAGCAGCAATCCAGCCAGTCCCGTGATTGACCTGAGTTTGACGTTGGAAACATTGGAGAAATCTCGCAGGTTGTGTGCAGATGAAGTGCCAACGCGACACAAGGACACTAGGAAGGTGCTGGCTCTCATCACTGCTGTTATCCGCAAGTTCAGTGTGGTGGATCTAGCGACTCAAGACTCTTTTAGTATGGATACCATTGGAATGATTCCTGAAACGTCGAAAGACCTGTTGCTGGATTTCCCAATGGATACCACCTGGGACAACATGTGGGATACCATGGGGCCTGTAACTGGCCTTGCGCAGGATCCATCTTGGCAGTATTTCAGTCAGTTCTTGGACGCTTCTGTCCCAGCCTGATGACAATACTTTACTAGATTAGAAGCTTCTACAACGTTACGCCTTTCCACCGTTCGCGGCAGCTAATCGGTCTATGTTTCCGATTAGCGTGGATACTTGATGATTTCATAATAGGGTTCTTCATTCTTCATAACGATGAGGATGTGTAATTTGAGATCTCCAGGCTATTCGTCTCGAGGTCTTCCTGAAGTTGTTCTATTTATATTGAACCGCCGGCTATCATGCCTAGCTGGCGGAGTGAGAGAGACCCGCAGGCAGTAAGAGCCTGGGCCAGCAGTTATACGGACATCTCAGCGTCACTCATGCAGAAAATGGTCACGTGAAACTTTCCACACTCCGTCCAATTCAAGACTTGATAATAAATCACTGACGGCAACCAAAATTTAAAAAACGGTCGCAGGATATTTTTAGCTCAGAGGTGGGGCCACTTCGTCAATATTCACTTTTACACCGGTGCCACCCGCGAGTCTCTTAACTAGCCACAACCTATGCTCCATTCTCATTACAGACCTCATCATGCTCTTTACCATCCCGAACCGGCAGCAGCCATATGACACAGGTAGATAGAGCTATCATGGCAGCAGCGCAAATGAATGGCAGTCCGATCAAGTCTCCACCCAGCTCGAAACCACGACGCAGCGATGAAAAGAGCGCTGGTGCTCCTGCCATCAAACCAAGCATTTCGAGTATGCCGAGCAGCGAGTTCATAGTTCCGAGATAACGATGCTCAACCATATTGCTCAAGAGACTGCGAAGGACCGCGGTCATGCCACCATGAATGGCAAACGTGGTGAGACCTATGGGGCTATCAGTCAAGAACTTCAAATCATCTCTCGATTAGGAAAGGTTCATACCCGAGATCAAAATCTCTGGTGTTGATGCCAGTGCGATCAACAGAGCTCCAAGGACACCCGCGAGACCAGTCAGGCGAGCGACCCACACGTCTCTCCGAATGACGGATACTTTGAATCTCGTGGTCAGTAGTTGGGTCAAGGCGGGAAGAATCAATATCAGCACTACAAGGCTGACAGCACTCCGTATCGTCAGGAGGAATGAAGCCTGTAAAGAGGTTAGTTGCGCATGTCGGTACGGTATGCAAAGTTGGGATTGACATACTTTACTCCAGCTCCAGTTGTATCGCTTGGTTGCGTACTGTAATAGCATGATCTGCACAACTTTGCTTACTGCGACCAACACGTAGCAGAACATGAAAATGATGACCAGCCCATGGCCACTCAGGAATGAGCGAATCTCTCTCCCACCTTCGCGCACTTGGCGGATCGATCCCTGTAGAATGGAATCATCCGAGGTCGACGTTCTTGCTGCCGCGTCATTTGCGTCGTCTATGTCTTCATCCAGTGCTGCCTTGCTAAGGTGCAGGGTATCTGGAAGGAGAAAAGTGGTCGCAGTAGCTAGCACGTAAAAGACGGAGGCCAATGCAATCAGTCCCCAGACACTTTTCAGCAGGACCAGACCTGCAAGCGGTCCAGAAGCCACTTCTGACAGGATGAATAGAGCAGCAAGTTGGAAGAAGATTGGCGCCCTGGTTTGATTATTAGCGGTAATTCTTATGTTCTCAACTCGAGCAGTCAATCAGACCTTGCGCTGACAGAGGTTATGTCTGCTATCGTAGTATACAACATTGCTGTGAGCACTGCAGGCCCACCACCCAAGAACATGAACATGGGTGACACTAGGACCAACTTGACTGGGAAGAAATCAAAATAGACTGTCGGGTATGGTTAATAGAGAGGTCTAGCGAGCACAAGTCAATAGAGATGACAACACTTACGAACCATGAGCTGGAATGCAAGCCCAAGTGTAATTCCGCTGAATGCCAGCGATAGGACTCGATGTCGGCCCCATTTATTTGATATAATTCCATAGGGAATAGTGGCGACCAAACCTGGCAGAGTTAAAGGTCAGCAGCACGTATGATATTTGCAACTTGCAGATGTCTTGGCTACATGATGACCAAAATGATCATTAACCCCAACATGAGCCGTCTGTTGCTTTCCCATTCGACGGTGGTGGACCTGATCGCTGGAGGAACAATAACCTACTGGGGACACAATCCAACGTGGTCCTCCACCCTTGGAGGTCTGCAAGTTCACCCTGCACGTCGGGTGCCTTGCAGTCGCGATCAAGCGGGTCGATGTTGGAGTATATTTTGTCGCATATCTTTTGCTCCAGGGCGGCCGTTTGCGCGGGTATGAATAGACCGGCACCAAACTCTAGGAAAAAGAACATGGCAAAGGTCACTATAATGACCCGGCGACGATAAGCATCTGCCCCGGACCGCTCGTTGCCCTCGTCAAGCAGAGGACTGGCCTCGGTTGTTTCCGCCCCGCCATATGGCTCGCGGTGGTTGCTATCATCGTGATTCATACCAGCAGGTCTAGACAACAGGGGCGGAAGGAAGGGATCTCGCTGCGGATAGGTATGGGCGATACTTGCATGGTTATTGCGAAAATGAGCGATATAACATTGTGCCCATTTTAAGTCGACGAGTTTGGCATTTGCAAAACAGCTGCTAACGATGAGCGTGTGGGGGCGGCCTACGACGCCTAAGGGATTCAGACAGAAATAGGCGGGCCCGGTAATGCGAGATGATACGTGATACGCAGCGCTCAGTGCACCCATAGTCAGGACCCCTGCGTCTGTATCTTAGCGTACCATCGCTTTTCACGTAGCGTTTGGCAATGTCGCCCAATCAGATAGAGTGTATTTCCTATAGAAGTATCTTATTTGGCAGTGCATCGTGGACAGAATTCGTGGTGTTCAATACAATGCAGTAGTCTTTCGACAGACTGGTGACGATACTGCATATATTGATACCTGCGACAGCGAAACCTTTGACGAAAGTGCATGCAGCAGCAACCTTTGCGAACGCCGACAACTCTATCTGTTATCACCTAGGTTAGGTCCTTGGAGAGACGGGGTTGATCACGGGTCGACTTTTCAGGGGGAAAAAAAATTGTAACTTTCAAGACATGAGTATGAGGCAATTCCTATCTAGGTATTTATAAAGCCCCAAATGAAGTTGACCTTAATATCGATGCAAGTATAGTCCACGACAAACTCTGCATTTAGGTATATTGAGGGGTGGAGAGGTGGATAGATGGCAGCCCTTTTCCTGAGTCTCGACACAAGTATACAATGATACAGATGGAATAGTACGCATATACTCAACTGATGTCTATTTCAATGCATTCTTCATCATTGCCTTTGCCGGACTGGTCAACATATAAGTAACTCATTCTTCGCTCGTTGTTCGTAAATAACGAGTACTAGATTCTTGATGACCATTGAACCGACATATTTGTAACAATACAAATCGCGCCAACGTGTTCCATATTTGATTTTTTGAGCCGACTTTCAATGATGCCGTGAGTGAGATATGTATTTACTTTTGATAAGTTTCCATATGTGAAAGGAGGTGTTCTCCCATGAAACCTTGTATTGCCCATGAGTACCGAAGAATTATGAAGTCGGGACCGGGCCCGGCCCGTATTCACGTGTTTGCTACACGGTGCGACTAATACCCAGTGGATGCAAGTCCGCGGCGTAGGATACCTAATAATTTTGAGCAGCAGCTACCTGCACATGAAAGGAATAGGATGGACGCACTGCATCATGTCTCCAATGGTGTTGACACCACGTAGGGAAGGTTTGTAACGCTGATTGGGCGGATAGCAGCAGCATGCATTGCTGTTCAAGCAAGATATCTCAATATGGAGAACTTTGGCTGGGGTTGTTGTGGGACCCCGGCAGGTCGGAACCTGTCCCAAGTTCAATATATGTTCCTATCTTGGTACCCAAGCCGCACGCATCTGAGATTCACCTGTTTGTTTCCCATACCAGTGCTTTACGATAATTACTCCCGACACGTGATGGACTCGCCTCGAGTTCAATTCAGCATGATGGACATCGCAACTTTAGAAGGACTTCTTAGAGCATCATCTACGATGGCCATAATCTGGATCGCGTTTCACTTGCTAAAGATGATCTACAACATCTCTCCAATTCATCCGCTGTACCACATCCCTGGCCCAAAGCTGGCAGCAGTTTCCTACCTCGAAGAGCTCTACCACGATGTCATTCTCCATGGAAGATATACGCATGAAATCCGCAAGATGCACAAACGCTACGGTAAAACGTGAACTCGCCATTGCTGACATTCAGTAATGGATTTGCTAGTAATGATCTGACTTATGGTAACAGGCCCAATTGTCCGAATCAATCCCAACGAAGTCCACTGTAATGACCCAAGCTTTGTTGATGAGATCTACGCCGTAGGGGGGCGGAAGCGGGATAAACCGATTCACCAAGTGAACATGACTGTGTCGGTCACATCCCAAAGTCCTCGGGCAAAACGAAAGTTAACAAGGGGCAGCATCCGTAACTCTGGGTTTGGAACCGTAGATCACGACCTTCATCGCGCAAGACGGTCGTCGGTCGCCAAGTTCTTCTCAAGGGGCATGATTGCGCGCTTGGAAGGAGACATTGCCGCCATGACGCAGAAAATGTGCGACAAGATCCTCGCGCAGGGAGCTGCGCCGTTTGATGTCGCCGTGGCTTGCAGTAACCTCACGACCGACGTGATTTCGGGGTACTGTTTCGGCGAGACCTTTGGTCTACTTGATCGGCCGGGGTGGAAGCCAAACTTTCGTGACCCAACCATGTCCACGTTGAGATACATGTTCATGTTCAGATTCTGGCCTTTTCTCAAAGGACCCACCAAGATTGGCGTATGGTGAGTGTCTGGTCGAGCGGTTTCGTGTACGTGGCTTATTGATACATAGGTTCGTCGACATGTTACCCGATGAAACCGCTCTATTGGTGCGAACAATGCAAATTGACATTCCCGCCAAGGTGAAGAAGGCGATTGACGACTGGAATGCTGGCATCGTGTACGAGAAACCGACTATAGTCGGCGCGATAATGGATTCCGATCTAAGCGCAGAGGAGAAGAGACCCGAGAGGGTGGCTGATGATGCCTTGGCTGTCGTGGGCGCGGGCACGGAAACAACAGCTTGGGCACTGGCAGTCATCACCTACCATCTTAAAACGATGCCTGAAATGCTAGAGCGGCTGAACAATGAGCTCCAAGAAGTAGTACACGATCCGAGGCGTAAGTCATACTTCAAATGGGCCACCCTGATATCTCTTCGGGAGAAGAGGGTTTTGCTGGATGGGCCACACGCTAAAAATACTCGTTCTGGGCAGAACTACCCTCATGGACAGTGTTGGAGAGACTCCCTTACCTATCTGCTGTCATTCAGGAAGGCCTTAGACTTTCACTGGGTGTATCAGGGCGGACGGCTCGAATACCAACAGAGGAGTCTCTCAGTTATCGTGGTAAATGGCAAGGGAAGGAGGTTCATCATGTACTGCCCAAAGGATACGCCATTGGCATGACGTCGGCCATCACCCACTACGACGAGGCCGTCTTCGAGGACCCCATGAAGTTCGATCCGGAACGTTGGCTCCGCCCGGAGCGGAGAAAGGTACTTGACTCTGGTATGCTCATGTTTTCCAAAGGCAGCAGAGCTTGTTTGGGAATGAAGTATGTCTTTCCTGTCCACTTGCTCAATTGCTACATCCAGCACTGTCTGACCGTTGCCAGCCTTGCCTTGTGTGAGCTACATCTTGCATTGGTTGCATTGACGCTTAGAGTCTTCCCGCATATACGCTTGTATCAAACAACGGAAGAAGACCTTCGTTACGATTACGACATGTTGATACCTATGCCCAAGGTGGGAACAAATGGCGTTCGGGCGATACTTGCCACCGAGTGAAATCCTTGTGAGAGATCAAGGGACCATTTCATAGACACTAATTACATCATTGACAATCGTTGTGGGTTTGACAATCTGCACTTGGAAGCACATTTATCATGATCAGGTCTCAAAAGTCCCACTACCTCAATAACACATCAAATAGGTATTCATCGCTAAAACTGGTTATAAATTTTACGTCAATCAAATATGCATGGCTTCTGTCCGCAGCCTGGTATTATTCCAACCCCCTAATCTAAATGCAAAAAGTTTTTGTGCTCCTAGCCAATCCCATGAGATGGTACATGTTTATGATTGGAAGATGCAGTCTTTTGGGACGCTCCGGCGGCAGTAGTGTCATTTCTAAGCTCATAATCAGAGCCTATCCCCTGGTGCGGGTGTGTACAGTTCGTAATGCTGTTGGGTCTGAGGATGCCCCTGGGCGGGAGAGTACATTTCGTAATGTGGCGTATTCGGCGTCTCGGCCATGCTGCTGTAAAGTTCGGACCGGTTCTCCGTCATGTTTGACGGGGCGTACGACCCATCGGTGACGCCGCCGCCACCGTAGACTGGTAGCTTTGCCTTTCCTGCCGCAATGGCCGCGTCGTTGTTGTATCCATTGTATCCACTGGCGGGCATCTCGGAGGGCTGGCCGCCTCCGCCGGCCGCGGCCTTGGTCTGACGCGCCTTGCGGCGTCGGTAGAAGAATAAAAATGCCGCAATAAGTCCCAATATGACGGCGACGGGAATAGCGACACCAATGCCAATCTTGGCACCTGTCGATAAGCCGCTCGAGGCGCTCGATGACGAAGACGGGGTGGATGTACCAGTGGCATCGGGATCACTTGTCGTAGTGGCGGTAGAAGACACTGATATGGTGCCGGTCGTTGCGGTAGAGCCACCTGAAGTGGTTGTGGCGTCGGAACTCGACCCCGAAATGTTGAAGTAATGCGATGTAGCCTGGACTGGGGAGCTGCCTTCCTTGTAGGTGGCCAACATGAAGACATTTGACTTGCTCAGTTTAATACTATCATCAAGCGTTACTCGCCATGAATAGTCGGTGCGATTTATCACGCTTTCTGTAGAGCCATGTTAGTCAATCGGATATGGTCGCACTGAGGGGAGGAGCAGACGAACGAAGAATGTACTGATAGGTATTGGTTGCATTGCCGTCCACCGTTTCGGCTTGGTACAGCCTAATCGAAAATGCCGTATCCGTAGGTGCGTCCCAAATCAAGTTGACAATTGTGTTTTCCACAAATACCGAGTTCTCGCTGAAATCACCCCAAGTTGCCATATCTGGGGGATTGGACCACCCCCATTTCGACATGATGTTTCTTTTTACTGCGACGGCTGAGCCCGTCTCGTCTACTGCCTTGATCCTTGGAGAAATGGAGGAGATCGGGGAACACGAATATTATATGAGGGAGAAAGTGATGATCTCGCGCTGACTGTGGATTGATCACGTATAATACAGAATAAGGATGATCTACTGATGCTTCGGTACAGCTGCGGGAAAAGAGGAAGGGAAAAAAAAAATAACGAAGAAGGATAAGAATAGAACAGCAAGCAACCTTGTTTAGCATTAAAGAAACGGAGGTCATGGATGTGAGACTGAGGATTAGCTTACCGACGAGACTATGGAAACCCGCCTTGAGGTGCCCAGCTTGTCTGTAATTGGATCGTCATGTCTCCAGTATCTTGAAGGATTCAAGACCATGCCGCAATAAGATCCGCCGCCACACTAAGTCGAGCTGTGTCGAGCACTAGCAACAAGTTCGCTTAAGATAGTGTAAAGGATAGGCCTGGTAGGGCAAGCGGCACAGCAGAAAATAGTATAGATTTTCAGCGGAGCCCAAGGCTCCAGAGTAAAGGTAGTGCTATTTTGCCAGCGTGCCAGACTCCATTTGTGTGAAAAGTTGAGCCATGGTTGCGAAAAAGAACCTGATCCACACTCCGAGATCAGTATGTGCCGATTGTTGTAATCACCTCATGGCACCATGGGACCAGAACGCCAAGATGAGCGAAGGTCGGAAGAGCAGAAGCCCGAGAAGCTCACAGAGTATCGCCAGTTCAAGTCCTCTCGAGCTCCCGTGATGAGTGGTGATGCCATGGACGAGTTGCTGCTCTTGAGGTCGGGTGACGGATCTCACAAGTTACTATTCATCTGAACTCTGGACGCACAAAACGTCATAGGGTATGGTTAGAGTGATGAGATCAAACACTTGACGAAGCAGCATTTTGTTGGCTTAGACGTCTGTACGATATACAAGGCAGACACTTGGCCATCTTCTAGCAGCACAGCCTCTTCTCTTTGCTGTTCTTTCTTTCGAGTCTCGACTTTTCGTTGCATCTTCCAAGCCTGTCGGCGAAAACCCGGCCTGCCCACCTGGGCAGCAAGATGCAACCCAGCAACCCGACAACCAGGAAAGCCAGGCATTGCTGGGCAGTGGAATGGCTGTGATACGGAATAATGACTGCGCAGCTGCAGGGATTCAGTGAAGAATGTGGTGCCTGGCAGGCCAAAAGGTCCATTGCAGGCAGCGGGAGGGGAATACCTAAATCAATGGGGGCCCATGTAAAATGCATCTCATCTGAAAGAGGGGTGATTGGAACTTTTTTTTTTCCTTTCCTTTCTCGTTCACATGCTTTGTTTCCCTTCAACTTTGTTCCCAATTTGGAGGGGTAAGTTCAAGTACGCGCAACTCCAACGCATTTCGGCCTCTGACAGAGCAAAGAGACTCTTGACAATTGCTTTCCCTATCTTCATCCCCATGATGCGTCCTGTTGATTTATTACTTATTTGAACCCGTGAGACCGCTAAGTAATAAGGGGTAGCTGATGGATCTTTGGTGTCTCCACCCAGGCCGATCAGTCCGTTGTGCTGAACAAGCTTAACCTGTAGACTTTTTGAAGATAAATGGAGATTAGGAAGTAGGGTGCTTCTTGATTGGACCAAACCAGCATCACCGACAAGACTCTAAAGTCAATCGTTATTTTGACTGGACCAATACGAGTGCTGACATAAGTGGATCATACTTGTCGTTTTACCCAAAACGGAGAGAGCTTTTTATTCTCCCCTAGTCAGTTTTCTTTGTCGTCTGATGAGTAGCCACACGGAGTTTGTGGCAACCCAAATCGACTTGCCCTGTTCTATTCGGTTGCATCTGTTGGTTGCCTTCAAGGTTACATTCCACCCCAATCCCAACCTGCCTTCTCTCTCTATCGCTCGCTCAGCTCACCCCACGCCCTAGTTTCAGTGGTTCTTATTACTCTAAGTTCACAACGTGCTGCTCCGATGCTGACGAGAAGGATCATCCTCTGTACTTTTGTGGTCGCACGTTGGGTTTGATTATTTTGTACAACAATTCTTCTATTTCCAACTTGATCTAAACTTGTTCCATGTCTTCATTGTCCATCTTTTAATCATAGTCATTCCTTTTCTTCTGCCATCACTGGAGACTTCTTCTTCCCTTGCTCGCTTTCCTTCCTCCCTGTCTCCAATGGGACCCACCATATTCCGAAGTCCAACCGCAAGGAACACCTTTGTCTTTTGTGTCTTCCTTGGTTTGATATTTCACTTTCGTCTGTGGAATTTGTATCCTAGCGATGATGTTGTAGAGCCTGTGCATGTGCCCGCGACTGCCGCGTCGCACGGAGATGGAGGATTTGGCGGCAGCGGCAGCGATCCAGTACATCAAGACCACCAGCAGCAACAGCCCTCGCACACGGCCGTGCCGCCGTCGCAACCTCCAGCGTCGTCGGAGCAGCAGCCCGTGCCAGAGCCATTTCCGAAAAAGATATGGTACAAGCTAGGTCCCAAGGGCTTGTCCAACTACGCAAAGACGTGGACGGACTCGTGCATCAACCAGAACCCCGAGTACAGCGCCAAGTTCCTGACCGACGAAACTGCCGACGCTTTTGTCAATGAGCATTTCGTCGGCTACCCGGACGTCCTCGAGGTGTACAATTCTCTGACGGTGCCCATCCTCAAGGCCGACATGGTGCGCTACATGCTCCTGTACGTCGAGGGCGGCGTCTGGTTCGACCTGGACGCGTCCTGCGAGGGTATCCCCATTGATCAATGGGTGCCCGCAGCCCACGCCGCCGATGCCAATCTGGTGGTGGGTTGGGAGTTTGACGGCGGCTACCACTTTGAGTTTGAGCACCAGTTTGTCACGTGGACGGTCATGGCCAAGAAGAACGTTGCGCATCTCCTGGTTGTCATCAAGGACATTGCCGAGTCGCTGCGCCGCATGGCCGAGGCCAACCACGTCGATGTGTCCGATCTGACCATGAGCATGATTGGGGACGTCATTGAGGCTACGGGACCCAAGAGATTCCACAAGAGCGTGGTCAACAATCTTGAAAAGTCAGTGGCCCAGCCCATCAATTGGGAAGACTACCACGAGATTCTCGAACCCAAGATGGCGGGGGATGTTCTGATACTGCCTGGGTATTCGTTGGCAGCGTCCTACAACTCGTATGAGCCAGAGGACCAGGACAAAGTCGGGCCATCGTTGGTGGTGCATCACTATGCCGGTACCTGGAAAAATGAACACGGCGGAGAAACGAAAGAATAGATTAAGATACCCATATTAGAGAGATATAGAAGCCAGTGGCTGTCTGTTTAAGGTTTCATTCAAAAATAGCCCTGGTCACAAATGATGTGATTTCGGTTCATCCCGTGCTGAACTAAGACTGACCCATGCAGCCACAACCGGATATGTGCCTCGAGACTGCACTACGGAGAATGAACCACTGATTGCTTCATGGACCAATGAGACTTTGTCTTGCCATCAAAAAACATTCACCATTTTCCTGATAATCTCTGCAGATATTATTTCACAGAATCAAAAGCTGTGCCGAGCCAATCGCGCATTCATTGATACCAACCGAGATACAGCTTCTTTTTCTTCTTCTCCTCTTTGGGGTCTCTCTGAGAAAAGGTCATCACTTTCATGACTTGATGCTAGGCCATGCTGTTACTGACAGGCACCTCTGACACCGTAGCGAGCACTGCTCCCAGGATCCGGCTCAGACACAAACCCCGGAAGCGGCGATTGCAGTACCACCGGTGTGTGTACATGATAGCAGTCAAACATCTCACCACCTCCCTCGCCAGAGTCAAGCGGTTCACTATACCCTCCCCAAGCCGTGCAGCTTAGATCCTCAGCACAGGCTTGGTGACATCCTAGCTGGGAGAAGATGTCGTCGCGCCAATCGTTGGTAAATTGTGCGGTCGCCGGGGTCAAGTCATCTTCCAGAAAGCGGTCGCACTTGATAAGGAACCCGTCCAAGCACGTATTTTCCGCCTTGGGGCAGAGTTCCTCGCTCTGACCGCCGTCATCGCATCTAAACCTGAGACCATACGAGTTGTACTCTGGGAATGTTGCAAGAGGCTGTTGCTGCGGAAGAGGATCCTGTAAGACTACAGAGCCGAAGACATGACAGCACTCCCCCGTACCGCCGCCTACGCCTGTGCTCGCGTCTGCCAGTACTTGGGTCATTTTCCAACCTATGCACGTGAAATCCGGATTGCATGATTCGTGGCATTCGCGCTCCGAAGTAATAATGGGCAGGGGGGTTACGCAGACATAGTTTGACCACGGTGGATCCACGTCCAAGTCAAGGTCCCTGTCACATCGAATGATGTTGCTGTTCAGACACTGCCCATCCAGTTGTGGGCACAAACTGGTCTCAGATGTTGGAATCGTCGGGAGGTTACTACTAGCCGATGACGATGTCAATATGGGAGTGGATGACTGACTTGTCGTCGTCAATGGTGTTTTCACAGCCGTTGTCAATGTTGATTCCGGAATGGCAAGGTCACAAAAACCTCTGAGCCCAAAGGAGTTGATTTGCAGAGAGCCCAGGAAGGGATCGGTTGAATTCAGCACAATTGTCTCGACATAGTGCGAGCAACCACCGAAAAAGAACTCTGGTTCGTCGGCGTCGGCCCAGGCCAAACACAGCGGATCCTCGACGCACAGTTGATGACATATTTGAGGGTTGGTCACACCTGGTACGTCTACTTGTCTAGAAATGACAGATGGGCGATCCACCGGGTTGAATATCTTGGCGCACCCTATCAAGAAGTTGTCGACGCATTGCGAATCTTTGTCAGGACAAAGTATCTGTGTGGCTGATGGAATAACCCTGGTGCTCGTAGTGCTAGAGTCGGTGATAGTGTTGCTCGATGTAGTTGGTGTAGTCGAAACCGTTGACTTGGAACTCCCATCCGGCAAGTTATAGGACAAATCGGAGGCTGCTGCACTACTAGTACTGATGATAGGATCGTACATATCTTGACCGTAGCTATCATGGGTACCATAGCCGAGATCTTCATCGTCAAATGCCGCAGCATGATATGACCTGTCACTACCCCTTGATGCATCATACTTTGAATCTTTGCTGTGCCCTATGCGACCGCCTTGGGAGTAATGGCCACTGTGAGAACTGCCATGTCGGTCCTCTTCAAAGTCATGTGCATCATAATCATCGTACTCGGGATCGTCCTCGAAGGGGGTTTCGTCGTTGTTGCCAGAGGGATAGCCATGGGCATACCCGCCGCCGTCCCCGGAATAATCATCGTCTTCCAAGTCTGCGCCATCGCCAATGGCATAGCTTTCCACGTCGAGGTCACCCTCCAAGTTGCCATATGAATCAGGAGCAGCTTTCTTGTGATCGAAAGGTTGACTATGAGATCCGGTAATTTCTGGAAAACGAGGAGCCTCGCTGTAGCTATACCTAGCACGGGGCCGGAGTCTAGGCTGGTCTGCCGCTGCCAACACAATAGAAGACAGGAGTGCGCATCGTAGGAGTGTCGGTACGGCTAGGAGCTTCATGATTCTCGAAATCAGTCTCCAAGATTGATAAAGGGTCAGGAAGTTTGAATATGAAAATTGTCATGATGCCGCCCGCGGAGTATTGGGAGTAAGAAATATTTATCAACTCCAGTAAGTCGGGAACGACCATGACAGTCACAATTTCTTCGTGGTTCTGTTTCACTTGGCTCTTGAGGATGCGAGATACCAAAGCCAAGTAGTGTTGACAAATTAAACCTTAATGCGGTGGTCAGGGGAAAGTTTGGTGGCCATTAATGGGTTTCGTCCCGAATGTCTACTTCAGGGTGCATTAGGGTTCATCAAGAAGCGGCATCCCGACCCAGTATAATGAGCGGCTACCGGCAAGCTTGGAGGTGGTAATTTGCCAAGACTTTGGGCATATATTGCAAGACATGATTCGGAAAGCGGCGGCGATTGGAGATACTATCGAAACGGACAGTGATGGAGTATATGAGAGTATCTCTGATTCCGCAGGAAAATGTGCGGCCAATTCCAGAAGTGATCAGGGTTGAAACATATTAGGCGGCAGTCTGGCTGTTTTTATTAGTTTTGGCCCTCCAGCTCACCGTGCCCTGAAGGTGGTTGTAGGCCAGCATGTCCCTTGGTCGTTCCCCAATGTATGTACGAAACCTCTCCAGACGAACTATGATGGCTGGCATATTTTCACCGCGATGGTGGTTGATCCACGGCGTTGGGCCGAGATCAATGTCGAAGTGGATGTACTGAAGGATATGCTTGTCTCGGACAGACATGCCAACGCCCAGTCGAGGGAGGAATTCGCGCCCGTACGGCGTTCCAGGCACATGCCTTGCACTTGGGCTCGGACAGTCATAATCAAGATGCGTTGTATCTCCAAATGACTGAATTTGTGACAGCATTTGCTTCTTCTTTGCTTCGAGCCCTCCAGCTAGGTCCGACCATGGGACTTGCGCATCTCGATCGTGCTTCAATCTGATATCGTTCACGGCGCTTTGCAGGCCGCTCATGACAGCGGCCGACGGGCGATGTTCGTATGTCTGAATTGTTCTCCATTTTGACTCCTTATTCTCGTTCGACCAACAACCTTGCCCCATTTTAAAGACCCTGAGAGCTGTCATATGGTCAGCCCAGTGATGGAGAACATCGCTCCAGTGCAAGGAACCAGCAAATTGTACTCTCTCTGACAGCGGTGCGTCGGCGATAAGCACTGTATTTGTCATCATGCTCTTGAGCGGATAGCCATTTTGGGAACGACTGATTATATCGCCATCTTGGGATACGTATGTCTTCGTCGACTGATCTAGAGGCCCTGCTGTACGAGCCTGCCACAGGATGGGGCACTCATCCAAGTATAACTCTTGCAAACCACCCAGTCCGTTGTCGTGCCCGACCATGGATGCAATCCAGTCAATCTGCCATTCATGGCTGAAGACATAATGGCCCAGCGCTAAGACACGCAAGTTGGGCAGTCCAGAGGCCCTGCCTTTCCCTGGATTGACTGCTCGAAAGTCCATCTTGGGGACCCATCCCCAGTAGTTTTGGAAGAACAGAGACAAGACGGTCAGATTCTCCGCAATCTCTGGGGCGAGCCATGTACTAGGGAGATTATCACAGAAGTCATATTTGTCTGCAAAGTAAACTGGTGTTGCCGTTCCTCTGTTCGATTCTTCTGTGACTAGCAACTTGATCGACTTAAGACTCTTTGAGGTCATGATTTGTTTGAAATGGTCAGAATCTGTCAACCGACGATCATCAAAATCGGCTAGATTCGAGACAGTCAATGTCCGGAGATGGATAGGTTCGAGCGTCTCATCATCGTTGAGCAAGATGCCCTCTGTCGGAAGAGGTGGCAATGTCCCTCGATCATGCCGGTCGAACGAGACATAGTTCTCTTCACGAAGTGGACGGTGCGCCTCGGGCCATACCCTAGCTACACATCTGAAAACAATGTCAAGGACAAGATATCTGAGATCCCAAGTCTCATCGACCGCGAGTCCATTTCGGGTGTCAGGGCCGCAGTATTCGCTGAACCGCAGATTGAGCGTCGACAGGTGGGGGAAGAACCTCACGTATGCCAATGCCCGAAAGAAGTCGCGAGGTAGGCGCACCGTGTTGGTTTTTCCATAGCCATAGGTACAGTCTGGGCCAACCCAGGTATCAATTGTGATCTCACGGACACGTTGCCGCAGAGACTCGGACTTGGCGACGTTGACAAAGCTGTGCACGCCATCCGCTGCTCGTAGTCGAACGCGCTGAAAGGCGTAATAGGTAGCGACCTCTGCAATTCGTCGATTGAGAAGTCTGCACCCGACTAGAGTTTGCTGGGGCAGATATGCAAAAATTTGATGGTAGGCGTCATCCGGCAGCGATTCCATACTTGCAATTATAGTGCGTTCGATCGGCAGCCAGGTATGTACATGTCCAATCAATTTTGGAAGCAATCTCTAGATGTAACTACAATATTGCTGTTCCGTTGCTCGAGAGACGCGCATGAGGTTTGAGCAAGTGTGTGGCAAAGCTGCATTTTCATCAGGGCCGGCGCTTCTTACGATTAGTGGAAGGAAGCCTGAAGCCTGGCAGCGTTCTGCGTATCAGACTGCTGGAGCTTGAGGTCAATTACCTCTGTACAGGGGTCTGGGTTGCCACTAATGAGCAAGTACAGACCTGCGTACCTCCTCATGCTCGCGAATATGGTATCTGATATTCTGCTATTGATGCACGTTTATCGATGTACCCGTCAATTCTTTCACCGTTATTTTCATTTGTCTTTACTAAGGCGACACAGCTGGAACGGTAGGGTTGCTTCTGACATGGCAAAGATCCAGGTGGCCTACATTCAATGGTACAGGCGGTGCTAGTGCCTAAACTCACCAATGCTGTGTACGACCTCCCTATTACTCGGTACCTAGTAGGTGCTAGATACCTACGAGCTTCACTATTCACATCCAGGTGAATGAACGAGATCGAACTGGAAAGCAAAAAAGTACATTAGGTAACCACTTTGAGGAAGGGGAAAAAAGACCTATTTCGCAATAGTCATCCCAAATATTCCAAGCCAAGAGTATCGCGACCATGTCAGTATAAGCCACAACGGCATTTTCTCCATTGAGATCCCAGAGATTTGCATCAATATTACAACATTTTTGGTGGACAGTCGCTCGAGTGAGATTGCATTAAATTGATGCATACCTATCTACACGAGTACAGATATAGCTTTATCGAATTAAATTCCAAGTACTAAAATTAATTACCAACTGTGAGCCCATCGGACTCGGGCGGACCTTTGTAAACTGTGTCCAAGTTAGATAGGTTCCTAAGTAGACTCTCATCGGTGACCACATACCTTTGTGTGCGTGAAGCACATACCAGATAGCACTCAAAGCCATAAAACCGACAAAAACGACAATGGCATAATTCATGCTCGTTTCCGTTACTGGCAGCACCGTGGGCATGGAAAAGAGGATAATCTCGAAGACGATCCATACAATCGCCAGGATATTCGCAGTCCAGCCAATGGCCGCTGGCATCTTCCATCTCGCGCCACTCACCTCTGTGCGTCGATGGAACATTGAAATGGCAATAGGCAGGCCGTAGGAGGCAGCGAGCGCCATGACTCCGACTGATACAAAGGCGAGAAATGCCGACGATGACCCCAAATTAATGAGGCCAAGTACCATCTGAACTACCGTCGTCAGTGCCAGTGCCCAGATTGGCGTACCGTGCTTCTCGTCAACCTTTGCCCACAGGCTGGAAAAAGGGATCGCTTCGTCTCTGGCAAATGCCCACGTGCAGCGCGAAGCCGCCACGGTGATCGATATTGAACAAAATAGCGTTATGATCAGGACAAGGACAGTCAAGCCAAGTCCTCCACCCGGTGTACCCATTACAACAGCGTAGATATAGGGAAGGGCCTGGCCCACTGGCGCGTTCGCAATAATGTCCGAGAGAGCCGGCATGGTAGCACATATAGGGATGATCTGCTCGTCGGATATCTTGTTAGAACGCAAAAAGCCTGGGTGATATCGCATGAAGACTGCCACCTACGAAAAATAAGCCTGCGATGCCGCCTACAGGCACACATAGCGAAATAGCTTTGGGAAGCTTGACTGTAGGGTCACCACACTCTTCAGCCATGGAAGAAATCATACCAATGGCGGAGAACCTTTTCTCATTTCAGTACCTAGACTTATTCTCGAGGACAGGTCGTGCTTACGTATAGGCAGCCGGGAGCATGCCGATGAGGAAAGAAAAGTTACCCCAGCCCGATAGGGTCGGATCGTAGCCACCCTAGGAGAGCAAAACCATGTCAACTCCAGACGCTTGTCAATACTAGTCAACATGGGAGATGGCTTACCAGAGTGAAGCTTGGAGAGTTTCTTCCCACTTCTGCCTTGGCTGAAAGACAGACCAGTGTGATGAAAATAGCAATTGCTGTGAATGCTGCGCAAATAGTATCCACCATTGGAAGGAGCTTGTTTCCGTATGCTACAATGAAGAAAGTCATGATGCAGAGGGCGTAAAAGATCAAAAGAAGCTGCCATGATGTCACTTCGGTCGCGAATTCAGGGTGGTAGAGCGAGACGCAAGCCGCAATGAGAGATGCGAATCCAAAGTTGACGGACAGCGTGATGGTCCAATTTCCAATCAACCAGGTCCACCCAGTGATGAATGATAGAACCTTGCGATATTTGGTGCTGGCGAGCTGGAAACTCCAGTAGTATGGACCGGCCGAGGTCGGATACCGTGAGGCGAGTTCGCCAAGGGACACGGCTACGGCCTCGTCAAGTATGAGAACCACGATCCAACCCAGAAACATGGAGAGTTGACCTGCATAATGTCAGAGACCCTTCTACCTAGTATACAATGTCTTGCTACGTGTTCCTCACCTCCGCCATAGATTGCACTAATTAGTGGCGAGCCAAAGCCGTATGGAATCTAACATGGTCAGCTTGCACCCACACACATGCACACTCTTGCGGTGTATCCAGTTCAGAAGCTGAGGGACGCACAGCTGCGATTGCCAATGATTGGAATAGCAAAGTAAACATGGACCGATTCCGGCGAAGCTCGGCCTTGTATCCAAGTGCGTTCAAATTTTGAAGGTCTACTGTCTCTCCTACTGCCACATCTCCAACCGAGACTTGCTGCTCCGTTGAAGGAGCCTTTTCTAGAGAGGCCATGGCTTTGATGAACAATCAATCGAGGCTAATTTGAAGACATGTGTAATGTAAACTTCGAAAATACTGACAGCTATCCGATTTGAGCAGATATAGCGGAGAGAGGGGACAGCTGAGTGACGAGCTGAGACGAGACGTCATACAGCATAGTCGTCGGCCGTATCCTTAAATGCTAAATCGTGCAGAGGCGCGCAGCACCGCAACACGTCCCAAGCAACCAGCCACCTTGGACGAACTCCCCCCAATTCGTACAACGATATGTCCGCAGGACGCCCCCCTGGGAGATAATCTGCACAGAGAACCAATTGCCAAAGACCCCAATGTCGCGCCCGTGTAAGTGCCGTTGGGGGAAGCGAGAGACCCTGGCGGGCAGATAAGGTAAATTTCCTGATCGGGAAAGGCGCTTCCAGGAGCATTGCCATGTAATCAATAGACATCTGCCTCGGTGTGGTGCATAGAACTTTGCAGGGTCGTTTAACTAAACCCTATCTGGGCAAAAAGTCCAGAGATGCTGACGAACCATGTGATACGATAGGCCATCAGCATTTATGCAGAGATAAGAGCTTGGGAAAGGGCTTGAGCTTCTTTGTGTAACGCCACTGGCAGCTCTTCATGTCAAGCGAGTGAGGGGCAATATACTAGGGATCATTGAAATCCTCACAATGATCTGTACATACCGCTCATTAACGTGAGTTCTTTGAGATGACGGTTTACTATTTACAAGCCCAGCTTTAATATTCATTAGATTAGTGAGCTACTTCGGGCATGGGCTTCTGCTTTTATGCCAAAGGTACATACTACGTGATAACTTTGCCTGAATAGGTGGCGACATGAAAGACCATCGCAAGCACCACCAATGGCTTGCACAGGCTTGGGGAGCATACGATAGTTTCTTACAAAAACCATATATAGAAGTGTATAGCTCGGCATCGACTGCTAGTGGCGGATCGACACCTAGGGTTGACCAATTGCGTTACTTCAAATCTGGAATTCATATGCTATAATCAAGGGTCCCACTCCTCAAAGTTGAGCAAAATACTGCTCAGGAAACACGAAGCGCGGCCCTTTCCCAGCTTGCTCTGCATCTCCTCCTATGAATTGCTTACTCAAGGAGTCTGTGTCTTGATACTTCTTGTGATTCGCATTCAGTCGCCTTATTTGAACACTGGTGGCATAGAAACTGGCAGGAGAGTTCATCCTGGGCTTTACAGTGCTCCCTCGTCCTAGGCTAGATCGTGCTCTAAATACTCGTCAGAATGCGTCTGAATCTTCTATCCGTTCCGTGAACTTATTCTGCTTCGCTTGGAGATTTGTCACTTGCAAGATGGAAAGTAATTGCATTCTTCCAATCCAAAAGTCAAAACTTGAAACCACACCGACGAGACTTCATTCAATTCCAAAATCGTAGAATATGCATGGTTGAAGGTCGTGTACTAAGTGCCTTCCCAATTGTTCACTTCTATGCGATCGCCACCATTATCAAAATTTGACAAGCAGAACTTCTGTCAGACAACTACGTTCTTGCCACTTCGTTGTGTCCCCCCATTGAACTCCCTTCTGATGTTCAACCAACTTCCATCTCCTCTCTAGACTGTGGATCCAATCTTACGCTTGCCTAAGTCTTCCGTCGTTTCTGTTTCTTCAACATCACATCACTTTCAGCTCAAACTCTCGGGAATCACCATCATCAATACAACACATATCCCTCTGATCTCACCATCACGACGTACCTGCTGCAAGGAGCATTCCGGTAGACTGGACTCGGGGATGCCATTTCACCGTTGCCTAAGATTCTAGCACTCCACGCCACATTTCTTCAATCGTTTTTCAATACTGGCAAGAACCAAACCTATCCAATTTCCGGTGACTTGAAATTGACCAGAACTCCCACCTTCCAATTTGTCTTTCCACATTCATCCTTGAAACCTCGCACTTCAAGATTCTTACATTGGCTTTCAATCTCAATCACCAAAATCCAACATGGCGCCCCCGAAGATTCAGGTCAAGAGAAAGAGAATCAACGACAAAGAAGTCAACTCGAACAAAGACAAGGCTCCTGCCAAAAGACAGAAACAGCAGCAATCAAAGAACATTATCGACGACAATGCATCTGTCATCATTTCTTCCCATCAGAAGACCAGCCCAGTCATCGATACTCCTACGGCTGAGCAAGAACCAAAGGTTGAGAGCGACGACGGTCATGGCTTATCAGCTGAGCAGTCTGTCAACATTTCCCCGTTGACAGGAAAGAACCTGGAAACACTTTCCAGGATGGCCGGTACCAATAACCAAGCTCCTATTGTAAGAGACCCAGAGATGCAAGAGGTCCGACATATGATCGATAATCACGAAGAGCGCTTCATGTCGTTTTCTCGAGACAATGAGGCTTGGAAAGAGAGGGCTGCCACTGAAGCCAAGGACACCCGAGATCATGTCCAGAAGCAGATCAATGATTTCAGTCTTCGCATGGACAATCAGATAGAGGGGATCAAGGATTTCTTCCTGCGCACTTTTCGTTCGGAATTGAGCACCCATCCTCTCAGCCAAGACGGACAGCAGACGAGCTCATCCACCGCTCATGCCCGTCCCCAACCGCTGTCAGAAGACACACAGCATTGCTCAAACATGCTCTCTTCTCCTCGCCCCCCACTGAATTTGCACGACATCACTAGAGGCGGAGAAACCAGTGCCAATCTGCCAACCCACCCGCCTGCACACTCGGCTCCTAGCCATGTCATGGGAGGCCATGGTCAATACCAGGAGAACAATGGATCCTTCATTCCTTCTCAGCAGCACTTTGGACAGACCCTAGCTCCCATGCACATGCCTACTCCCTCTGTTGTCCCCGAAACTTCCAGCAACATGACGCAAGGCCCATGGGCTGTTCCACGGGTGTCGGACTTGTTTGCCCTCAAACCCAGTCACACCGCCGGTCACGGAAGTCTCTATCCTCAGATGGCTGCCCCTCCTCCTATCTTTCCCTCATCTTTTCACTTGAACACTAGAGGCCAAGCGTGTGAGCCACAGATTCCTCGCTATTACACCCGTCAAGCTGAACGCAATGCCGCACTTGGCCGACTTCCATTTGCAGGACAAAAGCAGAACGCTCGAACTACTTCAATGGTACATGGCTATTATGATGACTACGAAGACTGCGATGATTACGACGACGAGGATTATTGCGACGACCAGACTTACAAGGATCCAAACAGCTCAGGTATTTTGGGAGAAGTTGACGGTGCAGATCTTCAAAAGGCCGTCGATGAGCTTGGCCTTGCCTCCGAAGCTTACACTACTAGTCCCAAGTTGACCAAGGAATCGTATCAGACCCTCCTCAGAACCTTTGACTTTGCCAATATCGGATTGCTCGAGGCTTTTTCCAAGATGGATGACCGTCGACAAGTCAGGGAATATGTCATATTCTGCGATATTTCCCATCCCTCCATGTGGATCGACTACGTGATTCAAGTCAGTGAGACGGCCTACTCAATGATGGAGCATGCCCCGCAGGTCAACTACAGGCGTCTTCCGCCTCTTGAAGACAGAGACCTGAGCCGCCTACGAATTATCAGACTCAGATACGACGCTGATCTATTGAGCCCCAAGCAGTCAATCATCTTCCAGAAGTGGCGCGAAGAACACCAGCCCCCCACCTATGTTCTGGAGATTGGATCACTGGTTCTGCGACATAGGTACACCAAGAAGATGAAGGACAAGCTCCATGACACAGACTTGAGCTTGGTCATGGACGTGGTGCATCCGGATCGGCCCGTCTGGCTGATACTGCGCCCCGGATGGAAGGAATCGTGTCGCAAGACGTCCAAGACGGTGCGCGATGCAACACGTGCGTTTGACGGCAGCATGGACGACGCCAAAATTGCGTGTGTCTGCAAGGATATTCGATCGCTTCAACTCACCTGGAAACCCTCCAGCAGTCAGTCTGCCCAGCAGTATGTTGGTGCGCAATTGATGACCAGAAAGACCCAGCTCAAGGTTCCAGTTAGGCTGACGCCGCGTTCGGTGGACGTGGCGGAGATGCAGATGGCTATCCAGGCCGCCCGTGGTGATGAGAATTGAATCTGAGTCGACAGAGCGAGGCGAGAGGATGGCAAGCTCTGCGGCCATGTTGATGGAGAGCAGCCCAAGTTCGGGGCATCAGATCATGGATCAACGAATGGACAATTGCGATTTCTTTGAGGTAAACCGAAGGGCAGCAAGAGTTCTTGCGCCCAAGATCCTCGACAAGGCATTTCTGTTTTTAAAATTCGAGCGTCTGCGATTTCATCCACCGCTTCGAGCATAACTCCAATGTGCAATAGCCATAGAGAGATAGTTAACATGAAATCATGGGGAAATGAGTGTATTTCAGTATCGTAGCGAAATCTGTACGGCACTGTTGAGGCTTGAAGTATGTACTGGTCAGTGGTATTACTTTGCCTACGCAAAATCGACTCTTCCTCAAGCACTGCAAATACTCGGCGATTCACTGTATCTAGCACAGTGCAATACTGTGACGGGCAGAAACTACCCCACTGAGTATCTGCAAGCTCAAGCATGAGACCCGCAATTACCTTTAGTTCCCTAGAGTGACACAACTTCAAACGCGGGCCTATCGGCGTACTACCAGGTACTTCTACCTACCACCACATTGTTGTTGTACAATACTTTCCACCCTTTGTCGACCATCTCTACTACTTGTCCGCCTCGTGATTCTGCAATCATGTCGTTCGTGACAGTGGCAGCGGCATCATTGCCCAGTGTGCCCTTGGACTTTGAGGGGAACCGCGATCGCATCCTCGAGTCGATTCACATTGCCAAGGACAAGGGCGCCCTTCTGCGGACCGGCCGTGAGTTTGTTCCCATGGTGATGGCTTGTTCAACCTTGATAATAACTATATATAAACAGCCGAGCTCGAGATTCCTGGCTATGGCTGTCTTGATCATCACCTAGAGGGTGAGTAGTATTCTGCGACCCCTCCTTGCCGATCTCGGAAACTGACTCGGATATAGTAAACATCACTTTCTTCATGGACATGCTTTGGGAAATCATGTAATAATGCATTCTCACGATTATAGGGAGATACCTTTCTACACAGTTGGGAGGTGCTCGCCGAGATCATCTCGGATCCTGTTTGCAAGGATATGCTCATTGACCTTGGCATGGGTGTTCGCCACAGAAACGTCAGATACAATTGCCGCGTCTTGTGCACTTATAAGCAAATCTTCTTTATCCGCCCCAAGCAGAGTCTGGCCAATGATGGGCTGTATCGCGAAATGCGACACTTTTCGGCTGTACGTGTCCCATTTATTCACATTGATGCTTGGTGTCTTCTTGTCTGACCTTTATTCTTTCCCTTAGTGGGTTAAACCCAGGACCACGGAGCAATACTACTTGGAAAAGATCATTAGCGACGTGACCGGTCAAAAGACAGTCCCCATAGGTGACGCCGTGCTTTCGACTGTTGACACGGCCATTGGCTGTGAGACTTGCGAAGAGCTCTTTGTGCCCCTCAACCCCTCGACTTTCATGGGCCTGAACGGCGTAGAGATCGTACTCAACTCTAGTGCCTCACACGTCGAGTTGAGAAAGCTCAAGACACGACTGGATCTCATCTCGAACTCGACGCGCAAGCTCGGCGGACTCTACGTCTACGCCAATGCCAGCGGAGTGGACGGTGATGCTCGTATTCTGTACGATGCCAGTTCCATGATTCTTGTCAACGGCAAGGTCATGGAACAGAGCCCTCAATTCACACTGAAGCCTGTTGATGTCATTACAGCCACTATTGATATCGAAGAAGTCCGCTCCTACCGCTCCAGCATCTCGCGCAATGTCCAAGGTGCAGCTCAGCCCGACTTTCCACGCATTGAATGTGACCTCCGCCTCTCCCGCCCCGCTGAAGAGGTCTACCGCTCAGACCTGCAGCTATCCAAGGAGATTGAGCTCAAGATTCTTGATCCCATGGAGGAAATGTACCTGGCTCAGTCTGTTTTCTTGTGGCAGTACCTCTGCCGGACCAACTCTCCTGGCTACTTTCTTGCTCTCTCCGGTGGTCTAGATAGTTGCACAGTCACTGTTTTTGTATATGGAATGGCGCGTCTCGTTCTGCAATCGATCAAGGCCGGCGAGACTACCACACTCAATGATCTTCGTCGCCTCACTGGAGAAGCAGAGTTTCTACCCAAGACACCGCAGGAGATTGTCAGCAAACTCATGCACACGTGCTTCATGGGAACACAGCACTCTTCCAGTGACACAAAGTCGCGAGCCCAAAAATTGGCGCAGGAGGTTGGTGCCTTTCACTCGGATATCAACATGGACGCGACGGTCGGAGCAATGGAGGAAATAGGCCAGCAGGCTCTCAACTTTACGCCCAAGTTCCAAGTCGAGGGTGGTTCGGCAGCCGAGAACCTTGCCAAGCAGAATATTCAGGCACGCAACCGCATGGTCTGCTCGTACTACCTCGCCCAGATCTCCACCACTGCTCGCAAACTCCCCCGCTCTGGCAGCTCTTTGCTTGTCCTCTCATCTGGAAATGTCGATGAGCTATGTAAGTTATCACATCTCTTATCCGTTTCCTCTGCCCCGTGAGCTTTTAGACGGTCATCTGAGACCACTACTTGATCTATGATGTGCCATAACATTAAGCATGATGATCAGCAGGAAGAATCATGTACTAATCAAGGCTCCATAGTGCGCGGTTACCTCACAAAGTACGACTGCTCGTCGGCAGATATTGCCCCTCTCGGCTCCGTCTCCAAGACTGACGCCAAGGCTTTCCTTCGGTGGGCAGCCACCAAGTGGGATATGCCGATTCTCTACGACTTCCTAGACGCCGTACCCACGGCCGAGCTGCTGCCTCTGTCCGCAGGCGTCCAAGAAGACGAAGTGGAAATGGGCCTGACCTATGACCAGCTGAGCGCCTTTGGCAAGCTGCGCAAGATTGAGAAGCTGGGCCCCTGGAGCTGCTACGTCCGCCTGCTGGGCGAGTGGAAGCACCTCCCCGCCGCCGAGACGGCCGACCTGACCAAGAAGTTCTTCCGGTTCTACGCCATGAACCGTCACAAGTCGACCGTCATGACCCCTTCGCTCCACCTTTCTGGCTACTCGCCTGACGATCACCGTCACGACCTCCGGCCCTTCTTGTACAAGGTTACGTGGCCATATCAATTTAGCAAGATAGATAAGCACGTCAAGAGCTTGTAAATAGATGGAGAGTTCTCCAAACAATGAATAGAGAAAGAATCACCAATGATCAATACAAACTGACCTCGGGGGTTCAGGACATACTGTCCACGTATAGCAGTAGAGGATGGGGCATTGAGACTGCCCTCGCAATCCCCGGGTCTGGAGAGGCTCAAAACTCTGAAAAGTTTGCGGCTGTACCCAAACATCTCGGATAGATCAGACCCTTTGAAACGCCTCATCATCTTTGCCAGCGATATCTTCCACATCCCGGCGTTGCTGCCGCGCAACCAAGCAATTGTCAAGCAATTGAGATGTGCGCTGAAGATCCTGATGTGGCTGGCAAGATTGCGCTCAGCGGACAACACTCATCGGAACCTATAGAAGAACTAGGGCCACTTGTATATCCTCGTTTTGGCAATCTGCGCCATCTGCGGTCTGCAACATAGTCACACTCGCGAGGCGGAGCTGGCCAGTATCATCAGTGCATGTCCCGTGCCGGAGAGCCTCTTCGTCCATTTCGAGTTGGCGAAAGAGGCCGATATCGAGTCGCTGTTTGACAAGGATTGGGACCCGTCATGGAAGAATCACGATCTGTACGTGTCTACCAAGCCAAAATCTCCAAACGAAGCGTTGATCAATGTTTCTGCTACGCTGTCGTCTCCAGATCTGCTTAGTCCAAGCAATAGCCACGTCCTCTATTGTGCGGCCGGCCAACCACAGTCTTCGCTTGACGTGCCTCCCAAAGCTGGACAAGTTGCGGCATCTTGGTGTCGACTTCAGAGGTCTCTTTGGGCCTCTGTTTCATATGAGCAGGGCTAACGAGAAAGGTTTACCGGCACTGACGCCTCCCAACTTGAAGAACCTCATCCTCATCTGTGACATGGGAGGCAGCGAGACTTCGACAGCTGGGACCGAGCGCGACATGTACGAGAGTGACCTGTGCCATGTCATGAGGGGTCTCCGAGCAATGTGTAGAAAGTCTGGAAATGACTCCATGCTACGTTATATCGAGATTGCGCACGACGACTCGGCACGAAACCGCAGGTTGCTTAGGCGTGAGCAGAATTTCTGGCGGGATCATCGTGTTCAGATGGACATCACAATTCGGCCCGAAAGGCTTGATGCTCTTGTTGATCAGGCTCCTGTTGCCTCTCAGGAACAGGCTAGTCTCGCTGCACGTTTGTAGAGGCAGCAAGAAATGCTAGAGAAGGAGGATCTGGACTGAACTGGCCGTGGGTCACCTTTGACGCATATCAGAAAAGATAACCATCGGGTGCCTACGCTACAGCGGGCCAGGGGTTAGACAGCGGCACAGATGTGCCGATAAAAGCATATCTTGGATGGGAATTCATGACTGATGGTAGACTTGGGAGAAACATTCCTTTCATCGTCGGCACTGAGGACCGGGAATGAGGCGTTAAGAGTCGATGAGTTGGCCAAGTACCTATGTAATATGACACACTTTAGGTTACACAGCAGAAAGGGCTTATTCTTGTTCGTTCACACACGTATTTTCTTCTCATAGATGTAGACAATTAATCCTACACTTTATTTTGGATACTGGTCGTATTAGCCAAGTCTACCTGTACTCGGGCTAGCGAGTGCGGGGGAGGACCCAATGAGCGGACGATATCCCCGGAGAGGCGCGGGAAATACACCCCTGGAAAGCCGTACCCTCCCTTGAGGCCCCTGGAAAACGCCCCGTTATTGCCCCAGGCTCCCCAGCCTCTTAGCGCGGACCAATACTGGGTGGCGTCCGGCACATCCCCTTGGTACGTAACGTGCCAACTGACCGCTCCAATTCGTGAGGCAGTTGGTTCGACTCGAATAGCTTGAGAGCGTGGGCGGTACTGAATCATTGCAGCAGGTTCTAGTGGTTCACGCGGGAGAACATGCGGGCAATCATTAACATATCAATTGATGATCAATCTATTTCGCTACAAAGAACCGCATGTGCCGGCAAAGTGAAAACCAGGTAGACGGGAGTAGGGTCGCGTTGTTTAATTTACAGTTGTAACGCGAACCTGGGAATTGACTTCAAGGTTATTTCTATCTTAAAATATGGATCGGCAATCGGCGGCGTCATTGCCAAGGCCTGGTTCGTATTGTCACTAGGCTCCAGCGGCTCCAGTGTGCTGCTTATTGACTATGGTTAGGAAATATACTAGGAAGCGGCACATCCATTGCACTTGTAGGTTACGACTTATACATACTACAGATGAAGGACGACGTTCACCGGCGCGCCTCGCTAAGTCAGATCCTCCGGCGACGGCGTTTCTTCAAGAATGCATCGTCGTCCGTTGGGTCCGAGAGGGTGGGGGATAGAGTCCAAGAGCGAGGCTCTCGTCGGCCCCAATCATCAGACTGGTTTGGTGGTCAGGGTCTCATGATGCTGTGTCGTCATGAACTCGACTCAACCCCTGTCATTTTCCTTCTCATCCCATCCCATCCCTTCCCCAACCCCGCAGAACCTCCAATCCAGTATTACATGCATGTAGTGTGCGTGCAACCCATTATTCCCCTCATACCACGGCACGCTGTCACGCTGGCACGTTGGCCAACTATTACCACCACATGGCTGATGGTAAATGGCAAAAGTTCGGAGTCGCTTGCTGTCCTCGCCAAGATGTCCTGCATGTCCTGGAGGAGGGGGGGACAAGTACCCGGTGTCTCGGCCAGCCAGTCGGAAGAGTCTTACACGAATGTCTCATCGGCCCTTTAGCGAATCTCTTGCATGAGAAGATTCTTGGGGATCGCGAAACCTGCTGGCGACCCCAGCAAAGGGAAAGAGAGAGAAAGAACAACTTCTTACCACACATCTTCCCGGGTCTGGGCCATTGGCTTATTAAACTCCATGTTCTTGCGCTGGTGGTTTGGAAAAGCAAGATCAAAGTATATATAGAGAAGACATACGCTTTTGGAAGAATAGAGCTTGCACAAGTCTTCACCCTGGAACAAATTTGGAAACGTCTACGAAGTGAGGAAACAGTTATGCACCTGCACCAGGTGATGCAGTTAACCCCTACAGTAGCGGCCAACGCAAAGTGCAAAGGCGGTAAACTTAATCGTTGACAAAAGTCATCGTCGTCTTTTTGGTCGTCTTGGTCCGCTACGTTACCCACTGTCAGTCCACCAAGCCTGGGGGGAGAATCAAGTCAAGTTGGGGCAGTTGGGGTTCGTGGAGCTGGCAGAGCGGAGAACCCTGCAAGTGCAGGAACGGGCGCAACAGTGATGGGCTTTAGCAGCACTTGATCGCCCTAGATTTTTTTTCCTCCTTGGCAAGAGAGACCCCAAGCACCAAGCAGCCAAGCAGGTACTTTGGACCCGCGCTGCTGAGCAAGTAAACATTTCTGAGTCTTGCAGCAACATTTATTTAACGGGTCACACCGCTGCCTCTCGTGACAATGATGCGCTCACTTATTAGTTTTTCTCACGGCTTGCTCCTCTTCCTGCCGGTCATACTCTGCAAAGAGTATCTTGTCTTTCAGTGATTCTGTTCACGTTCTATAACAGTGTTACTATACGAACCTGAAGAAGAGCTCTCCACCACGAGACAGCAGCATGCGGTACTCATTGCTTGCTGCCCTCGTGGCAACTCAGAGCTCGGCTCTAAGTGTGCATCCTGTAAGTTGTGCATTGGCGGAAGGTAATTGGATTATTTGGTCATATTCCTAACAGCCCGTTATAGCTTGACACTCGCGATGACCTCTCTACATCGCCGCCTGTCTATCCCTCTCCGTGGATGAACCCGCAAGCCATTGGCTGGGAAGAAGCATATGAAAAGGCAAAGGACTTTGTCTCTCAGCTGACCCTGACGGAAAAGGTCAACTTGACCACCGGTGTTGGGTAAGTAGTATATCGTACTCCAGCCACTCTTACACATGAAATCTGACCACTTGTAGATGGCAAGGAGAACAATGCGTCGGCCAGGTCGGCTCCATCCCGCGACTCGGCTTCCGCAGTCTGTGTATGCAAGACTCTCCCCTCGGTGTACGATTCGGTGACTATGCCTCGGCTTTCCCGTCGGGACAAACTGTTGCGGCGTCCTTTGATAGGGATCTCTTCTACCGACGCGGTCAGGCCATTGGTGCTGAACACAAGGGCAAGGGCGTCACAGTGGTTCTTGGTCCAGTCGCCGGACCCATTGGTCGCACTCCCGAGGGTGGAAGAAACTGGGAGGGTTTCTCTCCCGACCCATGGCTGACTGGTATCGCCATCTCCGAGACGACCAAGGGTATTCAAGATGCTGGTGTGATTGCTTGTGCCAAGCACTACATTGCCAATGAACAGGAGCACTTCAGACAAGTCGGTGAGAGCAACGACCGGGATTACAATATCACCGAGGCTCTGTCTTCCAACATTGACGACAAGACCATGCATGAGCTCTACCTGTGGCCGTTTGCCGATGTGGTACGGGCTGGTGTGGGCTCCATCATGTGCAGCTACAACCAAGTCAACAACTCGTACGCGTGCCAAAACTCAAAGATGCTCAATGGATTGCTCAAAGGCGAACTCGGCTTCCAGGGCTTTGTTATGAGCGACTGGCAGGCTCAGCACACTGGCGTTGCAAGCGCCGTAGCGGGACTGGACATGACCATGCCTGGTGACACCTCATTCAACAGCGGACTCAGTTTCTGGGGTACCAATCTGACTCTGGCTGTCATCAATGGAACTGTTCCAGAGTACCGCATTGACGATATGGCTATGCGCATCATGGCCGCCTTTTTCAAGGTTGGACTTGAGCTGGAACAACCCCCGATCAACTTTGACAGCTGGACCCTGGATACCTATGGCCCGCTCCATTATGCTGCCGGTGAAGGGTACCAGCAGATCAACTGGCACGTCGATGTCCAGGAGGATCATGGCGCCCTGATCCGAGAAGTTGCTGCAAAGTCTACAGTCCTGCTCAAGAACAATGGCGCTCTGCCTCTCAATAAGCCCAAATTCCTTGCCGTCATTGGCGACGATGCAGGCCCTGGTGCTCTGGGACCCAATGGCTGCTCTGACCGCGGTTGTAACTCTGGAACCCTCGCCATGGGCTGGGGCTCTGGTACCGCCAACTACCCCTACCTGATCACGCCAATCGATGCACTCAACATCCAGGGAGCAGACGACGGTACTCGTATCGAGGCTGTGCTCAACAACTCGGCTTCCGACACAATTCTCAGCCTGGTTTCACAGCAGGATGCCACAGCGCTAGTATTCGTCAATGCCGACTCTGGAGAAGGCTACATTGCCGTTGATGGAAACGAGGGTGACCGCAAGAACTTGACACTCTGGGGCAACGGCGACGCGATCATCAAGAACGTCTCGTCTGTATGCAACAACACCATTGTCATCATTCACTCTGTTGGTCCTACTCTGGTTACTGATTGGTATGACTCGCCCAATATCACTGCCATTGTGTGGGCTGGTCTTCCCGGACAGGAGAGTGGTCGCTCGCTTGTCGATGTGCTGTACGGCAAAGTCAACCCAGCCGGCAGGACCCCATTCACATGGGGTGCTACCCGAGAGGACTATGGTGCTGATGTCTTGTATGAGCCCAACAATGGTAATGGCGCACCTCAACAAGAGTTTTCCGAGGGCGTCTTTATCGACTACCGCTCGTTCGATGCCAAGAATGCCACGCCAATCTTTGAGTTTGGTTTTGGACTGTCTTATACCACCTTTGAGTACTCTGACCTTGTTGTTGAGAAGAAGTACCCCACAGAGTACACTCCTACGACGGGTGAGACGGCCGAAGCTCCCGAGTTTGGAAACTTTTCGACCGATCTGAACGATTACCTGTTCCCAGTGGATGAGTTCCCGTATATCTGGCAATACCTCTACCCTTATGTCAACACCTCTTCCTCGGCTGAAGAAGCCTCGCAAGATCCCGACTACGGCCAGACAGCCGAGGAGTTCCTTCCAGCTGGCGCCATCGATAGCAGTGCCCAGCCACTTTACGCTGCTGGACCAGCCGCCGATGCCGAGTCTGGTGGAAACAGTCAACTCTGGGATGAGCTGTATACCATTACCGCACAGATTACCAACACTGGTGATATTGAGGGTGATGAGGTTCCTCAAGTCTACTTGTCTCTCGGAGGCCCCGACGACCCGGCCGTGGTTCTGCGCGGCTTCGACCGCATCACCATCCAGCCTGGCGAGACAATCCAGTTCAACGCTTCTCTTGCACGGCGCGATGTCAGCAACTGGGACACGGCTAGCCAGAACTGGGTCATCTCCGAGTACCCCAAGACCGTCTACGTCGGACCCAGCAGCCGCAAGCTGACGCTTAGTGCCTCGTTGGAATAGAGGGGACGGTAGAGACTTACAGCAAAATATCCCGTCGTGGGCATGATGAAATGATCAATTGGCGAAGCGTTAAGACTTCTGATGTAAATATTAATTCTTTAAATCTTAATGTCAATCCTTAGTGACTCAGAGTGGTGGTGCCCATCAAGTGCCGTGATATTCAACAGTCATAGTGATCGCAAATAGCCTGCGGGTACACTTCATAGCCATTTTACGAGAATTCTGCACGTAGCGTTTATAGTCTCCCAACCATATGTTATTACCAGGGATTGGAGTGAACTTCGATTGGTTTAGTCCATTAGTATCGCAATCATGTCCTGAAACCCCAACTTTGTCTAGTATTAATACATATTGACTGGTGGCACAGTGGCCACTGACGCCTCACACTTTTTCCACAATGGTTCAGGCACCTAGTACATGTGCAACCCCAGATATGCACCGCCCCGGAGTAAGAGCGGATCACATGATTTTGTTGGGCGCCTGCATACATACCTTGCATCTCAGCCTGATCACCATTATGACACGAATCCCAGCTGCCTTGATTCTTTTTAACTCGAGGCATTCCGCAGGCTCGCCTAGTCAAGGCATCGAGCATGTCATCACCGCAACGATATCTCAATTCCAGTTGTTGGAATGGCTTCAACAGCTCCGTATCAGCACACCCCGCTAGAGTATGAAGACTCGATTCGAGTTCTCCGACTCTTTCCGAGCTGTGATCCCGAGGACCCCATCAGGGTAGAACTGCTGCCATGCCGACTGGCAAGAATCGAGCCCGAGTCTTCCGTCGACTCCGACTCCGACTCCGACGCCTTAGGAAAAAAGATCGAAGTGAAATTTGAATCGATGCATTATGCCCATACTCGTTTCAAACGACAAACCGAGATCGAGTACGAAGCCTTATCCTACACCTGGGGAGATGGTTTGGACACAGTGCCTATCTATCTTGGCGAGCATGCTACAGCGTCTTTGCAAGTCACTCGCAATTGTTTCAATGCGCTCAAGGCTCTGCGCCAAGACGACGAACCGCGACACCTGTGGATTGATGCCATCTGTATCAATCAGGGCGATGATGAAGAGCGGTCAGTTCAAGTCCGAGGTATGGCAAAGATATACGGCAGTGCGTCGCGTACCGTCATTTACCTTGGCGAACACACATCAAGCAGCCGTATTCTGTTCCAATGGGCCTTTAAAGAAGTGGCTCTAAGAGCGGAAAGATATGGTGCTGATGATGACGGCATCAAGCATATTTTTTTACAGAAGCCAGAGGAAGAAGTTTTCAAAGCAGTACGCGAGCTGATTCAGCGACCATGGTTTCATCGGATTTGGGTTCTCCAGGAGGTGTTCATGAGTAGGAAACGGTTTCTTGTTTGTATGCGAGACATCATTCCCTGCGCAGTTTTAAGAACTTTTTGGTCCTTACGCTACCTCACCTCGCCCAGACCTTCTAGGATTATTCCATACGCCTTGCTACCAGAGGCATTTTCCGAAACCCGAAGTGACTTCTGGCAGAATCTATGTTATCATTTCGAGTGGTCAGGAGAGTTTTTGGCTAGTGATAGTCGAGACAAAATTTTCGCCCTGAAGGCTCTCCTTGGACCACAACAAGATGAACTCGACCAGTTCATAGACTACGCGAAGACATTCGAAGAGATTTCCATCAAATTAGCGACGACACTTTTCCAAACTCTGGGACTAAACCTGCTAAGCATGGTGCGGCAGGGTCATGACCTAAATATGCCTTCTTGGGTACCAGACTGGTCTCATATCGGGAGATTTTGTTCCAGCGGACACAGCTCATATGACGAATATATTTCAGGGTGAGTCTCATTGTGCGGAGAAAAGAAATGCTCTGTTTGCACTTGTCAGCATGGACCATGGAATGACGCCTAATTCTGTCTGGCAGGCACCTTTGCACCGATTCTAACCGGGTACGATTTGAAGGCTGCCGAATCAGTCAGATCAGCGAATTGGGTGATACTTTTCTATTCCGAGATGCCAATGATATGGACCAACAGCTGGTGTCTTTCGCCCGTCTAATGCGATTCGAAAGGACAGAAAAAGGTGCGGGAAAGGATGATTTTGAGTCTATCAGGAAGTATTTCCCCGAAAAGATTCTAGAGGGTATGTGTTTCATTGCTCTCCAAACTCTTATGATTACTTCATGATTATTTGTTGGAATAACACACAACTAGCGTTATTGAGTCTAAGTCAAAAGGGCCTTGCACGATTTCTTCTACACGACCGGGCAACCTATGACAATGGGTATACTTTTCGTTTAGATGGCCTTGTAGGTTGTGTTCCAATTCCTGAGTAGCCGCATCTAATCCTCGCATTAGGAATCGAGAGATGAGAATTCGTTGCAAACCATGCACCGAGAGGCTATAAAGGACGTGCTCCTTGAACATCGCATATTTTTGTGCACTGGGACCAACCTCGTGGGGTTAGCGCCTAGTAATGCGGCGAAAGGAGACATTCTTGTCCACATACAAGGCGCCAAGGAGCCATTTCTATTGCGCCCAGTACAAAATGGTCACTGGCGTCTTATTGCTGGCAACTGCTTCACTATGTATTATGAACCACATGCACTGGATCGATGGCAAATAGAAACCAAAGATATAAGAGAACACGACTCAGGCATGGAAATGGAGGTATTCGACTGGTTTACGCGACAGGGCGAGGGCGAGGAGTTTATCGTGATTTGACATACCGACACTCTGGAGATAGTCATTCTCGCTGATCCTGGGTCTCACTCATTTCCGAGGAATAATAAAATGCCTGGAATTGACAAGAGATGATATGACAGCACACCGTCTTCTAAAGGGTGGAGTGCAACCTGATTCTCAATGTACTTTGCAATTATGGCCTATATACAAGACCTCGATCTTATGGCGTAGGACATCTCTATGGTTCCGGCCCGAGCTTTCGGTCGTCAAACTGATGATTACCTAATTACATGCCCAGTCTCTCTTTCCAGCCCTTTGGCTGGTCGCGATGCTGCATAACGCCCCAGGTGTTCCAAGTTCCCGAAGACCGCCCAGTAACTTCGGTGCGCGCCGCGACTGACATGGGCCGACCGGGCGGAGGCGGCAGCTTCAACTCCTCTGCCGACGGAAATTTGGTGACCGGCGTACTATCCCTGACCCGGACATCCTGACCCTGTACATTCTGCGACTGCTCTTCCCGCTCATCATCCATCTCACTGCTCAACGGCTTCCGCTTCTCAACCTCGGGATCTTCCCGCGGTGGAATCGCTCCCATTGGCAGCGGCGGCATGGAATCGCGGCTAAAGTATTCGCCATACTCGCTTCCTCCCCAGCCCGACATGCTCCGCAAGTCAATCGTTCTCAAGCCAGTCGCATTGGACGCGAGACTGGCGCGGGCCGAGTTTGGATTCATCATGTCATCGTCCTCGTCATGTCGACCAAGCCACCTCGAGATGCGCTTGGTGCGCTTGAACTGGGGTTTTCCCGGCACCGCAGCCGCCTTGGGAGGTTGCGCCATGATGGGCAACTCGTCCTCTTCGACCTCTGCCTTGCTGCTGCCGCCGCTGCCAAACTTCTCCCTGATGTAGCCATTGCCGTCTTGCATTTGTCGGTCCATGAAGCTGTTGCGGTCCCCGCCGCCGCTCTCGTTGGAGTAGACGCCCGCCATGAGCTCATTCATGATGCGGTCGTCGGACTTGTGCGTGAAGCGCCGCGTCAGCATGCGTCGGACACCCGAGCCCGTGGAGGCCCCCGACTCGCTTCCGGCGTCGTCGCGTCTCTGCTGTCGGTTCCATTTGCGCCAGAAGAAGAAGACCATGGCTGCGATGAGCATGGTGGCCACTGTTCATTGTTAATATATTAGCTCGAAAACGTGAAGAAATAATACGGGGGAATGTAGGAAAGAAATACGTACCACTGCTTCCAATCGCAATTCCGGCCACGGAACCCGCATCCAAGTGAAGTCGCTCGTGGTGCTCCTCGAAACCAAGACCACCAGTGGGCGCAGTCACAGCCTCGGCAGTGGCAGAGGTCGACATGGACACTTCACGTTCTGCGTCGACGGACGAGGTTAGCGCATTGGAAGAATAAAAAGTTGGAGACCTGGTGGCCGTTGCAAAGCCGGTGCCGTCCACTGTGGACACGGCCGGGTTCAGCAGGATCGGCTGCGGAGACGAGTCCGCTGCCGTCGTCGTCCTTGGAGCGCTACTGGAGATGACTGTGGTCCGCACTAAAGTACCTGTTGTAGAGAGTTCTGGGTGATTGAAGAATGGCGACGCTGTCTTTGTGGACGCCGATGATCTGCTCGTCGTAGTGGGCGGAGCTGATGGAGAGGTATTCGTTGTAGCTGGTGGAGGCAAAGGAATGCTCGTAGTGGTAGTAGGCGCCGGTGGTGGTAGAGCCAAGGAGGAACTTTTGCTCGTCGTAGCCGGAGGAGGAGGGACAGTTTGGGTCGTTGGTGGAGAGTCGGCCTTGGCTGTCGTGCTGTTAAAGGTCGTAGACGTTGGTGAGGGTGTCGATGCCACGCTGTCTGGCGAGCCGGGCGAGTCTGGAGAGTCTGGAGATGACTCGGGACTTGCTACAGGATCATCTCGGATGACTATCCTGAGGCTGTCTGCTATAGACTGCCCTCGACGTGTTCCTCGCCTGGTGATTCCATTAGCATTTGAGTATACAACATATAGACTTGTAGATGGTACAAACCTCATTGTGTCTAGAGTCGTGACACGTGCCCACCTATGTTCCCCCCTTCCCGATTCTTGATCCCACCTTGCTTCAACGCCGTCGACCCTTTCAGAATAACAGAATAACAAGCAGACCTGCTGTAATTAGATGAAGAAGAAACAAATTGGGCCTGCCCAGAAAAGATCACCAAGACAACAGAAAAAACGGCGAAGCAAAGGAAAGACAAAAGATTAAGTTGAAAAGTGTTTCCCCATGTTCAGCGGGGATGGAGAAAGAGGCAAGGAGGTGTCAATGACTTGGCGCCGAGATGTAAAAAGATCAGCCGGCTATTCGTAAGCTGTGCAGCAGCCAGCCGCCCGCCCCAATTGCCTGCAATCGTCTTGTCTATGCGATCATGGTGGCCAGAACTGAACAAAGATTTGCAGCACTGTTGCAGTATCATGATGGCATAGCGTCACGCATTTGGTGTTTCGCGGCGACAGGTGTGCGTGTCTTGGCGTCCAATAACTTCGAACCGCCAAGATGGAATGTCCCCTTACTGCCCATACATACCCTGGAGATAGTGCGACGCTCACAGTATGGTCTCGAAACGGCGCCGACCAATCAGGCGACGGCATCCCCCGCAGGCGGGTGCCGATCTATAGTCTGGAAAGAGTCCGGGGTGCCATTGGGCGTGGGTCCGGAGACGAGGAAGCAGACAGACACCCCAGTGCTGGCGCCACGCGATACGGGATTGTCGCTGCTTTCTGGCTGGGCTGTGGCCTCAAGTCATCCACAAGGACTGCGCAGAACTGGAACGCGCAAAGCCAAGAAGTCGGTTTCATCTGTGCGGTCGCTCGGCCGCTGCCGGTCCACATCTCGTGTATCCGGCGCGCTACTGACTGACCACGCTGCTGAGACTGTCTGTGTGGTTGAGTGTTTGCTGCCCATCTTCCCTTCTGGCCAGGCCTCCAACGAGGATGGGAAGTTATTGATTTATTCCCTGGTTATACTTGTCATTGGCTTCTACAAGCTGCTGTTCTGAATATGATTGCCTCTCGAATCTCTCACCTGGATCCGCCAGAATGCAGAGAAGCGCGCATCACTGCCAAGATGATCGCCTCGGGTATGCGCTTCAGACAGACGGAATAGAAGTGACAAATCATGGCTTGCCGAAATGCTTGCAGAACTTGCTTTCAGGGATTATTGTTAAGCACACGAGATCTTTGAAGCTCGCCATTAAGCTTTTCAACCAAGTGAGTGCATAGATAGATACCCTAGACTTGTCCTAAGCTTTTGGGGCCGTACAGAGGAGGCGTCATAGGCCCACACTTGACATTGACGGAATTGGGCAGTTAAGAAACTATCACGATAATCATTGGTTTTCTTCCGCATATCAATGCACAATGCTTATGATTGACTTCCGAATCCAATTGCAACCGGCACAAAGTAGACAGAGTAGCAAACCATTGCTTGCAATGTTTAGACATGCACATTCGTCCAAGGTGATTTTGTATGTATAATTGTAGTCGAATTTTTGTATCCCCCGTCTTGTGAGGACATATAGCTCTACATGCAGATCGCTGCCCGGTAAATGCTTGGAAAACGTGCAACTGTGCACCGCACAAAAAATGAAAGAGAACCGCTGCCGCTGGCCATGCTAGTCAAATCAATAGCGCGCTCTCCCGCCAGGGAGGCAAACTCGCCCAGGGATGGCAATGCCCTGGAATCTGAAAGGTGTTGTGGCCTTGGTGGGCATTCCATCTTTGACACTCGGATAGCGCCTTGTTGATCACTTTGTTCGTTGCATTCCTCACGTCCAGCCCAACGTCTCCAGAGTGTTGCGTGCTTCGTGGGGCGACATGGCTTGCACGCCGAGTTGTCGGACTTGAGTGCCCTTTCTCAACCTCTGCAGGCCCATTGCAACCTTCCAGCCCTCGTCTTCTCCGAGAACAAACATATACCTCTTGCCTTCCTGGTCTCTGATGTTGGCGCGGAGCACATGAAGACCACGCTGCTTCCATTCGCCCGACTGTTCTCCAATGTTTGGGTCAGCGTATGAAGATGAATCATCTCCGTGTGGACAGAGACGGCACTCGTCCTTGCAGGTTCGTAGCATGGTCTCGCAGAACTTGTCGGCCTCTTCGCCGGTGAGAACCTTGGGAACGCCACGATCTACGCGCGTGCGAGCGGGTCGATGAAGCACATTGGGAGTAGTCTTGGCCTGGGGAGCCGGCTGGTCGCCAAAGGAACGCGAAGAACACCATACCTCCATAAGCTTGAGCGTCCAAGCCTTGACGTCCCACTCACGCTGTGGGACGCCGCGGACGTCATCGTCGATAAACAGGCCTTCCGTGGTGATGCGCAGAATCAAGCCGTCGGTGACGGGGCCTTGTCCTGAGATCAGCTGCGATGCGGGAGTCTTGGCAAACTGGTTCATGAAGCCATATACAGCCTTGATGACAATCTTGTTAGGATCCTTGGTCGAATATGTTCCACGCACAGAAGGCGGGGGTGACGTCCGTGCAGTCGATTGCGATGGGGCATAGGATGATTCGGTGAAGATGGTTTCGCCAGATCTTCTTCTTGAATGTCTCTTTGGTTCGTCGTAGGGGCGGTAAGAGTATGTTTCTTCGTCGGCCGTGCCGGTAAAGGTCTTTGCAGTCGGGGCCGGAGGTCTCTTGGGAGAACTGGGGTTTGGGTTCGGGGCGGCAGGAGTCGGTTGTGATGGCGGACGGCCGTTTGGCCAGGGATTGAACTTTTCGCCTGCTGATGAGTAGGCGTACGTGCTCTTCCTGATGGCTTCTTCGGCTTGCTCCTTGGCCACTTCTTTCAGACGTGTTGCCTCTCTTTCCTTTGCTTCCTTTTCGAGTTTCTCTCTCAGATTCTTTTCCCTCTCGAGCCTCTCGCGGAGATCTCGTTCCCGCGCCTCTCGAAGTCTGGTATCTCTGAGCTCTTTCTCCTTGGCCAGCTTCTCCTTCAACTCCTTTGCTTTCTGGTCCTTTTCACGTTGCTCCTTCTCCTTTGCTTCCTTGTCAGCTTTGTCTTTTGCTTCCTTTTCACGTTGGGCTTTTTCTTGGGCTTCCTTCTCCACCTTTTCCTTGGCAGCTTGTTCTCTCTTTGCCCTCTCTCTTGCCTCCTTCTCGCGAAGCTCCTTGATTCGCTTGGCTATATCCTCCTTGCGCTTTTGTTCGGCTTCTTTTGCTTTGCGCTCAGCCTCTCTCTTCCGCGTTTCTTCTCTTGCCTTCTCCCACGGATTTGCCTGTGGGCCTCCCTTTGGCTGCGGCCCGGGTTCGGGCTTGGGTGGAGGTGCCTCTTGCTCATTCCTTGGTGCCTCTTCGGGCTGAGGCGCCTGCTGCCACGAGTTGTTCGGCTTCTCACCGCCTGGAGCCGGGCCAGACTGGGGTGGAGGCGGTGAGCCATGCGGAGGCGGCGGCGGCGGCGGACCACCAGCCTCGGGAGCAGCTCCATTCCAGTTGTAATTGCCTCCAGCATTGGAGCCCCAGCCACCGGAGCCACCAGATCCACCTCCAGGGCCCGCACCGCCGTCTGTTTGTGTTCTTCCTAATGACCAGGCACCCATAGCCACACCAATGACTAGGAGCATGATACCAAAACTCCCCATTCCCTGGAAGCCATTCCACCACGACTTGAAGGCTGGCGCCATACTATGACCAAGCACAACGAGCAACAAGGCCGAGGCGAAGCCAGCAGCAAAGCTGTTGACATTGGGCTTGAGCGATGGCAGGTATAGGAAGCCGGAACCTGCTGAATGCGGTGGTATTATAAAAATGTCGTACTTGCCGGGAGGCAAATTAGAACTTGTTGTTTTTGGGTTCTCGCCATGCGGCGGAGGCGGCGGCGGAGGACCGCTCATCCTCGTAGTATCTTAAGGTCGGAAATACGAAATGTATGGGTGGTAGATTCGCTGGAGGTTGAGATGTAGTAAACGAGGAGCCAATGCTCAAAACTATCGCGTCGGTAGAACACAAGGGTATTTGGAAGCCATCAAAGGTCGTAACGTCATGAAGTTGGAAATCTAGTTTCGTGCGGTTAGTTGTTGCTGGTCTTGTTTTTGTGCGCGAGAATTGTGTTTGTGGAAGAGGAGTTGACAATCTTGGGCATGCCGAGCAGTCGGAGCCTGGGCATAATATTTGAGGCAACAAATAAAAAAAAGAGGTGAGCTGGACACCAGCAGGGGTTCTCAGTGGCATGGTGGTCAAGATGGGAAATCATCCACATCATCCGTCATCCACTTACCGACTAGGCAGGAAAAGGGCAGATGCAAACAAAACACAGCCGCTTAGTCGAGGAGCCGCGATAAAAGCGGTGATGTTTCCCCTGCAGCTCGCAATTGGAGGATTTCCTAAAGAAATAGAAGAAAGGATCATGTAGACATCATGATGCGAATTACAAGTAGCTTTCTTGAGACAATGGCTAACTGACGAGAGTTGGCTGGGAGGGCGAGCAGCTTTGTGAAATCGCCTGTCTTTTTTTTTTCTCGCCTTCTTGGCGCTCTGTTTACTTTCGACGCTTGGGGCATCCGAGGTGGGATTGGGGGGGAACCAGGTGGTGTTGACGCCGACGCACCTGCAGATGGCGCCGTCCAGTGACAGCGGACCGAGCTGCAAGCTGTTTAGCCTATCCCACCTCTGGAGCTCTAGTATGTCTAGCCTTATTCGCTGGGCATAGTGACTAGGGGGTTCCCAGCGACTCCACAGCGCAACGAACCGCTGTGAAAATGGCAGCTTCCGGCGTCCGCTCGCCTAGCACTGATTAGCATGTACTACACTACAGCATGGGTAGTAGGCACTCAGCAGTCCATTTGATCGCCTCAAGCCAATCGGTAACCGCCAGACTCCAAGTTGCAACACAACAATGTAGGCCATCCATGGCTATTGCTACAGAACAATGCGGGATGCTCCCGGCTCCTTCGACAATGGAACCGGCTACACTTGCTTCTCCTACAGTACCACGACTTGTAAGAAGCGATGAAAATGATTTGCAGGGTCCTTTGTGGTTGTTGACTTGCATGGTGGCTCAACGACTTTCAATCTATCCAAAAGAGACCCTGAGAATGGTCACCGGTCACGGGGAACAACGCAGCACACCGACCTGGGGTTATTGGCTTGGCTATCCATGGAAATCAACTCTCCTCTTTTCCCTTTGATAGTATACTAAAAATTGTTGACAAATCTTTGTACCCCTTCCTTACCTACATACCTACTACCTAGCAGCACCAGGTATTGCACATTGCTTACTCGGAATGGGTCAAGCTGCAGTAGAGCCAATGCAAGCTGCAGCATCATGCGTTTGTCAACGGTGAGTAAACTGTGACTTGTCCACCAGATTATAACCACGTTCCAAATACGCCACGAGTCGGGCTGCAAGTTACTCTCCCAAAACGCGACATTGACCTAGACAAGAAGCGCGTCATTGTTATGACGGACATCTGATTGGTAACCATAAAGTCGCACAAGAGGGAAATCGAATCTGGGTGATCATCCAATCTGGCGAGATTGCCCAATTTCTGGATGCGCTCTTACAGGTTGCACTCACCCCAAACTTCGCCAAACCTGAGCAAATCCACTCTTTCTACTCATGCTACGAATCAAACGAACCCGCGGATGATTCCCCCAAAGCTCCGGCCTTAGACGGCGCGATTCTCGGCTGGCCTGGAGGAGAGTTCCCGCTTTGTGCTCTACTTGATGGATCCCGCTACCCGCCGCAAACACCAACAACTGGCTGGACCCATACTCCAGATCCATCGCCCCGATCGATGAGATGTCTCCATCCACAAGAGTGGGCAGCCTTCAAGCGAAACATAGTTGCCATGTTTGAAAATCACAATCAACTCAAGCAAGATTCTTTGCATCTATTGTGCTAAACATAAGGGTCTATTAATTGGCCATTGGGCGTCAACCCGTGAAGCAAGAGCCAGACCCTGGCGCTTGGGGGATGAATTTTGAAAAGAGAATCGATGGGCTTGATTTCGCTTCGCGTTGAAATGAAAGGTTGCTGGGCAACAGCGCGCTCAACTTCCTGTCGGGGGTTTCTTTTTGTGGGGGTGACGTAGCCAAAGCTCCAACAGGTGAAGGTGGGGGCCGTCAATGGACATCCGCGCCCTCATCTCCGCTAGTGACTTATACTAAGTACTACCTATTCTCATCGGTGTTTCTTTTTCTTGCTCTATCATCGAGCATAAGCAAATGCCACATGAAAACGAGACACTCCAAGTAGTCTATTATCATGAGAAGACTCGGATTGGGGGATAACTTATTATCATCTGTCCTGGAAGATCTGCTTGTTCTCGATTGACAATTGATGGTTGCACAGTCATAATTTCATGTATTGGTTGCAAAATGGGCTCGGTACAAGATGAGTTTTTGTCAAGGACTTGATCTGCCAATAAGAAATTTCCGCAAACGGCTTGAAATACTGGGATAACCATCAATATGAGTCTCGGGGGACAAAGAAAAGGCCACTTAGCACAATGAATGCCCTGCCCATGGCGCGTGGTTCGTCTTTGAGAGATGGAAGATGACAATGGTCGATTGAGCTCGATCAATTAACAAGCCCAATGATACTATGTTCTCAGATGAAAACTGCCTCGAAACTTGCCGATCCATGACGAAGAAATTTTGTGCAACTCGATTCTGGCATTAGAAATCATGCAGGATTTCAAAGACGATGGCGCATATCCAAATGATGTGCCTCTGGAACTGGAGGTATCCCAGTCTAATGAGGTCCAGCCAAGTATTTCTCTAGAGAAACAACCACCATCTCCTGAAGATGACTCGCGTGAGTCGCAAATGCAACGTAATTCGAGGTTACAGAATGAATTGCTGCGGTTCTTGGTTATGCGCGAGCAGCAATCAACTCGCAAAAAGCCACAAGACGGTCTGTCATACTCCGCTGAACAAGCAAGGAGGGCTGCAAAAGATGAAGTCACCACACCAAGTGACGATGACAGTCACACACAGCAAGACTCTGACGAAGATCTAGAGTCTGACACGGTATCCGAGGACGACTTATCCGACACAGATACTACTGACCTTCCTCGAGTCCCAGGACCTAAACTGGCTAGGTTTCGTCCACTTGCCGATCCTCTGGATATCTCTTTTGAGGAAGTACTCCACAAGGGCCACTATTCTCATGTTTGGAAAGTCTCCTGTCGTGGATATACATACGCGCTCAAAATCGTGAGTCTAACATGACGTACCCGACGTGTAATGGTACTAACTCTCAATGCAGTTCAAGCCAGGTGCATGGTCCGACCTTCTTGAGAAATGGAATTCCGACGACTGCCCATTGCCCCAGGGATGGACAAGAGAAAGCCTGAAACCATACACGGATCCTTTCTTCAATGAGTGTCGTGTATACGGACGGCTCAAGGAGACAAACAAGGAAAATCTTGCCATGGATTGCCACGGTTATGTCATGTTTTCGTCCGCTTACCTGGAAGGACAAGGCGTCGACCTGGGCTTTACAACCACGAGCGACCCGAGCTCGGCGCGCGGTTCTGAGCCCGGCATCATCCACGAGGGTATGCCCGAGGAGCCAGTGGGACACGGCTCGGAACTCGTCTACGCGCTCCTAAAGGATCTCCCACCCACCGGGGCGATTTCAGTGCGTCCGACGGAGTCGGAAGTGAAGCAGATGTCCAAGGATCTGTTGACTCTGCACAAGCTCGGCATCTTTCACGCCTCCATCTCACACTCCTCGTACGTTGCCGGGAAGCTTGTGGATCTCGGTACGGCGCAGACGGTTCCCAGCCCATGGCTGGACGGGTACTATCGAGGCATGAACCCGGTGAGAATAGGCAAAGATCCAGCGTTTAGCGATCAGGTTGATTTTGATGAAAAGGTCATAGATTATTGGAACGACCAGCCCAAGACGATAGCGCCGGAGCCTCAGACTGAGATGGGAGGCAAGAATAGTAAAACAAGACAACGGAGAGTGAAAGACCTTGCAAGAGTCTTTACCCCGGAACAAAAGACATATCGCAAGCTGAGGAGTGGCAAGGACAGGCAGTTTCTCGTGAACTTACGGCTTGGTGAAGGGTGGTTTGATCCCTCAAAGTACAAATGGGCAGGGGCCGATGCGGAAAACTCGGAACTTGAAAATAATCATACCAAGAAGAGGACGTGGTCCAATGACACACCTATCGTTGATGAACAAGCAAATTCAACTCCCCAGAATCAAATCCAGGCGAAGAAGCGCAAGTTTGGACGAGGCGGTGTGAAGACTTAGGAATCGCGGATATAATCGTATCAACTTGGAAAGCTTATAGTTCATCATCTTTTTTACACTCAATCCTAGACATTCACTTTCCAATGCATGTCCTTGCTTTTAAGAAGAAGGATAAAATAGTATGATGTTATTGGAACTGAAAACTGGCTGTGACTGGGCATACCCGTTATTATCGAGAAATTATAGTCGTGCTTGCAGTAGTTTAGTCAAGCCCTAGTTCGCGACGCGAGATTGGTAAGCCCATGTACATTATAAATCAAACGAGGTTTCCCAAACTTATAAACCGTCTAGAGGCGCAGCTGGCAGGCAGTCTAAGAATATGTGAAGTAAAAAGTCTCCGAATCAAAGCGTTATGCCAAAATGGCCTCACCACGGGTTATTTTAGTGACAGCTGCTTCGGGTCACATTGGCGAAAACCTCATTCCATTGCTAGCTGCAAAGTCCACCACGAAACTCATTCTTCCCACGTCAAATGCTGCGGCTCTAAACTCGCAAATCGCAACATTTGCAGTACCGTATCCAGAGAATATCACGGTGGTGGAAGGGTCCATAAAGAACCCGGCATGGTTTCAAGAATTGCTTAAAACACACAGCGTCGACACGGTCTTTTTGTGTCTGACGGGCGAGGACGAGTTATGGACGACGTTCAATTGCTATGACGCCATGAGCCGTGTGCCCTCGGTCAAGAAGCTGATCTACCTGTCTGCGCAACTAGATTTTACGTCGACAGAGGGGATGCAGCAGGTGCTTCGCCACCAGTCGGCTGCACACGTCGTCGTCAAGATCCTGGCCGAGCAGAAGCTGCTGCATGGCAACCTGCCGTTTGCGTGGACGGTTCTTCGCCCAACGCTCTTCTTCATAAATGATGTGCGCTGCAAACAAGGCATGCTGGAGCATGGCGTCTTTCACGAGCCCCTTGGCGAAAAGGGTGCCAGTCGCGTCGCACCCTGGGATATCGCCCTTGCCGTCCAGCGGCTCGTGGCCGACGACACTGCCAAATGGCAAGGCAAGCACGTCGCCATCGGCTCCCTGAAGCTCTACAAGGGCTCCGAGATTGCTCAGATCTGGTCCCGGGCGCTGAGCAGGGAGGTGAAAATGCACCCGGCAGACGAGCAGGGCTTGCAGCAGTACGAGGACGAGTTTCTTAGCAGGGTGGGTGATGCTAGAGGGGCCGCCTGGGGGAGAGACTTGCGATTGATGTACCAAGCATTTGCGGAGACGGGGTTTGGCATGAACGAGGATGAATATCGCGAGCAGGTCGACTTGCTCGGGCGCGAACCTGCCAGCTATGAGGACTGGGTGAAGGAAACAGCAAGATCATGGCTCTAATCAAAACACCTGGCCGACAGAAACCTGTAGTAGACCAAATTGATACGATCCATCATGGAGGCTGGTTTTCATATCAGTGTTCTCCACGTTCCTTCTTTGCGTCATCATCAGTACAGACAGCTCAAGTGTAGGTGCCGTAGAGCCGTTGTAGACTTACATACTAGACGATCTTTTTACTGGTGAGTATCGATGAACGCGTTTGAAGATGTTTACCATGTAGTAGTTAACACCAGGATCCCACCGCAGGGTGCGCTCCATACTGACTCGAGATATTCGAGTTGCCGCTTTTCCCGGCTATTCGCGGATTCCTGCCTTGTTTCGGGAGACTCTCGAGGTTGAGTTCCTCCTCTGCCAAAGTCTCGGCAGCCTCCTGCACGGGGATAATGTTGCATATATCAACGTGCAGGAACTTAAATGCCTGTCCCAAAATGTCCTTTTTTTGTGTGTGCGATGAATCTGATAACGCCGTAGGGTTGGTTCTGTATATCTGAGAGTCTGAGAGGGGAGTGGTGAGATCAAGAAGACTACTGCATTGCATATCTCGAAGCAGATTCCTGCATTGCCTCCCATTGGAAGAACAACCCGCCCTGTCTGCAACCCATCGGACGATGTCAGTATTGAGGGATACTGATGCATCTGGAGGTTGCCGAGGCCGACTCGGCCGATACCCAAACACTCTTGGTGAGACATTTACCAGTTCAATGAGATAGTTTCACAGTGACTTGAGCGATCAGAGGGATTGGGGCTACCTCATACTTTGGAGTCAAGGTGTAGGGCTGAATACTATCAGGCCTTGGCACTGATACTGTAGCTGGAACCGAGCCGCTTGGAGGGTCTCGGACGGAGCTCCGTAGCACTTGATTCACTTTTCCGCCCGCTGGCGGCAACCATTTAATCTGATTACAAGCACCAAGTCATACGTTGAGTAATTTCTTCCATGTTTCCTTATATTTTCTCCCGTGGTTCTGACTGGCTTGGAGAGAACAATTGCAACAATAATACTTGTCAGACTCATTGCCAACACCTGAGACTTGCTGTCAGGGCATACCAAAAATGATGGATTCAATATTCTGCACCTGAGCTGGCGTCATGTGTTGCCCTACTCAGCAATCATCCTTGACAATTTGCATCAGTCAACCAACAGATTAAGCTTTCAAAACTGACTCGCGGAGTGTCTGTTCCCTTGACACTTTGCTACTTTCTAGCGCCTGGAGATCATATTACCTTTTCGTGCTCATACTATCTGGGCCGGTTCACTTCGCTCCGGCCGGCAAATCGACATAACGTTTATTGCCCCTCAGTCCCGCCACGTTGCTTACCCGAGTTTATTGCCGTCGTCGGATGCAAGTTATTGTTTGCTCGCGTGATCACACCATTGATGTCGTTCTCGTCGGAATACAGCAATCGCCCTTTGCCATGTCGGACAACCCTGTGGTGGTTCTGATCAGCGGCGTCAGCAGAGGTGAGTTCAACTCATCCCTGCCAAGTCTTGATCGCCTCTCTTCCCATTTTTCGCTGATGGCAACCCAGGTATTGGTAGAGGATTTGCCGAGGCTTATCTCTCCCGGCCGAATCACACGGTCATTGGCAGCATTCGGGATGATGCCAGCCCAGAAGTGGCCGAGCTGAGGGCCTTTGAGCCTGCAGAAGGCTCAAAACTGATTTTGATTCATATTGAGAGCACCGAACCAGAAGATGCAGCCAAAGCTATCAAGGGGATCAAGGCCACGGGCATCCGGTACATTGATATTGCCATTGCTAATGCTGGAGGCTCACCACCTATCCAGTCAATGGACAGTGTTAGTGCCAGCAGCATGGTCGCTGCATTCGAGGTCAATGCCGTCGGGCCGCTGCTTCTCTTCCAGGCATGCAAATCGTTGCTCAAGGCGTCGAAAAGAAAACCCAAGTGGGTATCGATATCTACCGGAGGCGGCTCAATCAGTCTAATCGGCGAGATCCGTTCATACATTGGTCCGGCGTATGGTGCTTCCAAGGCGGCACTGAATTGGCTTACGGCGTAATACACATCCCTCCTTTTACTTTGCAACATTAGCAACGGAAGAGGGACAAGTCACTAAATTTGAATGACAGGGCCTTTCACCATGAAAACGACTGGCTCATCTCTGTAGCCTTGCATCCAGGGTAATTTTCACCGTCCACAAATATGTTCATTTGCGGAAGACTTAGGATTTTGGCAGGCTAGTCCAAACTGCTCCGGGCAACTGGCTGGCGCGCAAATTTGGGATGGAGCGAGCACCATATACCATTGAGTATAGTGTCAAGCAGATGATGAAAATAGTAAGTACACGACAACATGGCTCATGAACCATATACATTTGCATACTCATGTTTCCAGATCGACGAGGCGAGCAAGGAACAGACCTCTGGAAAATTCATCCGGGCAGTAGGTGGCGGAGAAATGAACTGGTAGTTCTATTCTACCTATTTCATGTAGGCGAAAGGCAAGAAGACTATTCAAGATCGCCTTTGTGGAGTCGGTTGCTGCTTGCTCGGTACAAGTCCACCCGGAGTTCTACAATCCCACGAATTAGCCTCAGCTATAGGAATGTCGGGCCGCCTAAGCGACTGCGCATCATCCGGTGTACATACCAAAACACAACATATGTGAATATAAAGAAAAATGTCCAAATATTTGATGACTCTCGGAGTATACTTTGATATGAATATTTGACAATATCAGCTACATACTTATCGTGATGGCACAGTTCGAGTTCGATTCCAGCATCAAAGGCGCACTCCCAGCTGATTTCCAGTGGGGGTATGCGACCGCTGCCCCACAGATTGAGGGCGCCTGGAACAAGGACGGAAAGGGACTGTCCATCTGGGACACGTTTGGCCACACACCCGACAAAGTCAAGGACGGCAGCAACGCCGATGATACAGCGCGGTCCTATGACTTGTACAAGCAGGATGTAGCGCGCATGAAGAGGTACGGCGTCACAGCCTACCGATTCTCGCTCTCCTGGTCACGCATCATCCCGTTGGGCGGCAAGGACGATCCCGTCAATGAGCAGGGCATTGAGTTTTATAGTAAACTGATTGACGAGCTCATCGCCAATGGCATCACGCCCTTTGTGACCTTGTTCCACTGGGACACGCCCCAGGCCCTCGAGGACCGCTATGGCGGTATGCTTGACAAGGAAAAGTACATTCCCGACTTCAACAGATATGCGCGGGTATGTTTCGAGCGACTCGGTGACCGTGTCAAGCAGTGGATCACTTACAATGAGCCTGGTGTTTACACCCTCGCCGGTTACGCTGCCGGTGTGCATGCCCCAGCTAGATCTAGCTTTCGCGACCTGAACGAGGAAGGAGACTCGAGCACCGAGCCATTCATCGTGGCGCACACCGAGCTGCTATCGCACGCCTACGCGGCCAAAATCTACAAGGAAGAGTTCAAGCCGCAACAGAAAGGCACCATCATGATCACACTGCATGGCAATTGGAACGAGCCGTGGGACGAGAGCGATCCCAAGGACGTCGAAGCGGCGCAGCGTGCGCAGGAGTTTGAGATTGCCTGGTTCGCCGACCCCTTGTACAAGACAGGCGACTACCCGGCCTCGATGCGGGCACAGCTAGGCGATCGGCTGCCGCGGTTCACCCCCGAGGAGAGCCGGCTCGTCCTGGGAAGCTCCGAAGCCTACGGCATGAACTCGTACACGGCCTTTTATGTGCGACACCGGGATGCCGAGCCCGACATCAACGACCACAAAGGCAACGTCGAGGTTTCTGATACAAACAAGCATGGTGTCGAGAGGGGCATTGAAAGTGACACGCCCTGGCTGCGTACCTCGCCGTGGGGCTGGGGCAAGCTGCTCCGGTGGATCTGGGACCGGTACCAGACCCCCATCTTCATCACGGAAAATGGCACGACGGCGAAGGGTGAGCACGACTTCAAGCCCAAGGGTCCGGATGATGTGTTAGAGGACCCACACAGGATCGATTTCTACAAGAGCTATTTGAGCGAGGTTGCCAAGGCATCGCAGGAGGGCGTGGTGATCAAGTCATATTTTGGATGGACGTTTACGGACAATTGGGAGTGGGCGGCCGGGTTCACTGATCGGTTCGGTGCGACTTGGGTAGACTTTGACGATCCTGAAAAGCCGAGATACGCCAAGCGGTCTGCTTACTTCTTGAGAGATTTCTTTGGCCATTTGATCAAGGGCGGTACAAACTAGCTGGGCGACTCATGTGTTTTTTTGTTGAGTATAGTCACTCATACGGGACATGTGCTCGAGTACAGTTCAATGTCAAGTGACGCTGTCACAATGATTAATAACTATGCTTAAGACTCACTGCGCAGCTCTTTTTATCCAGCTAAAGGTACCGCCTGTGTTTCTATCAAAATGATGATTCCCAGCCCGTGATTGCAGCAGTAGAACCGCTCGGCTCGTTCAACTGGAATGTGCTTCATCCTCGCTTTCTAGTGATCTGGCATGTGTAAATCCATGACGCGTAGCAATCATCACCAACGCACCTTCGGTTTGGGTAATGTCATGCTGTAGGGAAAACATACCCCAATCGACTACAGATGAACGCAACTGCCAACAGCCAACTACGTACCTACCTTGGCATTCAAAGAAAACAACAAAACAAGTGACGTATTAGCTTGACAGGTACGTTGTGTCGATCCCGTCACCTTGGCATCCGACATTCTACTGATGATCCTTGATCAACAAACACCATTTCTCGTTTGACACTACATATATCCCACTATCGCCGATTTCATCATTTTCGATACACGACAAACAATCCCCACATCAACAAAGAATCAATAAATCAGCAGGCAAAATGACACAGTTCAACCTACTCAACCAAGACGGGACAGACATCCCGGACGACTGGTTTCTTCCATGGTCGAGTCAAGCAGATAGGCAAGCATCACCGTGCGGGCCTATCTGGAAGTCAGCAATCGAGCACCTTAAAAACAACCGCGAAACTCTGAGGAATATCACTTTTGAGAAAGTGGCACGTCTTATGACTCAGCCCCTAACTGATGCTCACCTCTCAGAATTGGCACCAGCAACAGCCAATAACGCAGCCAAGCGCCAGCCACTGGAGGATCTTTGGAGATTTTTCATTGCGGCGCTGATCGAATGGCCATCAAACTACACATCGAAGCTGGCCGGGGTTCTGGAACATATCCAGAAACGTCAAGGCGGTCCTTACCAGGGACAATTGATGGTTGAAGGGGAGCTCCTTTTATGGCAAGATCTACCATACTTTGAGCATGCCTGGCGCCGCGAGTGTCAAATACCATTGGAACTCATCATCTCAGTATGCTTGAATAAGAAGACCCTAGAACGCGCCCGTATACGGTACATCAAGGAACAGGAAACTGCGGCCATCATAACTTCTTGTAAGATCTTTGAAGAGGGTCTCTTTACCTATCAAGAGGCATTTCGACACATGGTCGAAACACTTGAGCGGACACCCCTATCTCTCGTCCCTGTCAGTATAATCTACTCGACGGAGGGGAGGCTGGAGAGTAAGCAACTTCCGGTGTTATTTCTCCCCTTCTCTGGGTTGTCTTATGAGCAATCATTACCCAAATTGGTGCTGCAAGAGAGCAGACTCAGACAAACTGCTCAAAAGAGATCCTTCAAACTCATTTAACTCCCCGAATAGGCAATTGCTAACATGTGTTGTTGTAGTGGATCTCGTCTTTCGACTTTGTGGTGCTGAGTCATGGTTACGGCATTGTGGTACGCATTTATACGCTCTGATTATGATGGACAAGACCAGAGACTGGGACCAAAAATATAGACCAAATCTGGGTACAGCTCTTCCACATCCGACAGATCGCTGGTATTTCTGGAAAGGCAGGCTCGAGAATATTTCCCGGATGGAGAAAGAGAGAATTCGCCGAGCACAGTGCCAACATGTCAAAGCAGCAACGGAGGAGTGTTTGAAAAAAATGGCCGACATTCAAATACAGTGGAAAAAGATGACAGAACATCAACAAAAGCGTTGCCTTGACCAGGCTCGTGGCCAACTAAATGCGTAAGTATATTTCTTTATGATCTACACACGTTTTATCCATCGCCACTGACAAGAATCAAGCGATTATCGGGAATTTGATGGCGATAACTTGCCGAAGTAACATTGCCCCCGTTGTGCACACAAGTCACAAATAGGCTCTTCAACCATGAGGGTGACCTTTCGTTGTTTTGGGTCTTTTTGAATCGTGTAATCCAAGAGCTGGTAGCATTATAATATTTATTTCTAAAATTGAGATCTGCAACTGACGTGATATACATGTTTCAGTGCACTTGAGACTTTTATGAATGCAGTCCCTTGCACGTCAATAGTGCTTCGCATTCTGTACGAGTATCGAGCTTATCTTGGTTCGTTTGACTTCTCCAGCGTAAAGAAGTAGCCAAGAGATCTCCACATCAAACACCACGGGCTACTTCGTCTGACCATGGCGGCCTTGGGGTTGACGGTGTGTTCCAATCTTGAAAGCTGAATTAAGTGTCCAGCCCATACAGGAGTGTTTAGGCCCAGCTTTTCCACAAACAAACATCTTCAATCCAACAATGGTGGTACCAATGTCAAACAAAAGAATATGGTGATGTCTTGCTTTCGCGGGTGCCAGCATGAATTGCTGCTCTTCCTTCAGAAATACGTCTTGAACTTGATGATTGACGTGGGCTTGTTCATCGAACTTCAGGTCTGAGCCAAGTAGGCTCACTGCAAGAGCTACTCTTTTTAACATCTGCCCGGTGGCCCATCACGACCATTTTCTTGGTATCCCAACCGGAGGTGATGGCGGCACCATCCCGCTGTCGCCCTTTTTGATAAAAGGTCCCAAACTTGCAGATTCCGTCCGAGTACTGATATTGGAGACATGATCTTTCCGACTCGCAGGTTTGAGCACATGCAGCGGCAGAAGCGTGTGCAGGCGAGTCTTCTGGTTGGACATCGCCAGCGTAATTGTCCCATGCAGTTCGCACTGGAGCTTCGAATATTCCTGGAGAGATGTAATCTGCAATGGTAGAGTGCGTAAAGGGATCCTGTAACTCATGATTGGTTAGAAAAACTTCTCGGTAGTATTCTTGGTAGGTAAACAAGGCTCTATTTTAGTCAGCTTTGCTCGACATGAGCACTGAAACGTACTTGGTCGTATGCCCGGTTTCGCTCCCACTCCCAGAGCGACGACATTTGCTCTGGCGATACCCGATGAAGGGAAAGCAGAGGGATACACCATCTCTCCTGGTCAATCTTGAGTCCATCGAGTTCGTCGCCCGCAAATGTAGGATATAGCGCCTGCAGCCGCTCGCCCGTCTTGTTAAGAATAGCTTGGCCCAGTATAGCATCACCACAGCACCCAGTCTGGACGTGTTCCTCGTAGCGGACACTCAAGGGAACATGGTCCTCTGTCAAGCGTTCCATGAGTCCTGCAGAGAGCACGAACCCGGCGCCGCCATAGGCGAAAAAGGTGCCGTCGGCACCGGGGGCCGGCGAGCCCATGTAATGCATTTTCGAAGGGTCGAGCTGGCTGAGCAGACGAAACAGCGTGTCCCAGAAATAGTAGACGTCCGACTCGATAAAGACGTACCAGTCGGCGTCGGGTCGCATTTCGTGCGCCTTTTCGACCATGGGCAGGAACTTGAAGCGGTCGAGTTTCCAGTCTTCGGGAGAGTATCCAACTGCCTTGCCGCTTGCGTATGCCTGTTTTTGCGACGAGTACGCGGCAAAGTCGGGGATGTTTTGGAAGGAACCTGGCAAGTCTGCCAGTATGTCAATGACGTGGTGACCATTGATGAGTTCTTCATTGTCTGAAAAGATTAAAAGATTCGGAATACACGAAGTGACCGTGTCGAGGTGGGCCTTGGTCTTGGCTGGCTCGCCTGTGCCCGTCTTGAGAACGATTTGGATGCTGTTTAGAAGCTGGACTGGAAAACCGGCACACGGGTCGACTTTGCTGAGCCTTGAATCGTTTGATGGAGGAAAAAAGGACGGCGTCTTGAATTTGTAGTAGCGTGAACCGTCGCGGGGATCACGGTAGAACTCTGATATTTTCGAGTAATGCCATCGACTGGAGGAAATATAAGAGGGCAATACCCCATTGTAGAATCGGGCTACTGCTACGATGAAGATGAGGGCGGCAAATGCAAATGCGCCACTGGCTGGACGTCGAAGCAGCCGTAATGCTGGGAGCGGCGGCATCGTAGTTGTACCATTGACACGGCACCTCGAGAGGTGACAGCGGAATGCGTGTGTATTAGAGTTTCAAGACGGGAAAGGGAAGTAAACGTGTCGGAAGTAGGACCGAGAAACTTTGCCCCGGGTACCTACATAGGTGGATGGCCAGAAATGTAGGAAGGGTGGCGACGGCGGCAGCAAACGGGAATCTCTCGTCTCGGGCCGGGCGTGGCCAATGATGGAAGAAAAGAAAGCTGCATGTCAAGATTAGGTATCTATCAAAAGAGGGATGCTGAAGTGAGACATTATGCAAAAAGAAATACGTCCAACGCGGGTTGGTGGATTCTCCCTTTGGTGGATGATAACGAGGATAAGGCTGCCGTTTGCTAGGACCATATGCAGTGCCCAGTAGGCAGAGTATGATACCTCAGTTTTTTCTATTGATCGTTTGACATTTGTGATAGCTGATTGGCTCCTACCGTGGTGCCTCGTCGGGTACCTACCTATACGGCTGATATGCCTGACGCACGGGTGTATGCAAACAGCAAACAACATGAACAAAAAGAGAGATCTCGCCACATTGGGCTGTCCTGATTTTTCTCTCCTCAGAATCGCACTTGTCTATACTGAGTATGCCGAAGTTTTCTGGGCACAGTGCCCGTACCGATGGCCTCGAAATCTCGGCCCTGCATCTCGGACCCATTCTTATGTGAGTCCCTTGACCGGGCCGTCCTCAATGTTTGCTTTCCTCACAACGGACGACCTGCCATGAGAGGCAATTGATCATCTCCATATAAATCGTCCAAACAGTGCTAGCCACAAGAGAATGGGCGATCCAGTCTCTGCGTGACATTAAACGAGGCAGGTCATATTGGCTAGAGTGAAGAAAGGGGAACCTTGGGCGTTTTTACAAAGCAAACAATCAACAAGAACATGCAATACATCGAATAAAGAACTAAAAGCCCAAAATCGATAATTGTGCACTAGTTCTAATTTGCAACTCACCAAGTATTATCATAATCTTTCATGGTAATATATCGTAATCCCCCAAACCTCGGGTTGTAGAAATCATCAATTACAACTCACCACTCTGAAATATGGGACTTTTTATGGGATATCCACATATGCATGCAACTCAAAAGCCACATTTGTATTCTTTATTTCTTGCCCTAGGTCTCCGTTGGATCGCATGAGAATGACTCGAGCTGTGGTAGTTATCCAGTTTTCATCTTTGGTATATTCAACACATGGACCAGAAATATTCATAGTCAATATCGTTATCTGTAAACATACTCCATCTACATTCAATCTCTCCGCGTGAAAGTACAAGGCCAAGTTTGCCATATTGCTGGCAAGCTTGACAAGCACACTCCGTCCATCCAATCAGGAGCGCTATAGAATGCAGCCTGGTGCCAGACTCGATCAACCCAAGCATTCGGAACCTAGTCGCACAAGTATGTTGGTTTCAGTCACAAGGTTGCGTACATACTATGCCGTAAATGGGTTGCGAGATGAGTTGGGAGACGTGGGAAACGATGCAAACGTTGTGCTATCAAATCAGTTTTGTGTCCCATTTGACTTGCAGAGAACTCTCGATACTTTTCTCATGTCCTACTCTTTTCCTGTATACTACCAACTACGAATACATATACCTTTCAAAGCAGTGAATGTGTAACAAGCCATCATGTCCGCCACCTGCTTCTATGCCAGTGGGGGCAGTGCCAGTACAGACGGTCAAACCTACATACCATGTAACACAACCGCCGTCGAACAAGGTGGGCACAGCGCTTGCTGCGCGTCGGGCGACATGTGCTTTACCAACGGTCTATGCAAAGCGGGCGAAGGCCAATGGAACTGGAACTGGCGTGTTGCGTGCACCGACCCGACATTTCAGGACCCGTCCTGTCCAAACTATTGTAGAGGCATTGGTCGGTATACCGAACCTCATCCTCACCTTTGAGTGTTTGCTCGTGTTTCCAACTGACTGAATATACGTAGAGTCGGATGACCAGGCTCATTTGGTATTTCAGTGCTCCGACAATGACACGTGGTGCTGCGCGACGGGAAATGTCGACCGATTTGCTAGAAATTACAACTTTACCTGCTGCGAAAACCCAGAGCTCACAATGGAGCTTGGCCCGGCAGTGTTTTACGGCACGGCAATGGCCCAGGTTGCTATTAGTACTCTCGGCGTCTTCTCATCTCAGACGACGACTTCATTGATACCGAAACCATCGGCGAGTTCGAACGTATCGCAGGTTACGGCTTTGACAACAATGAATGCCACTGGCTACTACTCTACCGAGACACCAGTTCCGACCCAAGATACCACAACAACACCAGCTGCCACTTCAAGTGCTAGTAGAACTTCTCCATCGTCGAAAGCACTTCAGATCGGGCTCGGCGTGGGCATTTCCCTAGGTCTCGCGGCTATTGCCCTGGTGGCGTACATGTTCTTTCGTCTGGGGCAACGGCGAAGCCAACCATCCGGTTTGGATCATCAAATGATGCAAAATGACGACGCAAAAACATCAATGCCTCTACCAACTCATCTTCACTGGTTACAGTATGGTGGAGTTCCTGCAGCTGTCGGCCATGAAATGGATGGTCAAAATCCCATGGCAGAGATGGCGCATTCTGTGCCGGTTGAGTTGGAAGACAGGGCAATAATGGAAAGCCACAATACGGGAGTGCATCATTACCGATCAGAGTCAGAGTATTCGTCATTCTATTTTCCCATTAGCCTAGCTTCAAAGTAGGCATATGAACCGATTTATACGTGAATTATTTATCATACTCTAGCTTGATAGTTTATGCTCAATAAGGTTTACTCCATGTCTTGATTGTGTGCGCACAGCCGAGATTGAGAGAACAGTATTATGAAGGACTCGTTATACAGCCTTGATAGAGGTAAACATTATCGATAGGCTGACTATAAGGTCCATTCACAAGCGTGTCTATTGTCAATCAGGGCTTCTGGCAGGGATGGTTGCATAGTATTATCCTACCACCTGGGCGAAATGTTGTTAACACAATTGTCCAATAGAAGAAAGATGTTGGAACAGAAATATCTATAAATATATACAGAAAGCGTTAAGGTGAATTGTGCCGAGAACTGCTTTCACTGGATACGAGCTGTCAGGATGATTTGTATTGCAGCTGAAGTTGTGGACTGTGTAGCATTTTAGTGGTTGGGCTGCTGGCGAGCGGCGCATGCTGACGCTCTCAGCTTCCTCCCATTCATGGGTCCAATTTGCTTTGCAAAAGTCCACACTCACTTCACTTTTTGGGGGGGTAAATGGGGAAAAGGGAAAAATAGAACGGGCGTGTCCACCCACTATCGAAGGACGTTCTTTTGCAGATCAGCAGCAGCGAGAACGGGCTGGCACTTGGCTGGCTGATGGAAATTGCGACAATACGGTCGAGTTTGTTCTATTCCATAATAGATAGCATGGGCAAATTCTTGACTTTTCTTTCATCTGCGCTTCACTTTCGGTCATGTCCTCGGCTCGTCCGAGGATCGATGATCGCTGTACTTTGTTTGACTAGCGCATCAAGGCAAGTATAAGCTGGGCAGTCGGCGTCCTTGGCAACAGGGAACAGTGCAAAGAGCCGCAGTGAAATGCAATGCAATTCATTCTGCCTCTTTTCTTTCGCATTTTATTGCCGTCCAAAAAAGTTCGAATGCCACATCGCTGACACCAAAGGTATATTTCAATGTTTAAACGCCCGCAAAACGATGCGGTTCCTTGAAGGGGTACCCAGTGGCTAAAAAGCTAAAGAGGAATAAGAATCGTGGAGGAGTCCATACCTACCCCAGGGGCCACTCCAAACAAAAAAATCAAGCTCCGATCCGAGGAAGGGGTCATTTGTTAACTCCTTGCTTGTGCCGACATTTGACTTGGATTGTTTTATGCATTATTGCGCAGTGTGATGACGACGCCCAGGCTCTCTAACCTATTCCTGCTACTAGAAAGCCTTCGTCTTAAACCACAAGCAGCATAGCTGGGCCGTTGTTTCATCCCATAGGGAAAAATCCAGGCGGGTGCCCGGTCCCTAGCAACATCCCGATTTGGTGTGAATTTTAGAGTGCGTACGGGCTCTGGGTGACGAGTCAAAATCAGGCGGTGCCAAGCGTTGTTGGAAGAAGAAAAAAAAAAAAGTCCGCTGGCCCCCAAAAGCCCGTTCCAGTGGGCTAAGCCAGGTTGAATCATGGCACCCACTGCACTGTTACCTTGCAACAGCCATCACCCGAATTTCAATGGGCTTGCAACCCGAAACCCGAAGCCCCTATCCAGATTTTCCTTAGATGGTCTGTCTGCCCGCTCGGCAAGGCGGTTGTGGCTTGACAATAAACCCGAATTGATTCGTATTCCTCGGCAGCCCTTCCAGTGTCCGTCACGCGACTTGGTAGTACGTAGCAGCTGCTGGCTGTATTCGTTCATTCGTTTATTCCCTGACTTTTTGTCATGATTATAGCGGGATTACGCAACCAGGGCAGCTACCAGCCAATGCCGTTCTTGGGACATGACTTGCACAGGGCTGGGCCAAGCACGAGCTGTGATCTCATAATGCTCGCGACACTTGACACACATGACCCAACCTACGTTGTACTGAAGACTTGGGACTTGGACTGTGATTTTTTACATTTACGGAGGGTCCGCCGCTTGTTGGTTGGTGAAGAAAAAAAAAGGCACGCGACAAGAACACACCGTCAGGCGCCGAGTTGCCTATTACAGCTGGGGCCAAAGAGAGGGAGAAAAGATCAACGAACGAAAGAAGAAAAAACCAGTCCCCAGTCCCGTCAACCTTGGCTAGCACCTTAATGAGAATGACTTCTTGGCACCTGTGCTACCGCCTCAAAAGTTCCCACCTGCAACAAGCCGAGAACCCGTACTACCAGCAGCTTACCCTGTGTATTCATTTAGATAATTGAACAACAGATTTGATAGAGTTGCCCGTCGTTTTTTTTTTCCTTCTCCTGTTGTTCCCCAAATTGACCCGCAAAAGGATCGTGGTAATAGATCCCACAATCCCAAGCAGGCTCCAGCTGACACTGGCCAAGCAACTCCCTTTCTGTCGATCACTTGCTTACGACGACACGGCACCTGCATGATCACTGAGGCGAAGCTGACTGAACTGGGCAATTGTACTGGGTTGGTTGGTAGGTATCTACGTACATGAGCTAGGCAGAATAGTTATCGAAAGCTTAGAGATGAACTGGACCCCAAGAAACCTTGTTTCCAGAAATCCCAAGGTACGACAGAGAGAGGGAGAGAGAGAGAGACAAAGATCCTGACTTGTTCGGTCGGGGCCTAACCTAGCACCCGCCCGCCTGCTATATCCATCCATGCGCGCGGTCTTCGAGAGCACTATGTATCTGCTCCACTATGCATAGCTTCTGCGGTGGGGTCTATTGCGCGTTATCGAGCATCTCATTCACCAATTCTGCTGCTGTGGTGGGTATGATGATCTGTGGTTCGCTGTTTGATAATATTATTAGAGCCCTGGCTCTCTCTCTCCTGCGCGCGCCCTCTGTTTTCTCTTTTCTGCTCTCACGCAACCTGTTGACCGTATTTTGCTTCTTTTCTTCGTGTGTCGCTCATTGAACATACAAAGTAATTGATACTTTTTTGTTTTATTTTTACAAGAATCTAATGCTATAGTACAGCGAGATCGGGGCCCGACCTTTTTTTTCTTCTCGCATTTCGTCCCTCCTTGGCCTGGTTTGAGCATAAGAAACCTGGTCTTCGATGATTGAAGCATTCCAGAGAGCTCGTGTCGTTACTTTGCCGGAAGAATTGCCAGCAGCAATCATGGCGAGCAAGTCGGACGATTGGAAGGGGATGGTGATTTGGAAAATGCCGGAATGGATCGAACCAGTGGTACGTCTCAAAAGGAAAACCGACGCCAAATGTTGGACGAGGTGGTATACAGCTCCTAACGGGTCATACAGGGCATTGTCTCGATCCTCCTAGTTGCCATGTTCGTCACACGGCGGCGGAGCTTTTCCATCTTGAGCGGCAAGGACTCTAGCTACCGGCCTCTGATTTCGCACGAGGACTCGCCGAGCACCTCTGACGACGAGGACTATACCTTCTCCCCGAAGCCGAACGTGGAATACCCCCCGAAACGCAGGCGCATCTTTGGACTCTGGACCGTCCTCACACCCAACTCGAGCCGCTTTGCACGACACTTTCACTCGCGCATCCTGCAGAAATACCCGTTCCTGGTTGAGATGTTTTACTGGGTCATTACCTACTTCTTTTACCGCATGACGGCCAAGGTCTCTGCCATTTGGTACGGCAGCACCGAAAGCCTCTGGCTTAATGCGCAGGCACACGGCATCTCCCTGCTCGAGACCGAGGCGTGGGTTCTGGGTTCCGATTCGACCGATGCCAGCCGCTGGATCGAGTGGCGCGTCCAGCAATGGTTCATTGCCGGCGCCGAGATTGGCGACATTCGCCGCCTGCTCCTCACCATTCTGAACCGCGCCTACGCCCTGATTCACATTCCCGGCACCGTGGGCTTCATTGCATACTATTACTACGTTGCGCCCAACCACACGCGCTTCTGCACCGTCCGCCGCACCATGTCTCTTCTGAACATGTTTGCCTTTCTCACCTTTACCGTCTACCCGTGCATGCCGCCGCGCCTGCTGCCCAAGGAGTTTGGCTTCATCGACACTGTCAATGCCGAGGACGCCGCCAGCGTCTTCATGAGCGGCAAGTACGTCAACAAGCTCGCTGCCATGCCGAGTATGCACTTTGGCTACGCTTTCTGCATTGGTTGTGTTTTCATTTACGAGAGCGGTTTCATGCGGCAGTGGTGCCGTCTGCCCTGCTTCAGCAGCAGCAGTACCAGCAACAGCAACAAGTCCGCCGACGCTCTGGAAGACGAGACCGCGGAGCAGCAGCAACAGCAGCAGCACGACATTGAGACGCCTTACCTGAAGCAGACCATTCTAGAGTCCGAACCCGACCAGCAGCGCGAGCGCTCACCCCTGGCACGCATTCTGTTCCTGGTCGTGGGTGTCCTGTACCCGTCCTTTATCCTGCTGTGCATTGTCGCCACCGCCAACCACTACATTCTCGACGCCGTGGCCGCCGCTCTCGTTGTTCTCCTGGCCTATCTGTGCAACCGCGTCCTGCTCAACTTTCTCGTCCTCGAGGATTGGCTGCTCTGGGCCTGGAGGCTGGAGAAGCCAGAGCCTACCACTGGCAAGACGAGAACGTGAACAAAAGAGAGACAAGCAAAGAAATAATACATACAATGAGAGAAGTACAGGAAGAAGGCAGTGGATGATAGAAAGAAGGAAAGCATGGATGACAATATACCCCTTAGCATGATATATACTTTTTTAGACCTAACTTGGACATATTCTGTTTCATCCCCGACTGCATTCAGAGTCTAGTTTGATCAAACGTGATACAACACAGCGCTTGGGTTTTCCTCGGGAAATGGACATCGGGTGGCATTCTGGGGTATTGAGCGATTTCGAACATTTAGATTTTTTTATTCTTTATTCTTTACTTTTTTCTTATGCTGACGACTATGACAGCTATTTTTCAAAATTAATCACGCAGCTCAATCCAGAACGCCCTAATGCGTGATGCGTCTTCTACGACGCGCGGTTGGGTTTACAGGGTCTCTCCCCTCGTCGGCCTGTGCTCTCTTGGAGAAATTATACAGACCAGATCACGCACCCGCGACAAGCTTCTCCCCACAGAGCATGGCACTATTTCCCCAAAGTACCGGCGGCACTGCCGCGACCAGGGTATGCACTCGACGTGTTTGGTCCTGTATGAAGGACGGACTATATGGAGGATATCATGGCCTTGTCCCAATGTTCGAATGGTGGAAAAGGTCCACCATGACTGGAGGGGGACCCGTGTTGCGCTAATCATCAAAGCCAATCTTGGTACTGGCAGCGGTCTAGATGAGACGGACGAACCGAATCGTCCTTCGAATCAGCAGCGGCTTCTTTTCATCTCTTAGTAGATCTGCTGGTCGTCGTAGGCTCGTACACTTTCCAGATAATCGCGGACCTGGTTGATATCCTTGCAAACTAGATCACGGAAACTTGGGGTCAGCACACATACAAGGCAATTCCGGTGGTGGAAAAGGGGTGTTTTCCTGGGATGGATGAACGAAAAAAAAAAAACTTACCATGCTTGGCATCCCAGCCGTCGGAACCCGAGTTGTCGTCGGGAAAGGTGGTGGCCTTGCCCTCGAGGGCCGTGTCGGCCGCGCAGAGAATGGACTGGCGCATGTAGCTGAAGCAGTGGATCATGTGCCAGTGGTGGTCGTCGGGGATCTCGTGTCCCGACTTGAGGCCCGAGTAGGTCTGCACAATGGCCCAGAGGCAGTGCAGCTGGTGCGTCATGGACGTGGTGAAGACGGTCATGCCCTCGTACCACTGGATGGGGTGCGGGAGGTCGTGGTACTTGGAGGGATCCTTGACCCACTGGAAGCCCATGCCGACTGGAGTGATGTTAGTCAGGAAAACTTTTGGCAACACGAGAGACGCTCGAGGGAAATGGATTAGTGTAGGGAGGAGAGGTCTGACGTACGAGGCATGAGCTTGTTCCACTTGTCGAGTATTTCAGGCTTGAAGAATTCCGAGACATTGTAAGGAGCGTACTCTTCCTCGTGTACGAATGTGGTAATCTGCTCAGAGACTAGGTGCAAGGTTAGCAAATTCTGCCAAGAGATTATAAACTATACTATACTACACCCTGTGCAAGTATAGCAGTATAGTAGGTGCAAGTTTAAACTTACACTTTGGCCCAACGCCAGTAATGTCACCACCAAAGTCGTAGGGCTTGACAACGGGCTCGTTGAAATATGACCGAGCGACGAAGCCGAGGATTATGACCAGCAGCGTCGTGTCAATCAGCCACCGCCACGCATTGAGCGCGCCGCATACTCTGCTCGCCCGCGACGACGGCCGCCTCGGCGTCATGTCCAGGTCCACGTCGTGCCACTGCTTGGTCTCCTCCATGAGCGACTCGACCTCGGTGCTCGACCGATCGTCGCTGTCGTCTACTGGCATGTTTGTGTACTTGTGTTGTTTGGAATCCATTTTGAAAAGATGGAGTGGTGTGATGTGTATAGTAGAGTCAACTCCTCCTGAATGAGCTTTCTCTATTCTGTTTCGTGATGATTGTGAACAACAACTCCAGCCACGGACTGAGAGCAATTGAGAATCTTTGAGAGAGTTTTCAATAATTACTTGGCAAAAGAGAAGATCTCAAACCTGCAGGAACGAGAATAGAGCAGGGCGAATCCATCTTATTGCCTTTTTGCATGTCCGTGTAATATTTCCCCCTTGCCCCTTCTCTTCCAGCGGCTGCGACGGCATACAGGAAGTCATCCCATGCTTATTCGTCTCGACTCCAGATCGATGCCCCCAATGTAGAATGGTGAGGTTGCAACTGCAGGTGTTTGAGGTCAGACTTGAGACTGGCGCCTTTTTCCGCGGGGTGCAGCCAAAACACGATGTGCGCAGGGGTTCAACGCAGGTTGGAGGTGTTTCAGTATTTTTAAGCTTGTTGATTTACCTCGGCGCTTCGCGAGCAAAGAGTATACCGACTGTTGGATAAATACTCATATATGTAATTGACGTTCAAATGCATCTTGCGCTCCTTTATTGGAATTTATAAATGTCAATATAACCATAAAATGAAAATTTGTTTTTTGAAGAAAAGAGAAGTGGTAAATGATATCGACGCTTCAGAGTCTATGGACTGAAATCGAGGCAGATGCACGGCCAGGGCGTCTCCACCCCAGCGGTTCCACGCGGGTTTCATCTTGCCAAGCATCAGCTTCAAAGCGACTTCAGACTGTTTGCAAAGATGTTCCTTGGCAGCAGAAATTACTAATGGCACATAAAAGATGCGGCATATGAGCCAGGGTATCTCGTGAGGTTATTGGGCCGGTTCTTGCATGTTTGACTGTGGCAACCAAATGTCTAGACTGGCCAAGCCTTTTGAGCGATCTTGAAAGGGGTGATCTGGGTGGTGGTCTTTTCATACATACCGTTTGATCGTCTTCATCAGCAGCACTTCTCGCGCCAAGAAAGTCCCAGATGACAGGTTAAAGTTGACTTGAAATATATTAGCCGACTAAGAATAGCAAAGTACAGCTAGATCCCCCATATACCCACATCTCCTATTGCAATTAAAGTCGCCTGTTTATCCTAGAGAGAATGGCAGGGTCACACAGTCTGTGGAGATTTCGTGTGAACTAGAAAGATTTGCAGAATTTCGATTAATCTCAAGATGGCATTTGTACAGTCGGTACTTTTCCAACGTTTAAAGACTATATCCCCAGATCTTGCAAAGCTTGCTCCACCGTCGAACGCCAGGTCCTCGCCATTTCAAGTCTCTTCCCTCTTGGACACACCTCGACAATTGCTCTCACAAAGTTCAGCACCTTGACAATGGACTTGTGAGGATCCTGATTCTTCACGTCAAAGTCTGCAAGAAGCGCTGGAGATCTCTCCTTGCAAATCTTGCTGAAAATATCCTTGAACAGTCTGTCGCGCTCCGCAAACGACGCCGGAGACTCGTCTTTCGCACTCCACAGAAAGCCGCCGCCCGGACTCCATAATGGCAAAGGCAGTACAGCTGCAAACTCCCAGTCTAGTATACTCGTGATTTCGAGGGTCTCTGGGTCGCACATGATGTTGCCGAAATGGAGGTCCTTGTGCGTCAATATGTACTTTGCGTCGTTCAATTCGGCAGCATGGTCTTGTGCAAAGGTAAGAAACTTCTCGAGTCTTGGAATCATGTCCCTCATCCACTCGAGCGACTCGTGCCTTTCGATATTGCGCACATACTGCTGTATGTGGCCTTGGAGATAGTCGGTATATGAGCTGAAAGGGCCATGCACATTGAGCAAGTCAATAGTCGCGTCGCCGCCCCAATACTGGGCAATCTCCGGGCCCTGCCAGAAGTTCTCTGCCAACACTCGACCAGGAACAATGTTATTGTTCTCGTCGATGCTGATTCCGCCGGCATGAGTCCATTCATGGCGATGGATCTCAATGAGGTAGTCCGTGAGCTGGCTGACGAGCTTTGCAATCTTGCCATCATCGAGCTTGTCGTAAATGGTGTCGACGCTGACGCCCCGGACCCTCTCCAGCAGCGTGAATTCGTAGCCAATGGCATTGTTCTCGGAAGCATCGAACCGGATGACGGCGGGAATAGGGATCTTGCAGTTTTCCCGCACCCAAGTCATGGCTGCGACCTCGTTGAGCGTCTTGATCCGGGGAATGTGCTTGCCTGCCACCCGCAGGACCAATGCAATGGAACCATCTTCTTCGAGGGATCGCGCGGGGTACAACGCGTCAGCATCTGCAGGTGAGAATATGATCAGATATATGGTATGGTAGGCGGCCGTTGTTATCAGTGGTTTGATGGTGGTAGGCTCTGGGAGTGACAATTCAGAGACCAATTTTCTGATGATATCGTCGGACAAGACCGGGGGTAGATATAACCTCGGGTCAGCCATTATCTCTGCGTGGACGTGCCGAGGGCAAGGCTGTTGTTGTTCATCCACTCAATCAGTTGTAAATTGTAAAGTGTTTTGATTGCGGACAACTCAGGTATCTATGAATATGATTGTCAAGTGTTTTTCTTGGCGGAAACTTAGAAAACTATGATGAGCATCAAAAGACTTTAAATGCTTTTGACGATATCGTTAATCTACATCCCGAATCCCGGGTGAATGTTCTGGATTGTGAGGCTCGGCCGCTCAGCGTTCCATCTCGGGATGAATCATACACAACAGTGTTGCATGTGGGTCCTTGCTTATACATACCTTGACTTACTTATGCAGGCTCTATCGATAGATTTGTCAGAATGAATCATATTCTATCAACTTCTGCATCAATCTTGAATGCACAAAATTTGGAATTTCAAGCATATTGGATTTGTCAAAAATCACTCGAGACTTGTTGGACGTTTCCAGTAGGTGCATAATTTGTCCATGATGTGCTTTTCCCATTTCTCATTTTCATGGTCCTTACGCGGCGCACTATTTCTAGCGGCTCACTCACTAAACTTTAGCAGATAGGGCCACTATCTGCCCAGTGGTTCTTGGCGCTTCGGTTGCTTCCGACGCATAGGGCTGGGTATCACCTGCGCTACCTTGTATACATGCGTAAGCTCAGGTACCCGTTGGTACCCTCGTTATTTTGGTCTTGAACATTGTTTTATTATTTCTGTTAATTACCATGTCGCATCTACATGTATGACACATTAACAAACTATGCGCTAGCAGTCGACGTTGCCGAGGTCGTTGCTGCCGTGGTTGTGGATGTGCTGCTTCCGTCGCCGCTCCCAATCACCACGGCCTGTACCACCTGTCCCAGCGAGTTGGTCACAATGTTGACCAGCGAATTGAGCGGCTCGTACAGATACGTCTTCTGTATGAGCCCGCCGTCCAGTATCGTCTGCGCACCCGTGTCCGTCATGTTCTGCTGGTAGTTGCCGATGATGGTGCTCAGCAGCGTGCCCGCGGTTCCTGCCACCTCTTGGACAATATTGCCGAGGTTGTCAATCAAGAAGTTGATGGTGGAATCGCCATTCACAATGGATCCGAGCAGGCCATCGACGGCGCCCACGACCGAGTCTACAACGTCACCGACCTCATTCAGGATATTGATCAGGAGCGGGTTGAGGTCCAGCGTTGCCAGCGTCCGGTTGACAATGTCTACCAGGTTGCCGAGCCGGATGATGAGTTCCAACTCGGCATCGACGTCTGCAATCGTAATGTTGACCTTGGTGATGCCCACCTGGATGCCGGCATTGATCTCAACCAAACTGGCGACTTGGGCTGCAAGGTTGATCTCAGCTTGCAGATTGTCGACATCCAGTTCAATCTTGTCTACTGACAGCTGGGGAACCCTCAAGAGCACATCAGGCGGATTTGTACTCGAGGTGGAAGAACTGGAAGTCGAACCACTGCCGCCGGAGCTGCCGGCGGCGGTCGTTGAGGCCGTTGTCTGCGACCCCCCATTGCTGGGGCTACTTGCGGACTCTGTAGCGGCGCTCGAGTCTGCCGTCGAGACTACAGTAGTAGCCCCCGTGTCCGACGTTGCGACTGTCGAGTCAGTGGGCGCCGTCACGGCAGTGGTGCCATCAGTGACGGAAGCTGTCTGGGCTGCTGCCAGGGCAAACAGCACACACGCCCACAGGAAGGAGAGAAAGCGATACTGCATGTTGCTGAAAAGAGCGTATGGATGATGAGAAGGGAGCGACAGCGCACAACAGGACTGTGCAGCACCAGACGACTCTTCCTCGCGGGTGCTAGGAATGACATATAAAAGGCACACAATGTTAATCAATCACAAAGCATAGCCCGACCCCTGGCAGACCAAGACTCATTTAACCCATCCCCTCGTCTGTGATCTCGATTCCTGTTTTCATCGCATGACAGCCTAAGCCGGTCGCGGCATTGCTATGGGGGATACAGCACTCACCGTTACTCTACAAGAGGGCCCGGATCGCGAAAATATGCTTACTTCGCCCACATTAGACACAATGGTGGACGTAAAAATCAAGCTGTTCCAAGGACGGGGAGATTGCGCATGATGCACCAGCATAGATGTTTTCATGGGGTAGCAAGGTGGGCTACCCAATGTGAACCCATGTCGCCCTTGTCTAGTCGAATCGGAGGTTATATCAACCCCTGTACACTGCGGAGCTCGTCACCAAAGAGGCTTAAGTCAACCTGCTTCTAGGCCCGACTGAACCATGATGTTGGCTCTTTCGGCACCACATATTCCCAGTTGTAAGGCATCGTAACCTTGTTCTTGCGATCCCCAAGGGGGGAAATATGCCAAGTCAGCAGTCGGCAGTGACCTGATTGTATGTAACCTTGAGAGGTTGTGCCTAGATTTCTTTCAGCCGATCGCCCCTCGTCCCTGCGATGCAGCATCGATGCAGGATCTGGACTTTCCGTTCATCCTTTTAGATGATAGATGCCCTTTTCCTTTGGCCGTCGAAAGCAGAAGACTGAACCTTTGTGGCATGTCAAGGTCTTAGTCGTCCTCAACTCTCATCATTGCCCGCCATGACTCCACTCTTTACAAAGGCATTTGCCTTTATTCTTTTGTCGCTCTTTTCGATAGTGTTGGCGCAAGATGATGGCTACATTGGATATCGTCTTGACCAACGCGGAGACCCAGACTCTGCCGTGTACGAGACAGAGGAGACAGACACCAGCACTGGCGGCGTCGCTCTCCCAACGGACCCAGATGTATACCTAAACGCATCGGTTCATGTCGGCGAGATTGATATTGAAGTCGACAACATTACTGCAAAGGTCAACCTCGATGCCAAGGTGTTAAATCTGCTGCATTTCACTGCAGGTGTCGATGCATCTATTGACCGGGTCAAGTTGACTATTCAAAATGTCACGGCCAAAGTGTATTTGGAGGCGCGGCTGGAGAACGTTGTCGCCATGGTGGACGACGTGCTCTCATCTATCGACCTGAACCCCATCGTCGCCACACTTGGCAATGTTGTGGAAAATGTGGTTGGCAACGTGACAGACGAGCTGGGAGGAGGCTCAAGCAGTACGACCACGTCGGCCGCTGCGACTTCTAGCACGGCGACTGCTGCTAAGCGGTCACTCAACGCTCTCGACTACAACATGGCACACAACATTCTCTACTCGGTCAACAACTACGCGGGCTCAACTCACACGAACCGCATCCTGGGCCAGAACGGCACCATTTGGGACGTTAGCCTAGACAATAGCGGCAACGAGAAGGGCCGCAAGAATGTCGGCTTCTACAGCCGCGACATGACCTTTACGGGCCACAACAAGACCATCATCTTCAACGGCGTGACCGAGTACGAGCTCGGCTACCGGTACGCGCCATACCCCGGCCTGGACGTGTACTCCCACATTATCATGAACGAGGCCGGCAGCGTCATCCAGACCAAGATTGTGTCCGAGGCTGAGGCTGGTGGCACGAGCACCATTAGCGATGACACGAACCCAGAATTGCTTAGGAAATAATAGTAGCAAATTGACTTGTAATAATCCTTGCTGCAATAATCATGTCTGTTAATGGAATTTTGCGCCTTCATCCGTGCTGAATGTGAAACGAGGTGACATCATGGCCGTGGATCAAATATGTCACTTGACGTGGGGTGATGAAGCTCAAATGCGATTGACAGCATGAAGAAGGTCCTTCCAACTGCCCAAAGTAATGATTAAGTGGTCATCATATCAAATCAAGGCGCAGTCATTCTACTGGTGATTTGAAAAGGGTGCGTATAATAGGTATAATTGATCTGGGGTTAATTCGGGCCAACCTGAATACATGCTACCAAGGTCTTCCAGCCTGGCTGACTTTTCGAATAGTAGGATTCGGTCCGTCTCTGCACACACAAAAGTCATGGCATTGCCCTATATGAGGAGCCTACATCTCAGCTAGATTGCAAGTTTGCATCCATTTCGATTATCAAGTCGTGATGTCAGCCTAAAGAAAAGGGAGCCGCATCGTCTCGACGAAACAAGACGCGGCCCTACCTGCCCATTTCAGTGCAGACGGGGGGGTTTTCTGCCAGGGCGGGGCAGGGCGGATTAAGAGACCCCTCTCTCAGCTCTGTGCCCAGTGAAAATGTCAGTACCACATTGATGCAGGAACTCGGCGGCAGTTGGAGATGACCGGTGGTAGTGGTGGTGGTGGTGCTTTCGGGTAAATTGGATACTACCTTGCTACCCCCTCCGAATCCTCGAATAGAGCCGAGTTCCGTGGAGCAATTGGAGCGCTTTTGGATGGTCGGCTATTACTATTGAGCGTGGCGCCAAGACCAGATCAGTAGGTCAAATAGATTCTATCGTACACTAATAACATCACTAGGGGGTTTCCCTCTTATACTTAAGACTACATAGGGAATCAGCGTGTACTGCTTGATGATGTTTTCCAAGCCCAGTGCGTTATATGGTGGAAACGTTTTCAATTCATAACACAGTAATGGACTTTTGTCTTTTCAGTCTCTGCCATTATCTAGATACTGATAAACAATGTACGGACAGTATTGAAACCTGATATTCTGAGCTTATACAAAAGTCGACATGTCTGCTATCACGGCCTTTTCATCTGCCCAACAGTATCTTTCAGGACTTTTCCTCCTCGTGTCATGGCAGTTGATGTCAAGTAGAAAGCAACTTCTCTTTGTGTTTCGCCAGTTTATGCTAGGCTAGTGCTTGAGCCAAAAACTTTAATAATAGACCGAATGAAGAATGAGCGTCGATACATGTTGACTAACATACATGGATTATAATTCAATGAACAGTGAAGCACGTCGTACCGGTTGTTATTTTCATTGCCAGAACCCTCCGTGGTATGCGTGACCGAGTCTTACCTCCTTGCCACCAAGTGGCAAGCTCGCTCAGTTTGCTAACCTGCTCATAAAGTAGTTCAGCTTCAACTATAGGTTATGAATCAGTATTGTGACGATAAGTTTTAAGAAAGAACTGTGAATATCAAACCTACCTCTTCACCTAATAGGCTTCTAAACCGAGCCACGCCAAGCGGATTCATTGCAGGATTTACATTGATTGAATCTGTGAAATTCCCCTCGAGGCGCCAGATGAGGCGGTTTACCCAAGAAAGGAACTCCTTCACACCGGGACCAGCCGTCACCCTGGTCAAAGGCTCTTGAATTTGGAGCTTGGTTGGAACTAGACTCATCAGGGTGGTTACCGGAGCTTGATGTTGATAACGAGAGGGCTTGAGAATATTCTGGAAAACTTTGACTTATGCTTGGTAGATTTTGCCGACGCAGAGGCTGATTTAATATTGGGCTCAATGTCAATGGTGACCTGACTAATGGCCCAGACGAATTGGTAATCCCAGGATCATTGTCTGTCACTGGATGATCTTGTGAACGAGAGGGCTGATTTAGTGCTGACTCCCTGGAAGAACTATTTGCACGAGGAACCTGACTATTCAGTGGTTCATGTTGTGAATGAATAAGCGCATCCATTGTCGCGTGTGTTGACATCTCCGGAAAAGAATTAAAGTCTTCTTGCCGTCCCTCTAGTTCGGCTTGTCGAGCCTGGTCGAGCTCTTTTTTTCTTTCCTGGCAGGATAGGCAAATCTCATGACCGCTGTTTTCAAATGAACTCGCCGGCCTAAGCTTGGAACAGTTTGTGCAAAGTCGAGGAGAGCCTGAGTGTGTTGGCGTCTCTGGAACAGAATTGAAGTCTTCTTCTTGCTGTCCCTCTAGTTCGGCTTGTCGAGCTTGTCGAGCTTTGAGTCTCTTGCGTCTCCGTTCTTCTCCCCTTCTGAATCTGGAGCAGGTGTCGCATTGTTGATACCACTCTTCTCCAACAATCAGCATATCAACATGCCATAATTCACAAGATCTGCAAAATCTACAGTCCTGGCCTTTAAGGTCGTCTGGAATAGGTGGTAGATTCTTCACGGTGAGATACTTGGAAAACGCTATACTTCTGTATTGAAATCGAGGCGCTGCCTGAGGAGGTTAGTATCTGGTTGGAGGCCGAGCTTGCGCGGATTGTAATACATCTTCGTTTCTCCATTGGTACTTTCTTCTCTCTTCGTTGTACATTACGTCTAATTCATATCGATTCCTTCGTGTGTTGCACTTCGTACATAACTGATACGTCTGGCCGGAAGCCTGGTCACTAATTTTCCGTTTATTGCATTTCACGCAGAGCCGTTGATGAGGGTCGCTGGCATCAAGGATACGTTGTAATATGTCCTTGGGACGCTGCTTTTCTGGGTCCTCCTTTCCGTGAGGCGGAGGCGGAGGCGGAGGAGCTGCTGACATATTTGTAAATTTTATTCAATATCCCATGAATAGACGATGCTGATCAAGATAGTGCATCAGTTGAGCAATGTTTTTCTCGTTTGTCCTGTTCCTCTTGCTGCAAGTGTTGTGGTCGATTTGCGTAGCTTCAAGGAAAAAGAAATGGGTAGCCAATTGATGCTTTGACGGGGGAAAAACAAGCTTGAATGGAATTGGCTGGGTGATGTTGTTGTCGTTACTGGACGTGACTGACTAAAAGGTGACATGTGTATGCTTCTTGTGTGCAAGTGCAACCGGAGCAAGGACAACCCAAAGTGGGATACAGCGCCAGGAGACCTCGGGCTATCCGCTTGATGAATCAATCAATAGAGGCGCCGGCCTTGCCATGGTCTGCAGACATGATATCCATCCTCTCATAATTCGATGCTGTCGCTTACACGGCCAGTCTTTGAGTGTTTATGAATCTGGAGTAACACGCCGAGTTGTCTCAACACTCACCCCCATTAAACAGTAGCTCCTTCTCAATCAGCATCTCTGCTTGCTTCTGGCTCGGTGATGGGCGACCCTTCAAAGCCAGCCCAAGATCCGGGATGGTCCGATTACAGACCGGTAACAGTAGGTAGACTGGGCCTGCCCTTTCATCCCCGAACGTGCCATTTTCATTTCCATGGCCTGCACCCAATCTCCAGGCTTTTATGTTTTGTTGTGACTGCTGCCGTGGGTCGCTTTTGTAGATGGAAGATATCAAGCAGGAGCAGGCCGCTGCAAAGTGCTGCTAGGTATTACTCCAGGCCAATACTGAGCCAAAACAGCGACGATAGTGGTGCTCATGAGGTTGGCCGATAATTACAGCGCATCCCTCAACCGGAAGACGTGAGCTGCGAAGATATTTTGTTTCATTGAGACATAGATGACTTCACTAGCCATGTCCTATCCGCGTTTCTTCGGCAGCCCTCATACATGTACTTTATCTCTGAGCCTCCCGTAACGTGGCAGTGGCTTTATCTATTGTGCACAGCATTGTGTTTAACGCAACTCATAGTCGTGACTCTTCTAGGGTACCAAGTATGGCGAAACCATGATACATGAACCTGAAAGCACAAGCAACTCGGAGTCCACGAGATTGAAGGAGAAGGACAACCTTCATGAGCAGAATATCAAAGAGTATAGTCCATAGCTAAAGAATTAGTAAAATTCTATCCTAAGCGATTTTCTTTTCAGTCGAAGACGTGTGTATAATCATATTGTTTAATTCATATTGAAATTTTTTTTTTTTAAAAAAAAAGTCGGTCCATAAGAAATGACTGATTCTACTTTTGTAGGCCATCACAATCGGGATTGGTTTATCTTATAACGCCAAATACGCAGATTTTTGATCGATATGAGACATATAGCCGAGAGCAGATACTGAGAGTTTGGAATTGCCATAATACGAATGGCTATCTCCTTTGTCAGAGTGCACCAGAGACGAATAAAATGCAAGAGCTACGTTAAATACTATTTTTTCTTGAAATCAATTCAGTGTATAAAGCGGCGGATTCATCTTATTATGCAGCGAATTAGTTAAGGGTCGCTTTTATTGTAAAGCTCTTTTCGTTCCTCGGCTACTAATGGTGGATGGAAAAGGTACATATATCTTCGGATGTAGTCCGGCTGGGGAGATATACCGTTGACTAATCGTGTCGACCTAAGCCTCCAGCTACAAGGGCTCGGGATTCGAATGGTACATCAGGGACGGGGACAACTAAATGTCTCTTAATCTTTTGGAACACTTGACTCCAATGTTATTCGTCAAGCTGGAAAGTAGCGTAACGAGGATTGAATTGAGTCGTAATTCTTTCCCACCATGTGAGCCACCTTGACTCATCCGCATGTCGTGTGTCATGATCTTTGGGTCAAAGAAAGAACTTGTAGACGACCAAAATCCTCCTTTTTGATCGCTTCTTCGAGTCAACGTCTTTATGTCACCCGTTTCAGACGAAACCTCGGTGTAATTTGTTCCTTGTCCACTAAACGTTAATGGCAAGCTGTTCCTATCAAGAGTATAAGCTACGAATAATGGCAGACATCAAAGATTGAATTAGAATATGAGTTATCACTCAGCAAACCTGGTAATACTCATGCCTTCCATCTCTTCGAATTACTTGACATATGTTCGGCTGTCCTGCGGGTACCTCTTTGCTCAAGTAGACGAGTGTGCGAAACGTAATAAGAATTTCGATGACGTGTTGCTTAGGCATTTCATTCTCAGGAATTCAAACGGGCATCGCAACGCAGAAGAACGCTCAACACTTCGGGAAGGAAATTTGTATTTTAAAAGTTTCCGCGGAATATAAATTCCTCCCAAAAAGTCTGAGAGTCTGAGACCAGATTAGGTCAGGCTGGCGTTAGCATCGCCTTACAGGCCCCGGAAGATACCCGGCCGGCAGACCAATCCACTGTAGAGGCATCAAGTCTCCAGTATCCGAGACGCGTACTGATGATTACACATTACCATGGAGGAAAATAAGCAGGTTGGGCAGTACTTTGCGGGTGTCTGCGGCAGATATGCTGCAAGTAAGCCGCTTTGTTCAGTATGCTGACCATGTCGATACGACTATCGCATCCTTTTACCTATTCTTGAGCCGTCCAAACGACCACTGCGATTGAGCATAACGCGTCCCGTGTCGGAAGAATTAACGGGCGAAAGAATGTCAGCGTTGAAAAAAGTCTTTGTCAGTGGGGATCATTGCCGCGGAGTATGCCGGCATAACATATCATGGAACACTGGACCACTTGTAAACCCTGCTTTTGTATTCAATCCCCGGAAACATGGCCCATAAAACAGCAGGTGTCAAGGGTATAGATTTCATCTTGTTGGTGACTGTCAATTATGTTTCCATTCTTGTATCCGCATCTCTGCAGACACCCCTCGTTGCCGATTTGGGATGGTAATCTCGTCGGAAGTAGGCTGCCACTGCCCATGGAACCGACTGCACCAATGAGGAAATCTGCTTAATAAAAAGTCGACATTTTCGCATTGACTCATCTGTCGAGGCTTCATTCATTCTCTGCATGCTTCAACGATATAATTTCATAAACATTATTGTCGCCAAGCATGGGACTATTTCAATTCTCAGATATTCCGACTATGGAAGACTTTGGGGCGCAATTGAATCGTGACCTACTCGCGCGCATCGTGCAGATATGGATCATCTACCGCGTGGCTCTGATGCTTTACAACATCTCGCCATGGCATCCATTGTACCAGTTTCCTGGCCCGAGGTTGGCCAGAATGACGTTCCTGTACGAGTTTTGGTTTGACTTTGTCTGCCACGGTCGGTATACCTGGCAGATTCAAAAGATGCACGACAAGTACGGTAAGATTGCACAACCCAATGACTTGCACGAGACCCGACGACTAAATGGCTTGCAACAGGTCCCATTGTGCGCATCAATCCAGAGGAGCTTCACTGCAATGATCCTGAATTTGTTGATGAGATTTATGCAGTTGGCGGCCGAATTCGGGACAAGTATCAGCACTTTCTCAATGCCAACTCGGGGCCGGTTTCGTCTTCGTCATTTGGAAGTCGAGTGCACGAGGTCCACCGGATGCGACGGTCAGCTGTCAACAAGTCTTTCTCTCGCACGCAAATGAAAATCCTCGAGCCCGAGATTCACGAACTGACGCAGTATTTCTGTGACAAGCTACTGGTCTGGGTCAAGGATGAGCCTCTTGATCTTGTCATGGCGTTTAGTTGCTTCACATCTGGTATGAAGCACCTATATACTATCCAAGCAAAGAAATCCCAACTGATTTCATCATAGACACCATATCCAACTATGCATACGGCGAGCCCCTTGGTTTCCTCGCCCAAGACGGCTGGGAAAAGAATTACAAGGCAGCGCTCAACGCTTTCCTGCAGACCATGTACATGTTTCGATTCTTCACGCCGCTGAGACATTTGGTCGTCTTGGCACCATACACCATGAGCCTGATGCCAATGCACATGGCTAACCTGTTCAAGGAGCTCACCGAGACTCTGCCATACCACATCCGCCGAGCCACCGACGGCGAGGCAAAGACGCAGGGTCGCATCTTTGCCGATCTCCTCGACTCCAACTTGCCAGACGAGGAGAAGACCATTTACCGACTATCAGGCGAAGGGTTCTCGCTGACGGGTGCTGGAACGGAGACGACAGCGGTAGGTCCCCATTGCGAACAACGTGAACGTGTAGTAGCCCTTGCTCATGGCATCAATAGAACACACTCAGCGTGATAACATTTCACCTCCTTACTCAGCCCAAGGTCCGCGCCCGTCTGGAACAAGAACTCCAAGGCCAAGACTCGCGGAACCTGGACTGGCAGACCCTCGAGCAGCTCCCCTATCTGTACGGCGTCATGTACGAGGGTCTACGACTGAGCTACGGGCTCTCGACAAGACTGCCCCGGATCGCCCGCACCGAGAACCTCAAGTACGAGAGCACCGACGGCAGATTCAGCTACGTGGTGCCCATGGGCACGCCCATTGGTATGAGCTCGGCCATTATGCACCACAACGAGGACGTGTTTCCCGACTCGCACGCGTTCAAGCCCGAGCGCTGGATCGATGCCAGCGGGCAGAAGAACCTGCGTCTGGAAAGATTCATGATGTCGTTTAGCAGGGGAAGCCGGCAATGTGTCGGCATGAAGTAAGTTCTTGTCTACCTTTTCATACTGGAAATGTCTCGAAGGAAAGCATGCTGACATGGATGGGGGATCAGTCTGGCGCTATGTGAAATGTATCTCCTCGTGGCTGCGCTAACACTACGCGGCCTCTCGCATTTGCACCTTTATGAGACAACCATTGGTGATATCAAGTACGATCACGACTTGATGGTGCCGCAGCCAAAAAGGGGGTCCAAAGGAGTGCGGGTATTGATCAGATAACTGCAACGCCAAGAACATTTTCCGGCGCCACTTACAGCGAGAATAGCAAGCTTATCCCAATACTGAGCCAGAGTAATTCTCAAGCATACTTGCTTATTCTTTGGAGTCACGAATTGGAAGTAGGCAGTGATTTTGAATCAAATAATTTCCTTCTATTGCGACCAATTTCAAAAATCAAATTTCAAGTCCGTTTCTCCTGATCAATCCTCCCGCCCGCATCGATTCCATAACGCCCGTCTGGCCACCAGCCCAGCCCAAATACCAAATTCTCCCAAACGCCTTGCTTCATTAATTCCCCGTCACCAATCCACTCGGCCCCTTCAGGAACGAGTAAAGCCCGTCTCCGGTCCTCTTCCTGACCCTTCCACAACTCGCCACCCGCCAGCAGCGCCGCGGTTCCGGCGATGCTCGTTGGGTTGTGCGGCAGCAGTCCGTCCGTCCGCATGAAGAGCCACGAAAGCGCCACACAGACGGCCATGACGCCCAACAAGACCTGGAGCGCGATTTTCGGGCCGCGGTTCTGCACAATCCTGGAATCCTGCGATGCGCTCGCAACGCCGTCCTCTAGCGGAGATGCCGAGTAAAGGCCCGAGACAACAATGATTAGCCACGGCCCAATCATGGCCGATAGAGAGGTGCACGCAGTCGCAAGCTGTCGCCGTCTCATTGATGAAAAAAGTTGCAGCAGCGGGAGACGACCAAGGTCGTGATTAAAAAGGCTGCGATCAGATGTGGCGCCTTTCGAAAGGGCGTGGTACGGTGCCATTAGGTTTGTGCCAAAGTTGATCAAAGAGTAAAGCGACCCAACCCCAAACATGATGATGGCAGGTATTATGGTCATTCCATACTGTGCCGCAGCAGGTGCCCTTGTCGTCGCGATACCGTTTGACCGATCAGACACTTGCTGTACTCCTTCTAGCGACCCAATGAGAGCGAGCGACAGCAAGATGGCCAATACCTTGCACCAAGCTCGGAGTGCCACCGGTTGCCACCATGCCATGGATCCATCCTCGATGGACATGGTCCTCGCTGGTCGGGCCGCTGGGTTCATGCCCTCGCGTACGATAGCAAACGTGAAACTAAATGTCTTGGGCGTCAAGGTAAAGAAGCGCTCATGGAACAAGCTGTGGCGCAAATGTGCTAGATTCGACCGAAAGTAGTGGCTTAATTCGCCGTTGCACTGGAGAAGCAGAGCAATTCCGCCGATACTTCGCGGATCTCGCGGCACAACTTCCTGTGGTCGCCGAAAAAGGACGGCAATCGAGAGACCGAGACATACCAGTAAAAGCGTCACGACGACAGCGGTTGCGGCCAGGGAAACTTGAACCCTATCTTCTGTACGCGTTACTGTGCCAATAATCGTTTGCTGACGATTATTCAGCATATTTTGGCTGACAACCAAAGAAGCCATTCCCGAATACATTGTGTTGAGGCGGTTCGCAAAGACGTTGGTCTCAAGAAAAGGATCCAGGTAAACAGCATCTGAGCTCAGTGCATCCGTAGATGCTAATCGAAGGAAATTATTCCTTGCAACGGTAGTGTTTGCAGGCTCAGTTAAGGCTGCCAAATCTGTCCGGGATGTGGATTTTACAACGTAGTCGAGTAGTTCAAACGAGTCAAGGCCGTCTATTTGGCCATTTCCTTGGGTCAAAGTGCCCCAGTCGACAGATGGCAGCCATTGCGGTGAGCTCAAGGTCACCTGTACATTCTGAAAGGAGTAGCTCGGCTCGCAGAAGAGTGCGCTATATCATGTTAGAAGCCCGACGAATAACAGTCAGATGAGCCGACTTACCTTGCATTAAGCAGAGACATATTGGCATCCACCACAGTCACCACCGACAAGAGCCGCTTTGTATCATTCGGGCATGCCACTATCTGGCTTGTGCCCATATAATTCCTCGAAGCCGAGAAATTCGACCATCCGTTTGATTCTGCATCAGCGACGAGGGGTAGTTGAATCACCACACTACAAGCATCGGAAACATAGGTGAAATTTGCAAAGTGGTTGCTGCGTGTCCCCTGGTATTCTTCTGCCATCCTTGCTTCCTCGCATGCTAGAGTCGGAAAGAAGCCCCCAACGGTGGCGGAATATTTTGAGCTGCTGCTTGACAGGGGGTTGCCTTGCGGCGCAAAGGGTTCGAAAGTCGCATTACTTAGTACAAAGTCTGGCCAGGCTAGATTTCCAGCCATGATGTTGTTGTATAAAGAACCAGTAGTACCATCAAGTCCTCCGGGGTCCCAAGATGTGGCATCAATGGTTGCACTCTTGACGAGGTTGACATCGCTATCCGTGCTGGCAATTCTCTCAACTTGTAGCAGTCCAGTTGAGAATATTACCTGGAAGACATCAAAATCTTGTGTGTCAATCTCGGTAAGAATACTGGCTCAACTTACAACGACATTTAGTATGGCAGATCCGGAAATAGTCAAGATTGGAACAAGACTTCCCGTCTTGAACGATTTGATAAACGCAGCAGGCCATATTGGCGTTATCAAATCAAGGAAGACAGACCTTTCAGCGGATGCCGGGCCATTTTTCATATTGGCCCATGGCTGCAGCAGTCTTGCTGTAAAATCGACGCGACTCCAGAATGCAAAAAGGAGAAAGATGACTAGAATACAAGAGTTATAAGTCAAAAGGTCAAAGTTTTGAAAGAGCTGCACCATACCTGCGCTGGGAATATATTTCCAAACATGAACCAAGTTTTCAGAGCCCAGTTCGGATCCCAGACCATGATTTCTCGAAGAAACCAGGTAAAGGGCAAATACAATAACGGCGACTGTTGCAAAGCTGACAGCAAGACCTATCAATAGGTAATCACGAAGCCATATAGGGTTCCAATAAGCCCGCGAGCTCGTAAATGACTGGCCAGCCTTGGCTGGGGGCCCGTGAATTGTCTTGGCCCGCACGACATCGTCAAAGGGGATTCCTCGAAAAGATCCGTCGCTCGATCGTCTTCCTTCCGTCGGTGATTCCAATACAGTTTGGCCAAGTGCAAGTCGCGGGCCCTGCCCAAATTCCACATCTTCCGACCATGGTGGGAGTGTGCGTGGTGGCTGTTCCCGAGTATCGACTGGAGAAACCTGACTCGTTGCCGGGACTACTGGTCGCACTTGGCGACTACGAAAAGATGGATGCACACGAAAAGACGAAACCGGGGAGACGTTATAATTGGCGGCTTCCTGTACCCTTCGCCAGCGCCTGCTTGCATCGCGGTGAGGGGTATGCTGCTCGTCCTCGGTCAATGGGGACAGAGGCGAGACATCGTGCTGTGCTCGATACTCATCCGGCGTCAATGATATAGCCGGACTCACGTCTCCAGGACGCAGTCTCTCCATGACAACAATTTGCGTGTAAAAACCATAGTTCAAGTGGTGTTGTGAGAAGAAATATTCTCAGAAGAGTTTGTATGGACGAAAAGATTGGGCTTCCAGCTGAGTAAGTTGTGCTACGGGCTACTACCTACTATGCTGCGGTGGCTGCACGCCTGCAAGGGATCGGCGGTGATGACCGTCAGCACGAAATACTCCACCCAGCCCGACCTTTGACGACTCATAGCCCGACGTAGGGTCTGATGCAGTCATGCAATTGCGGATCGGAGTTGCTGGCAGTGCATGCTGCTCGCGGAAGGATTGGGACCGATCAGAGACACCTCAAAAGTTGTCTGTCCCATCAGAGCAACTGAATGCGAAAATCTCTTGTTACACTGCATTTAGACTCTCACGGATTCTCACAGGGGTCCTGCACTCTTTTTGTCTGAGAAGTGCGGGGGTTGATAGAAGGCCACTCAGCTGCGTTATAGTCTGCAGCTTATTATTTAAGCGAACCCAATTGACAGCCCGCCCATTCAAGATCTAGATGAATGTAGTAGGTAGGCAAAAGACGAAACAGACCAGCCAAGACACTCTGGCTCATCGCGTGGCGCAATGCAGTCATGCTTTGCGGGACCGTCCTCCTGCCACGGTTCCTGCGATTCCAACACGTGCGTTTTGAATTTCTGGTGGTTGCTGACCTGACGGGTTTTCCATCCATTTCTCATCCACTTCTCATCCACTTCACTGCCGCTAGCTCTGGCCTTCCTTTGCGAGCCTCAATGACGAGTTGGGAATGGCTGTCGTTATGATCCGAAAAATCAACTGGGGATCATCTTGTCACTGTCGTCAGTAATACTGGGATGGGAATCCCGCCAGCCTCAAATCGGGTCCGAGTTGAGCCTCAAATTGTAGAGGTAAATATAGCAACTTCTTGCTCCCAACTTGAAACTACGTGATCACCAGAGCAGCTTGTCGAGAACTGAGACGAGGGATACAGTCCCCGGACGAATCGGCGCATCCAGGGTTAACGAAAGAGTAGGTTGGCAAGCAATTCCGAGAGTAGGGATACATTGACGCAACTTGCTGATTGGCGCTCTGCAGTGATACTAAAACCATTAAAGGTTGTATGCTTACTCGCACTTGGAGATGTGGCCTCGCAAAAGCCTTTCCGGAACGCAGCTCATTTGACGCCATCGGTTTGCTTACAGCACGCCTTGGTTGTCATAGAGAATGACTTTGACGGTGCACCTACTTGAAGTGATATCCACGATGCAATGGATGCTGTACAAAAGCTTCGGATGCGGATTGAGCAAGTCGGTGAAGTCAATTTCATAGCTAATCGTATAACCTGGTGCAGAGCCACGTGGCACAGAAGCAAGGCAAGCCAATTACTGCAAAAAGTTTGGTTTCGCAGGGTCGCAGATGACTGACAGAAGAGGAAAACGCGGTTGAAAAGTTCTCCAAGGTGGCACGGGTAGACAGGCGTCTTATTCTATAATTAGATCCAGGACCCAACTCGGAGAATACGGGGAATCGCGGGTTTGCGGTCATCTGAGAATGCCAGCTGTGGCATGTGGAATGCACAGACCTGAGGAACGATCCAAATGGTTCTAGTTTGGGTTGAATCCTGTTTCGAGATAAGCAAGACAGACAGGTAGATAGACAGTTCAATAGTACATAATGTCGCAAGGCTGCTTGCTGCTTGTCAAGACCGACGAAATCCGCATTGCTCAGGTGCGTCCCGATGAAAGGGATGTTCGACAACAGCTCCCGAAAAAGGCACTACCGATGCTGACTCCGACCTGATTCGGGTGTGTAGGATTCGACCAGCCACATTTCTGCGGTCATGATTGATAGGCGGGTAAAGTCACCCAGCACTGCAGCCTCGAGTAGTTAATTCCCAGTCTCGTGACTTGAAGCTGCAGTCAGATGCATATCTGCTACGTCCGGAACACGGCGCTCCTGGCAAGCGAGCACCGACGACCCGCACCACAGGAGGGGGCTCCGAGATTGAAAAGGCAGCGGAGCTGAGCTGGGCCGGAAATGCGGACATCAAGTAAAGCATAGGACGGCTTTAAAGAAAGGCGCATCATTCAGCCCAGCCCAGGCTCTGTCCCTCATTATGGCACTCGCAGCCCGTGCACTGACAACTTGAGCATTGGACAACAACAGGCTGCAACTCGGCACGAAAAGATATTTTGCGTTCGACCATAGGAGGGAATGTGTTGGGGTGATTTGATCAGTCTCAGCTGGTCAGCCAGTCCACTTCTCCTTTTCAGAGGTGGAACGTAGAAAGAGGTGGTTTACCTGGCGGCACACAGGGTGATCTGCTGCAGCTCCATCTGTCGCAAGTAGTGTTGTCAATCAGGCAGAGAGAAACTCACCACCTAGGCCGGTTATCCCCTAAGCTGGCAAGCACCACGGTTCCCAAATAGGGCAGGTTTTGGTACAGCCAAGCCACCAAGTCAAAGGTAGACCACTCTTTTTCACCAATTATATCTCGT